TAAATTGGACAGCACATTTGTCGCATACCTGTTGTTGTCCAAAGCCCCCTCCCAACTTAATTGCTGCTGTAGTTGGAAATTAATTAAAATAAATGTGAATAATGCGGCCGGGATTTAACCCCGTAACTGAGGTCGCCGTGGATGGTCGCAATAAATTGCGGAAAAATCAAAAATAAATTATTCAAAGGGAAACGGTCACGTGTTGAATGCCCTCAAATTGCCCAACTAATCAGGTCCAAGGTCCTGCGCGCCTGCTCATAAATCGTTTGTGCCCTGGCCCCGGGCTTTCTTCTTATTTTTGTTTTTTTATTATTTTTATTTGCTGACACACAAAGGAAAGAATGGAAAAAACATTACAAAAATTAGCTGACAAAAAAGAGAATGGGAAATGGAAGGAAGTGACGCCAGGGAAATGTACGTATACGTAATATATATATATATATATATATATATATATGCGGAGTGCTGTATTGCTGTTCAAGCTTAAATTAAAGGCCAATAATACAGTAATAAAGTCGGCAGCCAATCGACCTGTGGACCACCTAAGCCAAGCCAAATCGAATCACACACACACATACAAGCACAGGGACTACGCACGGGCAGACCCACACAGACGCACCTTGGCAGGCCGCGCTGAAAAGTATTTATAAATTTTATATAATGTGCTCCCAGCGAGCGAGATACATCGTCATCCCCTGCGTGAGTTACACTAGGGGTCAAGACAATAGCTTTAAGATTAACGTCTTTATTATTAACACTAATAATCAAGGATTTTAACAGTTTATTTCCTTAAAGGGTTTTATGATCTTAATCAGGATTTTGTAATGAAGTGAAGGAGTCATTTCCGACCCTATAAATTATATATATTCTTGATCAGCATCAAAAGGAGAATCTTTCACGCCATTTTGGAAAGAAAAAAAAAATCCAAAATTTTTTTCAAAATTTCACAATTTTATAAGGGGTTATTACATCATTAAAATTTTCAAAAAATGGCCAAAAAATTCGATTTTAAATTTAGTATGCAAATTTGTTAGACTTGAAAAAACTAGCATAGAAAAGCAAACCAAACTGAAATTAATGAATTTTTAGCTTAGTTATGATCGATTTTTGATTCGATGGGAAACACATTTTGGCTAGATTATTTTTAAATTATTTAAAAAATCTGTAGATAATTTTTTGTATATCCCTGATCAGTAACCAAGGATATTAAATATACCTTTTATGAGCTTGATATTATCCTACAAAAATAATAAACCATTTTTTATAAAATTAACTTTCTCAAAAATAGATCACTTCCATCTTAAATTTGAGCCCATTTTTCCTTCCTCGACTGTATTTATGTGAGGTTTAGTACTATACATAAAGTACGACGATTTGCCCTTTTGAGCGCCGAGCGGGAAGTAACCTCTATTATTTACCAATACAAACTAAGCTTTAAAAAAGAAAAAAAAAATGTAAAATTACCCGAAGCGCCAGCTGACGGAAGCGGGAGCGAGAGGTGGGTCCTTCAGGGCTCAGGGGGGCGGGAGGTTCCTTGGCTCCAGACAAACATGTGTATAATGTGCTTAATACAACAATTGTGTGGCTTTTTAGTACGTCTCTCTCCACGTGTGAGGGTGTCCGTGCCTCACACGCAACAGTTGTTTTTAGCGGGATGTTGCCGAGCATAAAAGCTTGCCACGCAGCAGCGACGCCTGCGCCTTGCCGCCAAGTGTTGCCTACTTTTGCGGGCAGCTCGAAGTAGTACTGGCGGCTTCGTTCATCCCCTGTGGCCATTGCCACCCTTATCGGCGGCAGCGGCAGCGGCGGCAAGCTTTTCGTTCAATCGCTTTTTGTATCTCAACATTTTGCGGGCATGCAACAAGCGTGTATCGCCGCTGTATCTGTATCTGTAGCTGTATATCTCAGGCAGTGCTCTGTGTATCTGTATCTGTGGCCGTGCGCAACATATCTGCTCAGCCTCAGCTGCGACAGCCGCTCAACATAGCCGCTCGGCTTGGGCACGAGGATGCGGAACGACGAGCACAGGAGCAGGGCCGAGCACTCGACTTATGTACGATTTCGCACACTTGAGAGTTTTTAGTTCGGTTTCGGCAGAATTGATAGATACACGCAGCTCCCAGCTCGCAGCTCGCCACTCGCAGCGCGCCATTCGCATTCGCAGCACCAAAAAAAAAAAAGCAGAAAAAAAAACGGAAGCTATAGATACAGATACACACGTACTCGTACTCGCTTTGGTATCGGTGGTACTCTCGCTTCGTCCCGCTGACTGACTGACTGACTGGCCGCTTTGGCTTTGGCTTTGGCTTTGGCCCACATCGTGTCTATCTATTGCCATCGGGCATTGGCTGGAGCAGCAGCTGAATCGGATTCAGAATCAAAATCGGAATCGGAATCAGAGCCATAACCAGGAGCAGCATAACCAGCAGCAGTGCGCTTTCAGGGGAAAAACATTGGGCCAAAAAGTATCCGCGTTGCTACAATTTTTTTTTATCGCTTCGCGTTCTCGCAATTGTGATTTACAGCACACGGCACAGCAAATTAACCACCGAACTGGAATTAGAAACCAGAGGCGAATAACAGTGAATTTTTCCGGGAGAATACCCATCAATAGATAGCTCTGACTTTGGGCATATACAAACTGGTAAGCAGGTAAAGCAATCCATAACAAAACAAACTCTATGAACTCTTTGATTTAAGAAATATGAGTGTATCGGTTATCCTAGCTAGTCCCAAGTTCCCACATTCAAAATCAAGTTAAATATATTCAAACGATTTAGGGTTGTGAGTGTTTTGCCAGGTTTTTACCCTGGAGATTTCAGGTAATAAAAAAAGTGGCATATTCCGTCGGGCAAGAACAGTGATTTCCGGTAGAAGGATTGTCTACGAATAAAAAGCTAAAACCAATCCCCACAGATATCCTCCCTTGAATGTTTTCCAATAGTTTCCTTTCGAAAGGATTCCGGCTAACCCAAAACCCACTGCATCCTTGATTTTGTGCCACCACATTGTTTGTGGTCCCCCGGTTCGTGGCTAATTGATAGTTGGAGCTGCTGGCCTGATAAAGCACTTGGCCAGGCCAAACATGAAGCGGAGAACAAACGCAATTACAATTACCCGAAAGAACAAAAAAGGCAGCAAAAATCCCATTGCTCATATAAGCTCATCAAGAAGTGCTCAATGTGCACGTGAATGTGTGTGTGTGTGTGTCAGAGTGTGTGCAAGTCCTGTGTGTGTTTTGTGTGTGATTTTGATGAGGGATATACATAAGGAGTGAGTGTGCCTTGCGTGCAGACTCCATCTGGAGTGTAAGCATTCGCCCGGGGCATAAGCAAAGCCGTTAATGGAACGGCCAGGCCAACGATCCTTGGGCCTGTCAATTTGCCAGGACCCCCAGCAAACACTTTCGGACGACAAATACTCACCTTTAATATATAGAAATGTGGTGCTTTAAAGCTATGCATGAGTCATGGGATGGCGGTTATTTTGGGTCAGCTTATCTTACGATGCTATAAATGATTCATATTCCCTCGGCAGTGGGTTTATGTAGTTTGAAAAGTCATAATTGGCTATGCTGGGCACTAATCGGGGGTTATTGAGGTGGTATTTTTATTACAGATAACTCGACCTACAATAGTTTAGGAATGGTTAATATATTCAATGGTTCTCGGATAAAATTAGCATACTAAAGTGACAAGAATCACTTGGAAATTGTTTGGAAGAGATTTAATATTTGATTTTAAGTTTAATTGAAATCAGGCAAGCTTTACTTATTCAATCAGTATATAGTGACTTTTAATTTTAGATAGTATCTATGCAGGAACAAGTATTATTTATCAATCAAATGTAAGTTTTATTTATGAAAACTTATTTTCAAAGGCCTTTGCTGATTAAAAACAAATCTGAAAACATATTTTCAAAATATTTTGCATTACTAAATTCATTACCAATTTCTTTAATAAGAAAATATATCTTTCTCTCTTAACAATAATCATTTTAATTAATAAGAATTATTTAGGCGTTTGCCGATTAATACAAAAAAATCTAAAGGCAAATTTTAAAAATATTTTGCATTACTAATTTCATAACCAATTTCTTTACTAAAATAACAACATCATCATTTTAATTATAAAGATTTATTTAAAGCTAAATTTGTTATAATTAAAATGTGATTGTTTTATTAAGCTCTCGCTCTCTCTACACAAGTGATCTCTGAAGTAGATATACTGCGGCGTGTCACGCGTTCAACACCCATAAAAAGTACTGCCCTCGCTCTCACTCTCTCTGCTCTGCTCTTTCTTTCTCCCACTCCAGGTCATTGCTTTGATTTCTTTTCTTGGGGGCCTGAGCGCCAAAGCTCTTCGCTCTCACCGACTCTCTGAAGCTCTCACAGATCGCTCCATCTCCCCCCTCTCTCTCTCTCTCTTGTGCGCTCTGGCAAGCTGTGCGTGCTACCGATTCTGTTTCTGCTTCTCCTTGTGCTTCTGCTTCTGCCTGTGTGCTTCTGATTCTGATTGGGATCGTGCTGGGGCCGGAGCGCTGAGATACAGATACTTGTTGTACTCGCTGTCGCTCGTTCGCCTCGCATTCGCACGAATGAATATTTGTATCTCGCAGATTGTTTTAGTTTTAGTTTTCCTTCCACTTGATTCCGTCGTCGCCTTCGCGTTCGCGTTCTTTTCTTTTGTCTAGCCTTTCGTATCGTATCTTTGCAGTATCGTATCGCCGAGCTGAGCGAGAAATCAGTTTGACGTTTTGCTTTGACAGGCAACCGTCGATCGTGGATCGCGGACCGCCGACCGCCGCCGAATCTCGTGGATCTTGGGCGTTGCGTTGCGTTGCGTTCCGCCGGTCGCCGTGAGCGAGAGGGGGGGTTTATATCTGATTATTCAGCAGCGTAAGCTATATATGTATATACATACATGTTTGTATAAAATGAGGGGGTGCCACCACCCAGGTTGCACCACCCGCTGACCAACAAAATTTACTTATCTCCGCCGGATCCGAATCCGAATTCGAAGCCGATTTGTGATCAATATGTGACTCTGTTTTGTGTGTGTATATATCATATGGCAGAGGGGTGCGTTTGTGCCAGGTTCAGATTGAGTGTTGGCCGTAAATGCGAGCCAATTGTATCTGGCAGATACGTTGTGCCGTGTGTTATCGCTACTGCTTCAGCTACCGCGTCGCGTCGCTCCGCTGTCGCAATTATTGTTATTTCGAATGCATCGTATCGTCGCATCGGAGCTAATATATAGTTTATATATTTTGCCAGGCGACTTCTCCGGAGTCGCCACATATTTTCGCCTCGGCAACGTCAACAACACATCCGTGCTGTGAACGTGACCTCCCGCGCATTAAAATAAATTCTAATTTGTTGAAGAAAAGAGCAGCGAAAAATGTTTTGTTATTGTTATTGCAAAGAAGTGCTGGCTTGAGTATCTACACACGCGCACACTCGCACACCTGCATATCTATGTCGGCGACTGTGTGTGTGTGCGTATGTGTATGTGTGTGAGTGCTGGTTCGCGTATGAAGCAATATTCATTATGAGTGCGAGTGCGTGTGGTGTCGTCTGCCCATTGTGTTTATGTGTGTATTTGTTTAATTTATATCTAGAGTCTGATATAAATATTAAAATAAAAAGAAATATATATATGTTTATATATATGTATATTGTATGTGCATAAAATATCAGAAGCAACAGGCGGCGAAAGCAGCAACTACCAGCCAAGCGACAAATTTTTGGTACGTCAACAGATAATGTATTGTATATGTACTTAAGTTGGACATTTTTTTTTTGGGTATTCGCTTAATTTGCGAACGTTCTCTGCCTACACCATTACACGCAGGCACACAGGAGTCGAGGTGGGGTGGGGTGGGGTGAGGTTGAGGTTGAGGTTGGGTGGTGCTTCCCAACCATCATCATCCATCTATTCCCATCCAACCACCAATCTTTCCATACACCCCAAAAGGTCTCCTCTATAGTGGTTTGTACACAAAGAAAAAGAAATTGTGAGATTATTTGGAAAATATTTCCAATCTCCAGCGATTTCTGATCATTTTTATAGTCAGATCTTAGAAAACATTAACTTATTTGGAATTATCCTGTATCACAGGTTTATAAATTAATTACAAATATTATCTATTCTTGTTTAAGGCGGAAATTGTTTATTTCAATTACTTGGAGAGGTGTCTAAAAGTATGCAATGATATATATACATATATATATTCAGATGGTTACTTGTATTAGATTGGATTATGGATAAATATATAAATAGTCTTATCCCTTTTAAGGGTATTCTAATTTCAATTAGAAGCTAGTTAGGCAGTGAAGGAGTCATTTCCGACCCTATAAATCATATATATTCTTGATCAGCATCAAAAGCCGAGTCGTTCTAGCCAGGTCAGGAAGAAATAAAAATTTCAAAATTTTTTATAAAATTTGATAAGGGGTTACATCATTAAAATTGCCAAAAATTTGACAAAAATTGTAATTTACAATAAAATTCAGATTAGAATGCAGATTTCTTAATCTTAAAAAAACCATCACAGAACAGGTTTCCAAATTAAAATGAATGAATTCTTTGCTTAGTTATTACATTTTTAAGATTTAATTTTTCCGAAAATTAAAAAAAAATGTATATAATTTATAAAATAATTAATTTTTTAAGTAATTTATAATTAAATTGAATTAAAATTAGTTTTATATAAGAAAAAAATTGGTATATAAATCCGTGTCACTTTTCTGTACAAAATCTAAATACACCCCAATCCCAATCCAAGAATTATAATTTATTTTTTTATGAAAGACCAAGAACTTTCCCCTCCGATATCTCACAGTGCATTCAAATTCCTTTGTATTATACAAGCCACCTTGGAAGTGTCAACGTCTCTGGTCTCTCTGCTCAGTTTTCAAGCGAGTGCCCTCCAAAAGATCATAAAATTAAATGAAATGAAATAAAAAGTGAACAGGAAAAAAAAATGAAATAAAATAAAATTGAAAATTTTCATGCAACTGGCGTCGCAAAAAACATTTTGCAGTTTTTAATTTAGTCACCGCCCCGTCTCCTTCTAACTCACCTGACTTCTTATAGGCGCGACGACAGAGGCACATAAAAATCGCTTAAAATGTTGCCACTGCCGCCGGCTAAGAGGGGGGTCAGGCGGGCACAGGTGAGCCATGATGCCCATACTTGCCATAAACAATGTGAAAAATATCATTCCGTACTTATAAACAAGCAACAATAAGTTTGCAAATTGCGTTCGCATTTCGCTTTTCGTGCTCCGTGTTTCGCATTTTGCATTTTGCATTTCTGCTGCTGCCAAAGTTTCTGTATCTACTTGTATTTTATTTTATTATTTTTTTGTAGTTGTTGTTGTTTTTTTTTTTTCGGCTATATCCCTCGTTGACTGACCCATTTCGTCGATTATCTAATGCCTCGGCACTGCTGTACGCACACAACTATGTATATTTCTTTTCGTTTTCACTATCTGCGCGATAGGCTGTCGCCCCAATCAGTTGGCTGACTTAATTAATTCCCGATTTTAACTGTTTATTAAAATGGATTGTTGTTGCAGCTGTAGGTGGCTGCTATTGTTAACAGCAAATAAATCCGAGCCGCTCGCGTGCATACTGATTGGGAATTTTCAACGGGGCAATCTGGCGAGGGCGGTGGAAGTACCCTTCCAAATGTATATTTATGGCAGGTTGGTTATGCAAACTGCTGGCAATGGCAATTGCAAAATCCACCCAGAGGAGTGCTTCCTCGAACTCTATACCATTTGATGGTATTGTCAACTAGTACTTTGGGGGGCAATCAGGCAACCGTGCTCTGCCATTTTGTTATATATCTCACTTGAGATCGGTGAGGGGGGCCATTTGAAATGCAAATTGCCAACGGGCAAACTCTTTGAAACCACCGGAAAAACTCGCCCCTATAGATATTGTAAGCAGCCTATTTATATATAGTATATATATATGTTTGTAGTCTTTCATGTACGATATTAATTAGGCGGGGTCCAACCTTCCGCCGCCTGTAAACGATTAGTCGTTGCCATTCCATTGTGAAGCCTCAAGGTTCCCCGGATCGAGGATGCTCAAACTATATATTTTAGAGACTAATAATGACGCACGTTCTGTACATGAAATATTCTTTGGCGAGACCACCGTGAAGGTTGTCCCTAGTTGGAGGACACACCGAGAAATAATTATAAATATCAAATAATGGGCCATTAAGTTCTATATTCGGAGGGCTCCAGGGTTGCCCATTATGGAAGTGAAATATAATTTTGTTGTGGCAAAATTTCTTAGTTTATTTAACACTATTTCTTTTGCTAAGGTATTTTTGAGATACACAACTTTTTGTATATTTTATTATAGCAAATAAATAATAAGTTTTGTATACCTGGGTTGCCCTTTATGGAAGTGAAATATCGTTTTGCTGTTGCAAAAATTATTAGATTATTTAACATTATATCTTTTGCTAAGGTATCTTTAAGATACACATTTTTTATATATTTTATTGTAGGGAATAAACAATTAAATTAGGGAGAAACCGATATATTATATCAAAAGCCAATAATAATAACCATTTTTATCTAATAAACAAAGTTCTATAAAATGTTATCACATATTTTTTATAGACTAAAGATAACTCTAGGGTTATTAGGCATTTTAAAAAATAGTCTTCTTATTTTCTAAGATTTTCTATAAATACTTTCTAGCTGATTTTTAAGTTTGTTTCTAACTACTCATTTAATTAACTTTAAAACTAATTAGCCATTTGTAATAGATCTCTGTAGACTGCTCAAAATCAAGTGTCTGGCACGCCAAAACACCTAGATAACAAAGTGTTGTATATAGACGATCGATCGATCGATCTACCGATCAGATTCCAATCCGTATGCAGTAAACAGAAAGCTGCCAGCAGCTGCAAGGCATCAGCTTGCAAAAAAAGAGAAAAAAAACCATTAGATACAAAATGGCTTGAATGCGCTTCGCCGCCATTCCATGTCCATGTTCCATGTTCATCTTTTTTTTTTTGGCCTCGGCCAGGTTTCCTATATGGAGCGGCGGCAGCGGCTCCGTCTCCAAATACACACTCGCCTCGTGCCTCGTGCTCGAGTACATATTGGTAGGGAATTCTATTAGGGGCCAAAACGCTGGCATGGCATCCTGCTGATGATGCTATTATACAAATACCCACAAGCACCTGCATACTAATAGCTTCGGGGCCAACATCCGTGACTGGCTGCATCTAATGAGTTGACGTTGACGTTGGGGGCACGCTAATAGAATTTGGCACTCCTCAGTGCTCGGTGCTCGGTGCTCGGTGCTTGAGCTTGCCTTTGGTTGCATACCAAGAGGCGCCGCAGTGCCAGGAGCTTCAGGAACTTCGGGACCTCAAGGAACTCTAGAAACTCGGGCTATAAGCTATGCCCTGGCTGAGCAATTGCAATTGCCTTGCCCGCTTACCCCCGCTGGCAGAGCCGTAAACAAATTATGTTACGTCTACACAGCGTTCGTTATTTATTTGAAAACTTAAATGAGGCTGAGTGAACAGCGAAAGCCATTACTTGTTCATTTTAATATGGTCGGGCTAAAAATAATTTGTTTAAATCAACAAACACACCATAGAATGATGTGTGTGTGTGTACGGGAACTGATTCTCGTCTCATCTCCATTGTGTTTCTTCATAGATTGGGATGGATGTTGGGGATGAGATGCTTCAAGCTGATTCTGATTGTGCACAGTGGAAAAAAAAGATATAGATAAAAACTATAAGAGATACATATAAATTTTAAGCATAAAATTATGTTTAAAATGTTCGGAATTGTCCAATTCTGTAAACCTATTTGATTTTGATTATTTTCAAATATTTAAGAGGACCAGGCGGCTTAATTTGTATTCCTAAAAATACAATAAAATCTAAAAAATACCTTTGAAAATTTATTTAAACCAGTGAAATCCCTTTGCAATTATGGGAGCTACTTTGATTTAGAAATTATTACTAGAAATTTCCCCAAGTGTCCTTATGTTGCCTTTACTGCCATTGCCTGTCTTCCTGTTGGCGTCTTCTGTTGTGACGCCTTTTGTTTTTGGCCCAAACAATGCAAACGAATTCAGACAGAGGGACGACAACAAGTGTCCTTATGGATTTGGATGTTGGATGCTGGATGCTGGATGCTGGATGCTCAATGTGTTTATGTACGAATGCAGATGAAAGACAGCCTTTCCCTTTAGCAAGTCAATCAATGTCGCCGGGGATAAGGACTAGGACTATCATCTCATCCTGCAAGGAGCGCCCTTCAAATTGTTTTCCCCTCCTTGTCCCAAAAACCAGACAGAAGACATTTCACTCGCAGACTTAAAGGAGTGGGAGCTAAAACCAGTTGAAATGGGTACGACTTTCGGTGACTAATCTGAAGTATTCAGTTGGGTTCATATTCCATATCAGTTGATTTGCCTCTTTTCGCTTTCGTTCAAGTTTTATCTAAATATTTAAAATTGGTTAGCAAGACACGAGCGAGCGACAGAGGGTCTTTTCTTTTTCTATTTCGCCTGCCCCAAGATAAAGCCAGAATGACAGCCGGAATGAGAACAGAACAAGGGCGACACCGACACCGACATCGACATCGACATCGCCGTCTCAGATACCGGGAGCTGTATTATATATGACACCCCACAAATCCGCACAAGTCAATTGTTTGATACGTGCCACCGAGGGCTTGGACTATCAAGTTTCGCCAACTTTTTGGGGACCAACTTCAACTCGAACTTAGTATGGCAGACAGGAGCACGAGTCCGAGGCGAAAGCAAATCGCAAACATAACTCTGACGGGGCATTATTCATATGCAGCCAGCTGGTCACGTCCAAGGGCCTTGCCTTGGCCCAATAATCATTGCCAATATTTGGGCTTTATATGAATTTATAACAATTGCCAAGAGTTTCTTTTTTATTTTACTTTTGTGCGGGTGCTCTGTCCATATTCGATGAGAGTTTCAATGGTATAGCCACTGAAATGGGGGTCTCTCGACACCACTACTTAATATACTCGTAATGCACTGCAACTCGTCATTTATCACTCGGCCTTATCAATGTCAATTAAACTAGTTTAACTAATTAAGCTGGGAATTATCCAAAAAACAAGAGACAGAGAGAGAGTCCAGGCCTTAATGTAGGTCAGTTACTGCCCTGGCTACGGGTTGATGTAGAAGAGTTGCTCTAATTATATTTATTTAACTTGCCTTGGGTTATTATTGTTTAATTGGGCAAGTTATTAAGGGCTTAAGGGCTTAGTGAAATTAAATAGAGATTGCCATTTTAGTTGATGAAAATCTCACTTAAAACAGTATTTGTTTTACGAAATGTAAGCTCAAGTCTTTTGTACAATGAAAATTATATTTAGTAATTACATTTCATTGAATTTTACGGCTGGACAGCAACTTCCAACTAAATTAAATTTAAGCTGCAGGCCACTTGCATATATTTTCACTGAATTCATTGCATTTTCCTGGCATTTCTATTAATTTTTCTTTCCATTCCCATTTTTTTGTTCCTTTGCAGTTTTTGCGGATCATGTGACCAGTAGCTCCCGCTGGCCATCATTCAGTCAATCAATCAGCAGCACCGCAGCCCAAAAATGTTTCAATTATGTTATCGCCAGCAACAACATCGACATCGTCCAGAATCGAAACCATCGAACCAGAGCAGAGCAGAGCTGCCCAGGCCAGGCGCTACAGAGGAGGAGCTAGCGTAAGCCAAGGAATCCCACGAATTCGTAGACCAAAGTCGCTGTCAAAACCGAGACTAGCACCAAATAATCCACAATCACAAGGCAACCGAGAGCAATTTAGCATAGCAACCGCACAGGAATTAGCCAGAGAGGGCACACAGCCAGAGACCGAGTGAGAGTCGGTGTCACAGTCAAAGGGCAGAGCCAGTCCAGGATCAGAAGCAGGACTTCGCCATGGGCTGCTCGCCAAGCACACTGCCCGCCCCGAATGCCGCGGGCGGAGGAGGAGTAGGAGGAGCCCCCGGTGGCCAGGGATCCCTTCCATTGGATGCCACTGAAAAGGATGGCAGTCGTTTGTTTTGCATCAAGCTTCGACGCAGTCGCCTGCGTCGCTGCAGCTGCGGCGGAGTGACCTTGCAGGTGCCCAACGATGGCAATGGCAGCACTGCAGGCAGCGGCACCGGCGACAACCTGTGCGGCCAGGTGCTCCTGAATCCACTGCAGACCAAGAGCGAGGCCGACTATGAGAAGGTAACCGAATACCCGGTGGCGGCGTCTTTAAGCCAGCTTTCATCTAACTCTCGTCTCTCTAACCCGCAGCTGAGCACTGGCAAAAAGGACTCGATTGTGACGGTGGCTGCCCTGGGCAACTTCACACACAGCGTGGTGCGACGGGCCACTGGGAGTAAGTATTCCACCTCTGGGTTCCCCCTCACCGCAGGCATCTATATACCATATTTATTGAGCTGCACAGAAGGACAAATTAATGGGGGGAAAGGGGTCGAGTTCGAGTTCGAGTTCCAGTTCCTTTGAATGCACTGAAAAACGCTCATTACGAAGGCTTATAGTTGCAGGGAAAGTGGTAAAACTTTTGTGGAAAGGACTTTTTCTATGGAAATATGAAAAGGAAATATGGAACGATATTTTTTTGAGGAATTGTCAACAAGTTAACAAAGGATGTACATAGTATAATAGCCAATTTGGAATAACTTCTTTGGGGCTTGAACATATATTTTTATAGGAATTTCCAAAGAGGCTTAAAAAGAATTTTGTAGGAAATTTTCAACATTTTTATAAATATAAATATTTAAAAAGCAATTTCTAAAAGGTATTTATGAAGTGCAATAGAGTTTAAAGTTGGTTGAGGGTTAGAACTACTGAATACCCTAAGATTCTACCATTATTTCTATGAAATATGCTAAAATTATGTTTTATTTCCCAGTGTCTCATCAGAATATAAGTCTTTGAAAGCATAACTGCCTTGATACCCTTTTATTGCAAGACCTTCCTTCGGTTAGCTCTTTTTGTAATTCAATTTCCTTATTGATGAAATTTTCTTCCCTATAGAATCTTAGCTAACTATAGCTGTACGATTCTTTCTCTAATCTGAAGTGAGGCTACTCCACCTTCAAGAGCTTCCGCTGTACTCGTCGATAGGCACACTTATAAAGGTACTTATTAATGGGAAACTGAGAATGGGTTAAACATTTCCTTTTTTTCGGATTTATCGGAAGATTTATGATGCTTTGGCTACGGAAACAATCAATCTCAAGTGGCTGTTATAAGTTTTGTAAGATAAAAAGTGTATTAGATTGATTAGGGAAATTGGTTTCTGATTTAGTAAGCTATAGTTGATGATCTTGCAACTAAATCTTAAATAGAGGAAAAGGGTAAAGAGCCTTTTTTCCTTTTGATATGTAACCCTAAATCCCTATATATACTGGAGAAAGTATGTCTTCATTATCTTCATCTTCAAGGAATTATTTCTATAAAGGTTATCATTGCTTCCTTACTCGTACCACTGGGTATTATCGACTCCTTACGTTACCCTCTAAGCTTCGTGTTCAGGTAATTCGATCCTCGTCTCGGCAGAGTCAGCTGGCGCTTGTCTGAGCTTCAAGCGCAGCTGTTTTGTGCCGACATCCAATTAACAGCTTCTCCGCCGCCCTCGCTCTCCATATCTCTCTCAAACGCTCTCTAGTGTCGCGTTTCAATGAAGCAAGAGCGAGTGAGTGAGCATCAGTTGAAACTTGATCGCTCTTGGCAAACGGATCTCCCACAGAGAGAGAGAGAGTGGGAGAGCTCCAGTGGGTGTTGGGGCACAGAGAGAGCGAGCTTATCGGCAAAGCTCTTGGCGGCAACAGCTGCTCCCCATTTATGGAGTTCAGTTGTCGCTCTGACGACAGACTGTTAAAACGGATTATTTTGGCCCACAGAACCACACAGAAAAATAATGTTAAATCGGAGAAGTTGGCTATAACTCTCTGTAGTCGAGTTAGCGAATGGGTAAACGCCGCGTGTGATATGTACTAAATAAAAAGTGCTTGGCTATCCCGAAAGTGTCCCAAAAAAAAAGTCAAATGCAATTGCAAAAGACCTGCCAAAACTGGTAGCTGGCTAACGCGGCCTAATGCAGCAGTGCCGCCAATTTGGATTTGACCAAGTCGTGCCGTGATCACAAAAACGAAAAAAAAAAAGAAAAACATGCTGTTCAACGCATATAACATATAACCCAGGGCCAACCGGTCGTCGATCCATAGCGATTGCAATTAAAAAACGCATAGAGCTCCGAGTAGCCGTACTCGAAATTGTAAATCGAACAAGCGAATAATATTGCTGGGCTGCATTCGGTGTTGGTTTCGGTTTCGGCGGTGGCTTTAGGTGGAAAAAAACAGCTTAGCGTGCTCTAAAATACAACAAAAGCGTACATATTACCCACCCATACTAGCGTCCGTATCGAAGTATCGAAAAAGTGTTAAAAATCAAAACAAACTTCACAACTAAGTGTGCCAACAGACTCGGCAGCAACAACAAGTGTAACGAGTGTATCTTATAGGTTGCCCAGCTGAAATCTCACTCATAAGCAGAATTTAAGATACTTGTATCTGTTCCTGGCTAGTTGTATCTTGTAACTAAAAAGATCCCTGCAAGAATCCACAAGTACCCTCCCCTCTTAGTCTAAAAAAATCCTCAGATAATATATGCAAAAATTCACATGACAATATGTATATCTGGTTTTATTTTTTGTCGTCACAGCAGCCGTATAAGAACCGTAGGAGAGCAAAGTTTACTCAGAGAGCCTTAGCACTCTTCTTTTCCATATTTAATTGAACGCGATCGGATCGATCGATCGATCGTCGCTCTCACGAGCGGGCTGGCCTGGTAAACAATGAAAACGCCCACGGAATGGCGCCAAAACATCAATCAAAGCCAAGGAAAACAAACCAAAACGATCACTCGACGACGCTACACTCACTAGCCTCGCCGACGATCCATTACGATGACGGGCTAATCCCACGCGTCAAAGCCCTGCCAGCTTATCAGTTTTCCACAACAACCTTTTTATTTTTTTTTTTTTTTTTTTGGAAAAGAAGAGCGATGATGAACGGTTTTGCTAGGACCGCATTATAGTGCGATTTTTAGGAGGTCTTACACAAATTACTTTCTGTGTTTAGCCACGTGAAGGGGCCCAGTTCGGCGGAGATTAGATTACCGCTGGATACTCCCGGTTCCTATCAATATATGTTTTTTTTTTTTCTGTATATATAGTGTCCAGTGTGTGCGGCTATCAAAGGCGAGTATCGCTGAGCCAAGAAGATCGCCTGGCGTTAGATAGAGCCGGGGACACTCTCTCGGTCTCGTTCTCGTTCTCCCCCTCACAGATGTAGATTGTGCACGCGTTGCCCCCCCACTGTCCCTCCCCTTATACCCATGTATATAGCCTATCCCTATCTGCGGCTGTATCTGCATCTGGCCGAGCCAGCGCCAGCGGCAGCACCTGTATCTGTATCTCTGTACCTGTAGCCAGAACAGTATCTCACCCCCTCAACGCACACACAGGCCTAAACATCTGAATACTATGAGCAAACTTGCCTGATATTATCTTATCACAAATTAATTGGTCGCCATGACAACGGCCAAAAGGCGCAAAAGGCCCCGAAAAGCACCCCAGGGCAACTGATCGGCCAGTGGGAATGTTGGTTAGCCCCTGCTAATCCTCTCTTTGTATTAAAATTAAAATGTCCGGCTCACCGGGAGCTTTAATGCCACTGCACCTGTCGGCTAAGCGCCTTAGAAACGACACACAGCGAGAAAATAAACCTCAATTCTGAGTAAACAAAGTTTGGGGAGTATCTATGGAATGTTTATTAAATAATTTGTATTTTAAATAAGTCTGGCAAGCACTAAATTTATTATTAGTTAAATTTTCTCCTGAAAAACCTCAACTTCTACTGTTTAAATACAAAGTTTGAAAAGTATCTTTGACTTACTTTTAGTTAAATTAAATACAGTCTTCCAAGGATTAAATTATTAAACAAAAACTCAGTTATATATTCAACACCCTGGAGATACAATTGTATCTCTTGGATAGACGACAGACCCAACATACCGTTAGTTTGGCTCGCAGCGCACCCTTCGCCTCTGTCGCTGTCGCCGTCGCTGCTCTGCCACTGGCGGCAGTTTCAAAATCCGTGCGAGAATTATCATCTGGCAAACAGTTCTTCATACCGGATTAGAACGGACGTTTTTCCCAGTCCGGCTCGCGCTCCACTTGCTCCATTTTCCACCGCAAAAATATCCATTTGCATTTTCGTGCCAATCCGGCTTTGCCGCACCGCGAGTAAAGTCGAGTTTTCCTACTACTCTCTGTATCCCAGTCAGCCAAAATCGATCAGCTCCCAGTGCCAACTAGCCGTGAAATCCACATTTAATGACTCTGGTTACTCGCCGTGTTAATTGTGCTTTTGAGTCCGTCGTACTATGTGCAGTCGTGTGAGCCCAGGCAGTAAGTATATGTGCCAAGTTGTAGGCCAAAATAGAGGGGATATATAGACCTAAAAATCGAATTAAATCCAAGCTGGAGCCGGAGCCTGTTGCTGCGACGTCAGCCCCAGTGGCTGCTGGCCGCTTTTTATCTAAACAATTTATCGATTTTCGTTTAGATTACAACGCGTGTACCCATCCAACTTCCCCCTCTCGGCTCCCGTCTCTAGCCACCGAAAAAAAACACAAACGATAAGATACACTCGACCCATTTGAATAAGCGCAAATATAGTGTCCCCACCGCCGGCCGGGCTTATATATACGAGGCAAACTCTGGGTACATTGTACATGGATCTCAGTGTCGGCGGTGGGTACGGTTGTGGGTACTTTCCCTGGCTAGTTTTTGTTTATGCCCCAACTGGGCTATTTATATTAAGTGTGCACACATGCTGCCATATCTGCTGCGAGCACTAAAACTAAATGCTCTCTCTCATATGTACTATATGCATGTGGGCCAGTTTATCATTACGCACTAATTGTGTGAAATCAATGCCGCAAACAGATAAAATCAGAGCCAAGCCAAAGCCAAAAGCAGAAACTGAAAAGCAAAAGCAGCAAGTTGAAAGCATAAACAGTAACTCCAAAGCATAAACAGTAACTCAAAAGCAGAAGCAGTAACTGAAAAGCATAAACAGCAACTCAAAAGCAGAAGCAGAAACTCAAAAGCATAAACAGCCCCTAAAAAGCACAAAGCAAAACAGGAAGGAAAACAAACTATAAATGACAATTAACATAATGCCACGAGAATAATCCAAATTTGTGTGACTTCATTTGCAAAAAAAAAACAAAAAATTCTCATACAAACATATCGCGAAAACCCCGTGTAAATAAAAAAAGACAGAAACAAAAGCAAAAATACAGCACAAACAATGATAATATCCAGCCAGCCGAATTTGGCTGGATCGGCAACGAGCACGACGCCGTCGCCGTCCACTAATCCCAATTCCAATCCCAGTTCCCATACCAATCCCAGTGCTGCCGCTGCCCACATGGGCGACGAAAGTGTTCCAAGCAATTGCAATTGCAATGTGGGCGTGGACCTGGTTGGCATTGGGGCCAGACAATCCCCAGTTCCCGCCCTGGAAGCTGCTGGCAGAGATTCATTAATGCGTCCGGCCTCCGATGAGTCCGAGCTAAATGTGGGTAAGGTTATCTCTCCTCCTTTGGGGGGTTAAAGTTGAGTTGAGTTTGATGATGATGCGGTCAACAGGGGAGACAGTGTGTGTGTGGGAGGATTAGTTTCGTGGTTGAGCTGCTTAATTCTCCAGAATTTTAGTTAGTTTGGGATTTTCACCTGCTTTTTAATAGTTGAAGCAAGTAATTAAAATAATATAATACAGAGCAATTTCAAAGAACAGCTTGCTTAGTTATTTGCTTATTTACATAACTGAACGTAACTTGAAATATAAAACAGGCCTAATTTTAGCGAACAGCTTGCCTTTAAATATTTTTATATATTTATGCCACATAAAGAAAATAACGATTTAAGCATCTTTAGCTCTTCCAGCCATTAATTATAAGAAAACAAATAAATCCCTGGCAGGACTTGGGTTGGCCTTAAAAACAAGAAAAACCCCAAGACAAGACAAAAACCTTAAATTACTTGTTGATAACTTTAATTTGCTTGCTGTGGGAACCCGCACAAAAGCCTTCGCACAAATTCCGCTACAAGAAAAGTTTGTTTGGTCAATCAGAACCTTAAAAAATTGCTTGGGCCTAAGCATACATAACTTGCAAGAAGCCACAGAATTTTAATTTCCTTTAAACTTTTCTCAAGAATTTCCATAGAAGGTATACACTCCTTACTCCAGTATGGCATGAAATTCCTTAATTATGTACATTAAAGATTAAATATAAAATGCAAAAAATATACTGCTTGAAAAAAGGTCTTAAAGGATTGAAAGTATAGGTATTTGTAGTGCTTTGAGGTGAGCTTAATGATATGGAATTCTATATCTTAGAGGAGGCTTATTTTTAATTGTTTGTTTAGATATTTAAAGGTATTTTTTATAAAAAATATATATTAAACCTTACTTGGAAGTACTTTCTTTATCAATATTCAAAGTTTTTAAATAGTCTCTCTTGTTAATTGTGTAAATATAACTTTCAGGGCAATATGTAAGGGGTTAAAAATTCTAAAAAACTCACAACTTTTAATTATTTGAACATGAAAACTTTGTTTTATAAATTTCCCAACTTGTTTTAGGTTGTTTAATATTTTCCATATGCAAAAAAAAATAAAAAAAATGGGGATGCTGGTCAGCCTTTGGTCCATTGAAGTCCTGCTTCTCATTAAGTGAAATACAATTTGCCGAGCTTAGTTCCTTGGGGCTCACTGCTCAGTGGGCTGGAGTGGCTCCGTTGACAGTTCAGGAGCAGCTTCCCTAAGGACAGCCCTCGTACCCTTTCGCAGGGGACACACACACGCGTGTGTGGGGGCTGACTGCCCGTTCGTTTATAAAGTGTTTCTGAAATGCCAACGTTTATAATTAAATAAAACGTGCAACAAGAGGAATTAATGTGCGTGCGTGTCCCTGCCAGAAAGTGTTGGTTACTGTGTGTGTGTGTGTGGTGTGTTTGTTGTGTGAGTTTGTTGTGTGAGTTTGTTGTGGGTTTTGGGTGACCATTCATTTTGATTGTGGGCGTGCGGGCATTTTGCTCCCCAAAAGTATGCAGCCTGCCGCTACGCCCAGAAATGTAGCATACTTCTTTGGAGAATTTCCACCCCCTCCAAACCCTCCTACCTCCTGTAAAAGCAATTTTCCTCTAACTCTATATGACCTTTTTTTTTGCAGGCACAGGCACCTCGGGCACCAGTTCATCCGGCGGCGGCAACAGCCACCGCCACCGCAAGTCATCGCTCGCCCTCGCTTTAACCCCGGAAGATGAGCCAATGGACGTGTACCAGGTGAGTCCGGGATCTGGTGAGAGAATCATAGCGAACCACATGGGTGTTACGTCGTCTGATAAGGTATCTTATCACGGCCAACTATGCTCTCCGCTCTGCGCTCTCTCTCTCTCCGCTGCGCTGCGCTTTTCGCTTTACAATTTCGCTTTAAATAGCCGCTCACCTATACACCCAGACGGTGTGGTGTGTGCTTTGCCTATAAACAATAGGGGGCTACCAGTGAAATCAAATCAATTAACATTGAAGGTGGGAAATCAAAAGGCAAAGAAAGAGATTACCCCGATCGGAAGACAGACGACGGACGACAACGGACGACGGAGAACGGAGAACGGAGGCGACTCACTACGTTTCGTTTTTAGTTCAATGTGTCGGGCGTTGCGACCACAAGACCTGTGAATTATTCTGAAGCGATTGAGATACAGATTGAGCTAGATACAGCTAAAGATACACATACAGATACGGCTTGAGATACAGATACAGCTGTAGATAGATATATCGACAGTGTTACAGATACAAATCGAGATTGTCTTATTAGGCTGGCATTAGGCGGCGTGGAAAAGTTGGAAATGCCTCTCCTCCGTTCGTGTGGCGTCGCTTATGCAAACAACTTGTTATTGATCTAAGACATTGGACCTCAAGTGCCGCTAGCCGAGTGCCCCAGTGTTTGGTGTTCAGTGTTCAGTGTTCATTGTTTAGTGCTCCGTGTGCTTTAGTGGCCAGTGTAATTGTCGCTCTCAATCTCCCCTCCTGCGTCGAGTGTTGTTTTATAATTAGCAGAATGCGCAATTGCTTGCCAAAATTCAGCCATGTCTTTCGTCGCAAATCCAAATCCTCCGCCCTTGGTCAAGAGAATCCCACCGAGCCTGACTCCGATTCGGAGCCGTATGTCGCAGCTGTTGCGCCGCCGGCGGCGGCTACTATGGCCATATCCCAACCGCGTCGCGATAGCCCTAATGAAAGACCAATGCCAGATGACGATAGCGCTAGCAGCCGGCTGATAAGCTCTCCTCATTTGGATTCCAAAACGAATTTGGATTTGGATTCGCCAGCAGCTGGCGGCCAAGGTTCCTGCCCGGAAATGAAACTGGAAACGATTTCGGCAACAGCTCCTCCAGTGGCCATTTCCCTGCCATTTGGTGGGCGGAACTCGAGTAAAACGCCCGAGGAAATGGAGCTGGAATACGAGGCGAGTGTGGCCGCCGAAGGCCGTGACATAATGACCCCCCTGCGTCGCAACACAAGGCCGCTGAGCCTGGCCTTCGGCAGTGGACGCAGCACAGGAGTAGGAGCAGGAGGAGTAGCTGGAACTGGAGTGATGCAGCCGGAAATAGTCGAGGTCATACGCAGCTTGGATGTCCCGGCCCTGTTGCTGAACAGCCTCAGCTTGGAGGCAGACCCAAGGGAGCCCGGCGCGGAGCTGGAGTGCGACAGCAGCGAGGAGACGGTGGTCCTTCGTCGCAAGGTCAACTGCCTGGAGCGTAAGACGCGCAGCCTGTACGAGCGACGACTGCCCAAGGTGCCGAAGCTACACCTTCAGGTGGCCGCCAAGAAGACCAGCGAGGAGGAGGAGTTCAGGACTTTTCAGGTAGCAAGGACCAACTTTTACGGTTGTCCCATCAATCTGGCGCCTTTAGCCGCGTCTTATTCCGCATTTCCAACGTGTGTTTGGTGTGTGGAAAACTGGCTGTGATACATTTTCGATTACATTTTCATTCCCCTGATTGACACTGAGCCCGCTCCAGCGTACGTTCCTCCCCGGGATTTAACGTGCTCGTATTATAAATCTGCAGCACACGAGCTTGCTGCCGCGCACATAAGTCAGAATCCGAATCAGAGTCACAGAGTTTGGAGTCGGTGGCGAGCAATTTTATTTTAATTTATCATCATTTAGGCGACACGAGCAACACACACGCAGGCATTGTGCTCGCTTAGCTGGTATCTGGTATCTGGTAGATATGGGAGGCAACACCCGACGCACTGACAGATACACAGATACAAAGATACACGGGGACGGGGACAAGCATATGGCCGACAGACGGTGGGAAAATGCGAAGCCGGGTTAAGCCCTCTTATTCTGATGGGAAGGAAAGCCAGCGAAGCTGCGGATTTATATTAAATTTTACACGTTGTCTCACCTGCCTGTGTATCCCTCTTCTTTTTTTTATCTTTTATACCTGTGTCGTTGCAGCGAAATCTCATGGACCTGAAGTATCCAACCGTGCTACCACCGAATCCTCAACTTAAGGTAAGCTCTCTGAGGGCCACTTTGAACTATGGGGCAATTCAATCAGTGCAATGGCTTTGGACACTCTCCACTAATGCTTCCCCCTTCTTTTTTTTTTATTTTTAGGCCCTGCTGGTCTTCCACAAGGCGGACAGCATTTGCGAGGCGGTCACCGCAGCCTGCCAGCGGCATCAGCTGGACGTAACGCTGGTCAAGTCAAAGGAGGAGGCTTTGGACACCCTGCAAAAGTCGTATGCCACCGCCCAGTGTTACCATCTAATCATAATTGATGCTCGCTCCGCCAAGAATCTTGATGCAGAGCACATTGCGAGGTGGGTTTGGGGTTTGGGGTTTGGGGTTCCTGGAGTAATGGGTTGCCCGAGTTGAAATGGGTTCGGGTTGGCCGAAAAGTTTACAAAACTTTTCCATTTTCATAAACTTTTCACTTTGCCATAAAACTTGATCTTACTCTCTTTCTGTCTTTGGTACTCCTGCTCCTCCAGAACCATACGTCACACACACGGCCACCATTTAACGACAATAATTGCAGTCTGCAAGAAGAGGTAAGTAGCGTCTGTGGAAGTTCTCAGTCAAAGTTTACCACTAACGACCGATACGACCTTTGGCAGTTTCTTCGAAAAGGATGATGTGCTAATTGCTCTATTGGACGCTGGCGTTAATAGAGTAAGTTTCCGTTAATTGACCCATCAACGAAGGCGGTAGAAACAGATGCCTCAAGTGACTCCCTCCACCTCTTCTATATTCCACAGTGCGTAGCGGAGACGACCAACCTGGCCATGTGCAGTGTGGAACTGAAGCAGATACTGCACTCCATCATCCGGCCGCACAATGTCATGTCCACTCAACAGGTAATCGAGTTAATGTCCTGGCTACTCCTGCTTTCCCCCCCGAAAGCTCTGTCCTGAAAATTAATTCAATTAAATGGCAGCCGCCGTCTGAAACTGTAAACCCGCGCAGTGTGTGTGTAACCTCCCCTGGTTTCTCTCTTTGCTATTCCCCTAGGCACTCTACACGGCGCTGCACCGGCTAAAGGAGGTGGTGCTCATCACGGACGACGTGCTGCGCATTCAGTACGCGAACAGGGCCACCGAGAGGCTCCTCAACATGCGGCTGGTGAGTGGGAGGGAGGATGGGGTGGCTTGTTTGCAAGGGCAACGGCATTAATGAGATTTCCGCGTTGGACAAACAGGACGAAATCATTAGCAAGCCGCTGGCGGACATATTCGTGTCGGACCTGTCCACCATCAGTGAGCAGGGCAAGAGCATCAAGGAGTTCGATGGCATACTGACGGTGCGCCGCAAGAGCCAGGAGGGCATACCCATGCATGTACGCGTGGTGCCGGTGGCCTGCATAGGCAGGTGAGTCCCAGCTTAACCCTCGTAGCTCCTCCTCCAGATTCTAATTGGCAATCTCTCTCGGAACCCGCAGCGCACCCACGCACCTGATTTTCAACTTTGATGTGCCCGGCGGTCAGATGGATTTCATAGCTACGCTGCCACAGCCGAAGGAGGCTCCAAGGGGCTCACTTCATTCGGTGCGTCGCTGCAGCTTCGATGTCCGGTCGATTGCCTCGGATGGACTGCGAAGGACCAGCCTGGCCAAGCTCACATCGTTGCCGCTGGAGGCGCCCATCACTAAAGTATGACTCCACCTCGCATTTGCATATGGGGTTGTGGCTGCACCACGTTGGCGGTGTCTGTTGTGGGAGTGCCTAAATTGCTACTAAATTGTCGTCCGTGATTGTGCCCCGGTGACTGTGTCCGGTCCTGTGCCCCCCGTTCGTGTGTGTGTGTAAAGTGTGTGTGTGTCCTGGTGTCCTGTCCTGCCTCGAGCAACTGCAGCAGCGACAGCAATAGCATTAGCAACAATATTTGCACTAGCACATGCCCACAGACCATCCACACACAAGCACACACACACACACAGCGACACAGGCACACACACACACACAGTGAAGGCCGAGAGCAAATGCATTTGCCGGGTTTGGAGTTTTGTGCTAACTTTGATGGAGATGTGAAGGCCATCGTTGATTGCATTCACTACGCTTTTAATTATCGAATTACCCGCTCAATTTGGCCCTAAGCCGGTCAAAGGAAAGGCCAAGTGGCGGCCGAGTAGGGAGCCAGCTAGGACCTCTCCCAAGCTGAAGTGAATGCATTTGATATAACGGTCAACAGTGGGTCAAACTATTCGGACCCACACTGTTCGTTCTTAACCTTGATTGGAGCTCCTAATTTGTCATAACCCCTAACGCCTTTACTAATCCCAAAATATCAACAGTAACAGCACAACTAAACCAACATGTTTTTTACATTTATTCTCTTTTTATCTCTTAATTGTTATGTTCTCTTTTTTACTTTTATGTTTTGTGTACTCGAACAATGAACCAACTCATAAAAAAATATATTACAAATTCGCTCGCACGTTCGCTCGCTCGCTCGCTCGATTTGCTCGCTGTGCGTCGCTAACCAAAAATAAAAAAAAAAATAATAAAAATAAAAATGTACAAAACTCAAACCAACCAACCAACCAACAACAAACACAACAAATAAATGAAACGCAACCACTGCGCACTCGCACATTAGATAATCAATTTACTATCACAAGTACAGGAGAATTGTTCGGCCGATGAGGCGCGTCTCATCGACAAGGTCCTGGAGTTCCTGAAGCGCGAGGGCCTCTACAGTCCGCAGATGAAGGAGATACGAACGGACGATCCCATAGCCACCGATCTGATCGGTGCCCTGCTGACGGTAGTTAAGATACCTCCATTACTTTTATTGATCAGATTTTAACCAGTTTATTTTCTTGTCTTTTTTAGGGACCCAGCGTTTACTCATCGCGTCGCAGCTCGAATGACTCCATCATACGCACTGGCAGCTCCACCAGGACAGCCACTATTGTGCCAGCCAAGATGAAGGTAGGAGAGGTTACCTTAACATATATATTCGTCATATATTGCTCACATATTCCCCATATTAATCTTGTCCAGGCCAATCCCATCATCATGGAACTACTTGAAGAATCTCTCAGCTGGGACTTTGATATTTTCAAATTAGAGGAGATCACCGACTACCATCCTTTGCTTTATCTGGGCATGGAGATGTTCCGTCGCTTCGATGTCTTTGCCACTTTGAATATCGATGAGAATGTGTGCAAAGCCTGGCTGGCGGTGATGGAGGCCCACTACCGCAAGAGCAACACATATCACAACAGCACACATGCCGCAGATGTGATGCAGGTGGGTTGATCCTTGTCTTTTCTCAATGTAAACCAAGCTTACTCTTTGGCTTCCTTCAGGCCACTGGTGCCTTCATCACCCAGCTGACCAACAAGGATATGTTGGTGATGGATCGCATGGATGAGGCCACAGCTCTTATAGCAGCCGCTGCCCATGATGTCGATCATCCGGGACGCTCTTCGGCTTTCCTGTGCAACTCCAACGATGCTTTGGCTGTCCTGTACAATGATCTAACGGTGCTGGAGAACCATCATGCGGCCATAACCTTCAAGCTTACTTTGGGTAAGGATACTTTTGGGTATTAAGAGATATAGAATTTTAATTTCTTGTAATCTTAGGCGACGACAAAATCAACATTTTCAAGAACCTGGACAAGGAGACCTACAAATCAGCTCGCAGCACCATCATCGACATGATTCTGGCCACCGAGATGACCCGGCATTTTGAGCATCTGGCCAAGTTTGTGAGCGTTTTTGGAGGCGAAGAACCTCGTGAGGTTAGTTGAAATAAAGTGATACCTCTATCCAGACTAACCTTTCTTCTAAACTTTTAGCAACACTCGCAGACGGAGGAGGAGACATCCATACTCATGCGCCGCATGCTGATCAAGGTGGCCGATGTGAGCAATCCCGCTCGTCCTATGCAGTTTTGCATTGAGTGGGCTCGTCGCATAGCCGAGGAGTACTTCATGCAGACGGACGAGGAGAAGCAGCGACATTTGCCCATCGTGATGCCCATGTTTGACCGGGCCACCTGCAGCATACCAAAGAGCCAGATTGGCTTCATCGAATACATCATACAGGACATGATGCATGCCTGGGAGAGTGAGTAGTCTCAGAGCTCTTCCTAATCTTTATCCTGGCTAATCTCTCTCTTATTTTAGGCTTCATTGACATGCCCCAGCTGATCACCTACATGCAGATCAACTACTCGCAGTGGAAAAAGTACGACGAGCAGGGCGTCAACACCCTGGCAGACATTATGGCCAAGCAGCCGCCGGTGGGCAAGATGGCCAACTCCAAATAGCATACGGCCTTTCGGAGATTGTTCTCGGGTCTATTGAAGCCACTGCCGGCCCATGTGCCGGGCACCTCCACGATTGGCGAGAACGAAATGGAGGACGTACTCTAGTGACGGCGTCGTTGGTCCTGCGACATCCTTCTACGGACTCGCAGTCTCTCGACCTGAGCCGAGGTTCGAGTTGAAGCTCCACCACCACCACAACATCACCTAAAACACACACACATATCTCTCAACAGGACCAGGTGGTGGCCGGTCGGTGCTGGAGCGGTGTCACAAAAGCAACAAGCAAAAACAAAAACAAAGTAAACAATTATTGGGCTGGACTCAAAATTAAATGTTTAAGATGCATCACAAGAAGCAAACTATTTCTATTTCTATAAAAAAAAAAAAAAACATGTGAGTCTGTCTGTGTGTAAGTGCTGCGCGTGTGTGCATGATGTCCCTCCACCTTAAGTAAATGTGTATGTGTTTAGGCTAACGAAAGCAGGAATGGCTTAAAAGCAGGAATGGCTAAAACCCACAGCATATTGGCCAGAAAAGGAGCTACAATATATGGCGTGCGCTCAACTGTACCTGGCGAAAAAACACGGTGTCAAGGCCAAGCTTTTAGTTCTCTCCCACATCAAGAAGACAATCTCTGTTAGACACTGCAAGAGGCCAAGTAAAACTACATAGTTCAAGCCAAGTAGGAATCCGGCTACAGATTCGGAAAGACTATGAAAAACCACACGAGTGCAGGCAGGATACTAAAGCAGGCACTAATTTAATAAATTACTATCGAAACTGAAGAAACTGAAGATGAGTAAACAAAACTAATTCGAATCCACTCTTGAGACATATTGTATGAAATCGTATGGGGCCCCTTTTACTACTACTACTACTACTACTAGTACTACCTACTACCTAATGATTAACTAGTTACCTTTTACCTTCCCAACTGAACAAGCGGAACGTTGCGATGAGAGAGCTCTATCCTAACACTAAAAACCTACTATTATTAATGTTGTTTAGCTTTCTAAGCATACGGTATGAGAAATCAAACTAAACGCAAAATGTTTACCAATTAAGTGAAATCCTTTTTGAAATCTTTTTATCTAATTGACTGAACAAATTACATATACATATATAAACCAGATCTATTAATACGAATTGATAATACGTTCTTGTTATAACTAAAGAGAGGAGGAAGGGAAAATGTGGAAATGATAATGAAAAGCAAAATAATATATACAAAAATATACATATATATACAATTTATACAACTTTTACGAAGCATATTATATATAGTATATATATATTTATATATATGTCATACGATATCGGCAGTCATTCACAGAGTTACAGTAATTTGTATGTGTTAAAACCCGTGCTTCAAGAATGTTTTGATAGAAATTATATATACACGTATACAAGACCCTAGTCCCGATCCCCCCCACCAGACGACGACGACCATCATCCGTATACCCCATCACACACAGAAACAGTAAACAAATTAATAAATAAACAAAAGGGAAGAGAATATATATAAATGTATCTGCATATTCAGTGTTGTTAATATGTGTGTGTTTCAATTGTATATGTATATTGGATTAAATCGCATAAATTACATTACAAGTTATGAAGTATATATGTATACATAAAATATATAGACGATATACTATACTATATGTTTCTGACACACACAAAAACGATAAATCTTTACACACAACTACATAATGTGTGTGTGTGTGTATTTGTTACTACATCTGTTTGCTCCTTGCAGGTTAAGGATTATAAATGTTAAGATTTAGTCAAATTTATTGTAAAAACCAAAACACAACAAAACAAAACATACAAAAAATGAAAACAAGAAATGCAAATAATACAAATAAAAATTTAAAACAAAATGGAAATTGTCTACAAAATGTGGGAGTTATTGGGTATAGATTAGGGTCAAGGTTGATCATCATAATTATAAACTATTATGGCATCACTTTCGGCTTATTAAAATTCTCCTCTCGCTTTCGAATTGATCGATCAAAGTTTGATTCTCAGCATATAAACAACCTGTTTTTGGGTTCCCAAATAAGGCCTTGCTGGCATTCTTCCAACAAAATGGCTCACCAAAAAAAACCGTGGGCCTAATTTCACCTAAAAAAGGTAAACAAAGCGTTGCCAGCCCCAAAAGAAAGTTTCTTTCTTTCCTCACAAAGAAAGTCTTTCAGCCAACCCATCGCGTGTCGCCCCAAAACGAGTCCGGTTACGCGATAATTGCATAATGTCTTCCAAGCGATGACAACGTGATTGTGTTCCCCATAACTCTCACTCTTAATACTCACCCATCATAAAGGCTTCCTTTCATAGTCAAACTTAAAGATCGTGTCACGCTGTCTTCTCCAAATTGAGGAAACGAAGCCAGAGATTCTGCGAGCAATGTGCTTCGCTTCGGTTCGCCGTTCAATGCGCTTCAAGCTGCCGAGGCGATCAGTTCGATTGATCGATTTTCCGTGTATACAAGTGCCTTTAACCGAGCTTAGCAAGATGCCCCAGTCGAGCTTCTTTGCCAAGAGCGTGCCCTTCGAGCAGATCGACAAGCTGGCCATCAGCGGTGGCTACTCCTCGATCTATGCCACCAGTGAGCCTGCTGTGCCAGTGGTTGGCAACTGGGAGCAGCGCTTCTGCCGCCTGGCAGACACCTTTCAACCTGTCCTGGATAGGGTATATGATTTTGAGGTGCGAGAGGATGATGTATGGATAGTGACCCTGCCGAAATGTGGAACCACCTGGATGCAGGAGCTGGCCTGGCTGGTGATCAATCAATGTGACTTTGAAACAGCCAAGAGTGTGGATCTCACCCTAAGATCACCCTTTTTGGAGTGGGTTTTTAATCAAGAGAATTTCAAGAAAGAAAGTTATATCTTTATTTTTACAGATTCAATGGCGTGGTTCAGAATGTCCCCCACGACACCATCGAGGCAGCCAATGCCTTGCCCTCGCCCAGACTGATCAAATCCCATCTGCCTGCTTGGATGCTGCCCAGGCAGATCTGGAGCAAGCGTCCCAAGATCATCTATGTGTATCGCAATCCCAAGGATGCAGCCATCTCCTACTTCCATCACTGGCGCGGCATGGTGGGTTATCAGGGCACCAAGTCGGACTTTATGCACTCCTTCATCGATGGCTATGTGAATTTTACGCCTTGCTGGCCTCATGTCTTGGACTTTTGGCAGCTGCGCCATGAACCGCACATATTCTTCACCAGCTATGAGAGGATGAAGGGACAGTTGGGTGAGGTTATAGCAGAGGTGGCTCAATTCCTAGGGCGTTCGGTTAGCCAAGAGCAGATACAGCAGATGACTAGACATTTATCCTTTGAGAGCATGCGGGATAATCCAGCCTGCAATCATGTCAAAGAGTTTGAGAGCATGAAGGCAGCCGCTGGACGAGAAGTGGAGGAGTTCAGGTGAGTTTTGGGTGACAGAATCCTCCAGAGTTTAACCAGGAGCTGGCTTAAAAGTAACTCTAATCACAGGTTCGTTCGTCGCGGAGTGGTGGGCAGCCACAAGGATGAGCTCACCGCTGACATTATCCGAGAGTTTGATCTCTGGTCGGACATCAATCTCAGAGATCACAAATTGAACATGGATGACTTTGCCAACTACAGCAAATTTGCTTCCGTCTAAGCCACACCAAGTTATGGCATTAAAATTTCTTTAATCTTTTGTTAATAGTCTGTAAGCTGCGGTGATATAAGTTAAATAAATGATTGCTTTTCATATAAACACAATGTAACTTAATGACTTTACACTGTTTACACGCTTTCTTTCCTGACTTTTATGGGATTTTAAAGATATTATTGGATAAATATATAGCTAAATCTGTTATGAGATGTGAGTTTCCTTTGCAACCTCTCAGTTTTGGTTAACAAATCACTTATTTGCTTTACCATACCAACACCTCTTTGTATTTCCCTGTCCAAGACTGACATCTATATCTTTGCAGTCCTCTTGTTTACAATTCCATTATCGCTTGAAATGAGAGCAGAGAGCTGTCCAATAAAAATCGAATCAAAAAGTAAACAAACAACAACTACTGTGCAATCTTATCGCCGAAATATGAGAGAGAGAAAAATACAGAGAGAGGAAGACATAATGGGAGTAGTTTGCGAAGAGAAGAGGCTTTACATATCTCATAAATACTCCCCTGAGCAAATGTATCTATAGCTTTTACAACTCAGTAAGCCATCGGAATGAAGCGCATTCAGGTCACGCCGCGGAGTTATCCCACGAATCTCATTGACAAAGACTGGTCCAAGCGGAAAATTACCCATAAAAATGTGAATATACAGGAATTCCTTGATGTAGTTCATGACATGGAATTTCGGGAGGATGATGTTTGGATTGTAACCCTTCCTAAATGTGGAACCACTTGGATGCAGGAATTGCTGTGGTTACTCCTCAACGATTGCGACTTTGAGGGAGCTCTTTCTAGAGATCAAGAGCTGCGTTCTCCGTTTTTGGAGTAGGTATGCCACTCCTATGTCTTGGTTTTATACTCTTTATATTTTCTTTCAGGTTTAAGTTCTACATAACTCAAGACGTAGAGGAATCGTTGAAACCTGTGCAAGAACTGCAGTCCCCTCGTCTGATTAAATCTCATCTGGCCCTGCCTCTGCTGCCCTCTAAGCTTTGGCTGGGAACAAATAAAGTTATCTATGTTTTTCGGAATCCCCTTGATGCTTGGGTCTCTCTCTATTATCATGGCGTTACCACTGGTCCTAACTATGGCAAGACTCTAGAACAATATATGGATGAGCAGGTATCCTCCCAAGAGTATGTAACGGAGGTCATAGACCATGCCTACGAGTTCTACCAGCTAAGAAAGGAACCTTGGGTTTTCTACACCAGTTTCGAGAGGATGAAAAAGGATTTGAGGGGAGTGATAAATGATGTGTCTACATTTCTGAATAAGTCCGTCAACGAAGAGCAAATGGAGCGTCTTCTGAAACATTTATCCTTCGAGGAAATGAAGAGTAAGCTGTAAATACTTTTATAGATTTTATTAACTAAAATTTATTTTTAAATACAGAAAATCCCACCACAAATCATCTGTGGGAGAGAGCCCAACACTCTCACACAACCCATAAAGATGCTGGCAAGGAAAAGCACAAGTGAGGAGTCCTTTTTATGAGTAGTTTCCTAATCTATAATTTTTTAATATTCAAGCTTCGTGCGCAGAGGCAAGGTAAATGGCTACAAAGATGAGCTCAAGCCAGAGCAAATTGAGAAGGTCAACGTCTGGATAGAGCAAAGCCTCAAGGAGAATTCTGTTACTATGGAAGAACTTCTGCTGCTTAATGATGAATAGATAAGATAAACTTAAAATAATTACTAAGAGCTGTAAAAGAACAATTAAAAATCTGTCTTAATGTCGGAATGGGAATATAAATTAACTTCTCGAGTGCTATATTTCGATTTTATTAACAGTGGGTTCTCTAATTCAAATCTTTAAGCTCTTGCAAAAGGCCACTAAAAACAAACCCACAGGAATAAAAACAATACGATTATAATAAAAACCCACTAAAGTCTTATCTTTAAAATACTAGAGAGAACAACAGACAGAGAGAAGTTAATGGCTCTATGTATCTCTTTAATACTCCACAGCAAATGTATCTATGGTTTTCAAGTCAGTTAGCCGTCGGAATGCAGCGCGTTCAGGTCACGCCACGGAGTTATCCCACAAATCTCATTGACAAAGACTGGTCGAAGAGGAAACATTTCCATTGGAATAAAGATGCACAGGTTTTCCTTAATTTAGTGCATGGCATGGAAATTCGGGAAGATGATGTGTGGATTGTAACCCTTCCGAAATGTGGAACCACTTGGATGCAGGAATTGCTGTGGTTACTCCTCAACGATTGCGACTTCGAGGAAGCTCTTTCCAAAGATCAAGAGCTACGTTCTCCGTTTTTGGAGTAGGTATGCCACTTTAATAATTAGGAAATCTACTTTTTATGTTTCCTTTCATTAAGGTTTAATTTGATATGTAATAATAATGCTGAGCAAGCGTTAAAGTTTGTTCACGAATTCAAGTCGCCTCGTTTGATTAAGTCTCACCTGCCTCTGGCTTTGTTGCCCTCAAAGCTTTGGAAAGGCAAAAATAAAGTGATCTACGTGTTTCGTAACCCTCTGGATGCCAGTGTGTCCCAGTATTATCACAATTTGAATTGGGGATTTGCTTTTGGAAAGACCCTGGAAGAGTTTGTTGAAGAGCGTGTGTCCAGCGAAGACTTTATAACGGATACCATTGCACATGCTCATGAATTCTGCCAGCTAAGAAAGGAACCCTGGGTTTTCTACACAAGTTTCGAGAGAATGAAGAAGGATCTGAGGGGAGTGATCAATGAGGTTTCTACATTTTTGAATAAACCCGTGAGCGAGGAGCAAATGGAGCGACTTTTAAAACATTTATCCTTTGAAGAAATGAAGAGTACGTTATTTTTTACAGATACTTTTATGGATTATTGAATAGTTTACTTTTGATTATAGAAAATCCAACCACAAACCATAGGTGGGAGCAAGCCCAATTAAAGCTCAAAGATGCTGGCAAGGAAAAGCACAAGTAAGGAAAGTTCCTTCCTATAACTTTCTGAAATAATTTCTATTTTTGAATTTTCCAGTTTCATTCGAAAAGGCCAAGTTAATGGCTACAAGGATGAACTCAAGCCAGAGCAAATTAAGAAGGCCAATGAAAGGATACAGAAGAGTCTCAAGGATAATTCTGTTACTATGGAAGAACTGCTGCTACTTAATGAATCCTAAAAGAAACTCTTTGAATAAAGCTAAAAACCTTTTCTTTTTTAAAAGAAAATCTAACTCAATATATTAATTTTTAGTTTCTTTTTTAATTGTTATAAAATATGTTTCAAAAAGTTTATAAAAAGTCCAATATTTGTAAGGCACACGTAGACACATATACTAATAATCGCTCAGAGCGTTAAGCTTAAAATTCAGCCTTAGGCCGTGGAGGTCTCCACCTTCTTGGCATTGTCCTCCTTGGAGGAGGGACCAGTCTGTGTGATTTGCACAAGGCGTTCAGTCGAGGGTGGCGGCAGCTTCTTCATGGGCGCCGTGATGGTCAACAGGCCATCGGAGGAGAGGGAGGAGGTGACAGTATCGGGATTGACATCACCTGGAAAAGGTATAATTAAAAAATAAAGTTTGTAAATCAAAGATACATCATAGAAACTATATTTCCGATCTTTAAAAAATATTGAAAACTCACTGGGCAACTGGTAACGCCTGGAGAACTGCCTTGAGACATAACCATGCTCATCCTGCTTCTCCTCGTGCTTTCCCTCCACAATCACAAACTTGTCCGCCACCTTAACAGTGATCTCATTGGGCGAGAACTGCTGGACATCCAGAATCACCTCGAATTTCTCGCTGTCGATGGTCAGATTGGAGCCAGATTCCTGCTTCTGCAGGCTGTTCTTCTGCCAGGGACGCAGGTAGCCCGATCGCAGGACTGTTGGCCGAGAGTTCCACACGGAGGACATCAAATCATCCCGCTTGAGGCCCTGGCCAAAGTGTTGATCCAAAAGGCGCGAGGTGCGCATTGGAAAGTCAAGCTCATCCCACCAATCACGGAACATCAGGGGCACTACGGACATCTGGTTTTGATCAAGGAAATAATCAAGCTAATCACTTGGCACTTGTAGTCCTTCTAGCTTTGTATCCTTTTGCGTACCTTGGCTATATCTTTTCGATCGTACGATTCGCGTGTGGTTTTCTATTCGCCGCCGTTGCGATTATGATGGAGCTCAGCGAGCATTCACACGGTTTTATACCCACAGACGAGTGTTTACATCCCAAAGCTAAAAATATGAAAATTTATTTCCCATCTAAATTTAGGCGAGCGTCATACACACTCGGTCTCTGTCTCTATAGAGAACATACCAAATTTTTTTATATATAAAAGTATATTTGGTGCGAATCTGCAAGTGATTTCTTGGTGTTTTTTGTTTGATTTCCGTGGGAGTTGAAGATTTGGAGACTGACTAGACTGCTTAGTCGGCTGACCTAAAGAAGATTCTGTTCTGCGGAAGTTTCTAGTTTTAAAAAATTGAATCATTCTTGAGGGTTAGCTAAAGACTCTCTCCAATAAATTGTTTTTGGCAGGTATTAAACAACAAAAACCCACGCAAAATTCTTATAGTTTGTACTCTAAAATGTATTTTGTTTATATTTAAAAAATCAAGAAGGTTTAAAGCCGAAAATTGTATACCCTTGTAGTCCAAAAATGATCATAGCTCAGCCAAAAATTGATGAATTTCATTTCGGAAAACTGTTCTATGCTAGTTTTTATTAAGCTAACAAATCTGCTTACTACATTTTTAAATTTAAAAAATTAAAAAATTTCGAATTTTTTACAATTTTAACGATGTAACCCCTTATAAAATTTTGAAAAAAATTATTAAATTTTTTTATCTTTCCCACATATCTAGAAAGACTCGCCTGTTAAAGCTGATCAAGAATATATATGATATATAGGGTCGGAAATGATTCCTTCAATGCTTTTTATGCTTCAGACTAAAATTATAATACCCTGTAAGGGTATAAAAATGCCTTGAAAATATTTTCCAGAATATTCAAAGCTAAAAGCTTATATCAGCCTGGAAAATGCCAGAACAAAATTGGATTCTTCTTACGCCCACAAAATCCGTCATATATATGTATATAGAAAGTTCACTCGATTCAAAAGGAATTTTCATAATTTTCCACCTGTGAAAATTCGGTTTGATGTGGCCAATATGAAAATACTTTGCCCACTAAATGAGTTTTCCAACTATTTTAAGCATCTGCTGCCACTTTTGCTTGTTTCTTAGCCGTTTCCCCTGCTGCTGCTGAGTCATGTCGCGTGCGTTTTCAATCAGACTTATGGGTATGACGTCGCTTGTATCGCCAAGAAAACAAACAAAATAAGTAAAAAAAGAAAACAAAAGAATTTTCATATATTGTTGAGAATTTATATCAACAATCTTGTTGAGTTAGTATGGCATAAATCATGAATTAAAATTATAAAGAGGTGCTGTGTATATTGCAGGTTGCAATAACTAGGTGAATGTATTTTGTTCTAAAGCTTTTTCTGTGTTTTTCTATCTTTATCTATATTTTTCGTTTCGCTTAATTAGGAATAAATGAAGACATTTTTTTGTGCATTTTTGTTTATTTTTGATTTTTTGCCATTATCTTGTATATTTTCCATGCTATTTCTGTTAATTCTTAGTTAGTTAGTTAATTTTTATACCCTTGCAGTGAAGGAGACGTTTCCGACCCTATAAAGTATATATATTCTTGATCAGCATCAACAGGGGAATCTTTCTAGATATGCCAGGAAGAAATCGATTTTTTGGCCATTTTTGAAAAATTTTAAAGGGGTTACATCATTAAAATTTTTGATTTTGAAAAAAAATTGAATTTTTAAAATTTTTAAATGAATTATGCAGATTTATTAACTGTAGAAAATCTTGCACAGAACAGTTTTCAGATTTAAAATTAATGCTCTTTTGGCCGAGTTATGATATTTTTAGTTTAAAAAAAAATTAAGAAGTTTTTTAATATAAAAAATCAGATTTTATAATACAAAATAATATTTTTCTAAGTCAAGGAATCATTTCCGACCCCATAAACCATATATATTCTTGATCAGCATCAACAGGGGAATCTTTCTAGATATGTCAGATTTTTTGGCCATTTTTGCAAAATTTTATAAGGGGTTACATCATTAAAATTAGCAAAAATGCCCAAAAATTTTGATTTCTTAAAATTTTAAATTTGGTATGCAGTTCTTTAAATTAATCAAAACTAACACAAAACTGCTTTCCGAATCGAAACTAATGCATTTTTGGCTTAGTTATGATATATTTTAAGGGTATACAAACTTTGGCTGGCCAAAGTTAGCTTTCTTTCTTGTTATAGCTTGAAATTAGATTATCATCACTATTTAAATTAGATGATTACTATCTTCTGTACCAAAATTATAATTATACTATTATAGTATATTATTTAATTAAATTATAATTAAATTCTCTCTTTCCCAAAGGACTTTTTAATATTTAAATAAATGAATTTTAATATTTTTACTTTCCAAATGACAATTTAATATTTAAATTAGTTAGTCTAAACATTTCCCTATCCTTTTCTTTACCTAAAATCCCACAATCTCTCCCCGAGTTAACCCTGTATTTTACCATGTACCCGAAATGCAGCCGAAACCGTGGGTCAATTACCACTTGAAAATGGCCAAAAAGCTCTCCCGAAAAACAGCGGGCCAAAACAGATGTGCAACTGCAGGCGGTGGCTCAGCCTGCTGGGTGTGTGAGTGAGTGTGTGAGTGAGTGTGTGTGTTTGTTAGTGTGCGAAAGTAGTGAAAGCTGAGAGCCGACGGCGAACGGGGCCAAATGTGTGGGTACTTATGCAAGGCAGCCGAGATGCTGCGTTGCCGAGATGACGACGCCACCGCCCCAGCAGGAGGTTAGAAAGCAGGCGACATTCACCGCAGGACATGCGACACGTCAAGTATTCACTGTACCTTAAAGCCAGAGAACTGGCCAGTTTGTCAAGAAAGTAGTAAGCCAACAAAATGGTGAGTATATATATTATTTTTAAATAATTTTAAATTAAATATTTAATGTTAATTAAATATCCATACAGTGCTCGCCCCTTGTGTTACCCAAGAAGACCTCCCGACTGTTGCTTCTGTTGCTCTTCTGTCACGTGCAGGCGCATCTCTCCAAGCGCAGCTACTCGGACCAAAGTGTCCACGGCTACATGACGGAGGTGGCTCCTCTATGGCCGGAAATAAGCTTGGTAGACTAACCCTCTTTCCGTTTACGTTTCCTCCATTTTCCAGCGCACCTGCTGGTGGAACGAGGTATGCAAGGAGGAGTTCCAGAGCCTCTTCCGCTGCAAGTGTCCGCAGTTCTCCTACTGCCGGTGAGTCCAAAAATTGTGAGACAGGATTTTGAATTGAAATTGAAATTGTTATTTGCGGGCGTAATTTGCCAATCGGATTTCCTTAGCTCGCCGGGACGCTATTATAATGCCTACTGCTCGATGACGGACACCGGCTATATTTGGACCCAGCCGAACTGGGATTGGGGGGCGTAGGATGAAGTAACCCCGGATCCGGACCCGGTTTCATTCCCCTCCTCGCCGCCTCGTCGTACTCCACACAGTTCGCTGTGACGTCAAAGACACTGACTGCCGACTGTATGCTTATATCAACCACAAAAAAACCTTTTAATCGGGAGAGCGGAGAGAAAATACACATCTACCAGGATGAGGAGTTTATCCTTTCCAGCAGCTGTTATTGATATTTGTGCTAAATAAACTTGTGAGTTGGTTGTGGTAAAACTTTTTGGACAAACTGTTGGTTGGTTGGCTTTGTGGAAAATCAATAAACGCTTTTCAATTCACAAGAGCTTGCGGCAGGGCCACAGTGGGTGTAAAGACAAATAAAACTGAGACTTTTATAAGGAAAACACTAGGGAACAATTTATTTTAGGCTCTTAATATTTCAAATTACATTTTAAAATATTGTTTACAGACTTTTTGGTCTTAATTGAAATATTAAAAAAAGGTTTTCCTTGTTTTTTACTATTAACTTTTATAAAAATATAATTTAATGTAATTTTCTCTACTATTTTCTCCCTTTTTACTCCCAAAAAACCCCCCTTTTATCCCCACTGTGCAAAACTTTTTTGGCCTTGTATTTAAATTAGGTTTTTCTTTGTTTTTCATTGTTAACTTTTATAAATGTAATATTTTATATTAGTTTCCTTTAATTTTATCCCTTTTTTATCTCCACAAAAACCCCCCTTTTACCCCACTGTGCAGGACCAAGGCGCAGGCGTCGCATTGAAAGCGAAAATCGAAAAGCGTGGGAGCCATTCACAGTCCGTGTGTGTGTGCGAGTGCGTTCGAGTGTGTGCTTGAACCAGAGTCAGTTAATCTTTTGCCAGCTCAACATTTAGACACCAACACCGCCAACACCAACAGATGTTGGCAGTGCGGAAAATCGACTGAGCGCAGCCACAGGCCAAAAAACCAAAATTTGTTTTGCCTGACAAAAAATCACAGGACTTCCACATAACAAAAAAATAATGTTGCGCCTTCCGTTCGCGGCCCTTCTGGCTCTAATAAGCCTTGGGAGCGTGGCGCCCACTGGCAGCAGCAGCAGCAGCAGCAACCACCTGCCAGCGGGTCTGGGCATGGATGTGGAGCTGGAGCCTGCCCAGGTCAATCTCAACGAGCGCTTCTTCGACCAGGTGCGAGCCCTCATCAAGCGGCGGCTGCAGGAGAAGGAGCTCTCGAAGCCTGCATTGGAACAATCGGAGCAACCGCTGCCACTGGTGGTGGACGATGCCGTTGCCTTGCAAAATCAACGCAGCTACGACAATGTTCCCATACCGGCTGCCAGTGTTCCAACTCCCGTGCTGGTGGAGAACTGGCCCACGGAGCAGCATAGCTTTGGTCAGGTGACCGCCGTGGCAGTGGATCCTCAGGGCAACCCCGTGGTGTTCCATCGTGCCGAGCGCTATTGGGATGTTAAGTAGGTCAACAGCTGTCGCCGCCTAGTAACAAGTGTCTATCCCATATGTATAGAAAGCAATGCCAGAAAGGGGGGAAATGGGTTTTCAATTTTTTTGGGGTCAAACTATGATTTAGTTTTAAGTTTTTAAAAGGAAAAACTTTAAAGTTAAAGCGGAGATTTGATGGCAATGCAAATGTATGGGCCGTAGGCATCTTGTTACTAAAAAATCTTTTTTATTTATATTTTAACGCTTTCTTCTCCTATTTTAGCACCTTCAATGAGAGCAATATCTACTACCTAATCGAGTACGGACCCATCAAGGAAAAGACCATCTACGTGCTGGACGCGAAGACGGGTTCCATCAAGTCCGGCTGGGGTTCAAGTATGTTCTATATGCCACATGGCATGACCATTGATGGACATGGAAATTACTGGATCACCGATGTGGCCATGCATCAGGCTTTCAAAGTAAGCTTAAAAGCCTAAACCCGGGATTACCTTTACTAACAAGTTCTTCTTTTAGTTTAAACCCTTTAGCAACAAGCCGCTGCTCACCATTGGCAAGCGTTTTAGGCCTGGCTCATCCGTTAAGCATTTGTGTAAGCCCACTTCCATAGCAGTGGCCACCACGGGAGAGGTGAGTAAGGGAGGTCTAGTTGAGAATTTTTCTTATTTTCCTATTTTTCCACAGTTTTTCATTGCCGATGGTTATTGCAATAGTCGTATATTGAAGTTTAATGCTGCTGGTAAACTATTGAGAACCATTCCCCAGCCACCCGGTGCGTATACGTAATATTTTGGTTAACTCTGAGATTAACTAACAATCCTTGTTTCTTTAGAGTTCCTGTCCCTGCAAGTGCCACATGCCATCACCCTGCTGGAACACCTGGATCTCCTGTGCATTGCCGATCGGGAAAACATGCGTGTGGTGTGTCCCAAGTAAGAGTATTTATATTCTTTCTCAGTGCAGTTTAATCCTTAAGCTTATCTTTGCAGAGCTGGCTTGATTTCCTCCCATGGCGAGGGTGAACCCGCAGCCACCATCCAGGAGCCCGATCTAGGACGCGTCTTTGGCGTGGCCAGCTATGGCGATATAGTGTTTGCCGTCAATGGACCCACTTCGATGCTGCCCGTGCGAGGCTTCACCATTGATCCCCGCTCGGAGGCCATCATTGGTCACTGGGGCGACTTCAAGAATCCCCACTCCATGGCGGTCAGCGTTAACGGTTCGGCACTGTATGTGACCGAGATTGGGACCAATCATCAAACGAATCGCGTGTGGAAGTACGTGCTGGCCTGAGGCTAAGTCAGAGGAAAATCCCCCCATATAACAAAGAAAAACCAGGCCCGACTCACACACACACTGCGCACCTGCATATCCCTAGACCTAGACCCCCACAAAATAGCCACAGAAGACTAGAGCCCAACCAGAAAACAGTTTTAAAATCATTGTCAGAGATCAATAGAGAATAGTAAGTGCTTAAGTTCAAGTGTACAAGTTATAAGTATGTAAATTGCTTGAGAAACAATACCACAACAAACATAACCTCAGACTCTCTTTATGTTTTGCACTGTAATGAGCAAACGAAAACGAAAACCAAAAACGAAAACGAAATTACATGAGAAACGCAGCTTAAAGGTAATAGTACATATACTTAAAATGTAATAGCTATGCGTTTAGGCACTAACTAGGCATGAATGTGAGGATGTGGGGCGGCGATAACCGGGACACCCGAAGCGCGCATATAACGTACGTACATTGTGTATCATATTTGTAACCTATGTATATCAAAAATATATATATATATAATCGACTATCTGTATCTTATCGTCTTATCTCGTAGCCCCCCATGTAAATTATGTATGTAATAAACTGTTGTTGTTGTGACGTGAACGGCAAAAGTCCATAGAAAAAGCAACGGGGGGTACTATATATGTGGTATGGATGTACATATCTGGATAGTTTTCTATTCACGATATAGAAAATATTTTAAATTTGATATGTTGATACTTGAAATAATCAAAAATATCACATTTAACTTATCAATATCATCCAGAATATTCGATGTTTTATATAATTTTTGGTCTCTTGAAAGACAATAGGGATGTACATATATATTGGGATAATTTAACGTTCAAAATATCGAAAATATTGATACTTGAAATATTCAAATATAGAATTTAAGTTTTTTTTAAACTTTTTTTCTATCGAAATTTTATCAAATTTCTTTTAATATTATCGTTATTTTAACATTTATCCCATATTTTGTTATATTTAAAATTTCAATATATCAAAGTTTACATTATTTTCCTCTCGATATACATCCATAGTTCCGATATTATTGACTATTCACCCCCCAAAAGGCCCAGGAATGTTTACTTTCTAAATCTACAGATATATCTTTCTACAATTTAACTTAAACTCAATTCCAACGGCAAGTTTGCATGGCAAACATTCAAATTTACAATTCCCGGAGAATACCAAAATATATATATATAAATACATAACGTAACACAAACATAGATAAAATATAAAAAAAAGGAGGCAAAAAAAAGGCGGAAAAATAAGGAATATCTATGGAATGCAACACCTGTCAGGTGGCGCTCAGCCAATGCCTGGCAAATCGCAGAGCCTCATTCAAGTGTGTTAGCCATTCTAGCAGCTCCGCTTGAGTATCTGCCGCAAAGAAGACACCTGATTCGTATTCCGACTGCTTGCCCTGGACCAGAAAGCTCCTGGCTCGAGCGCACAGCTCTCGGGGAGCTGCCGATATATCAGTTTGTCCACATCCCGGCAGTTCCATGGTGAAAATGGGTGATTCATCTGCCAGATTGTGCTCGTGCTGCCAAACGGATACGAGCACACCATCCAGGCTGCACCAGCGGCGGTTCCAGTGGTGTCTGCTCTTAGGATCCTGCACGTTTAGGTAACCAGCGAAATGGATCTTGGGCAGACGTAGATCCACTCTGCCTGTGATGGATATACCCGGTCCCAGATTCGTGGACTTGGAGTGTGGACTTAGAGGAAACTTCCAGGTTTTCGAGCTGCGCAGGCAGATCTTGTCACCAGATCTTGTCTCACTGGCCACCAGTTCAAAGGGAGCTAAGTCCATGGCTCTCAGGGTAAACGACGCATGCAACCTAAACCGGGAGATTATGTTTTCTGGTCCAGAAGAACCCGCTGAAGAGTTGGAGTTGGAGGAACCCAGATTGCCACTGCCACGACGCTGCAAGGTACGAAATATATAAGACTCAAGCCTGGCATGGAGAGCTATGTACTACTTACCAGCGATTTGGCAGGCTCCAGGGAAAGTGTGGAGACCTTGCGCAGACGCAGCATGAAGATCTGGCAACGCAGCTCCAGGGAATCCGACCTTTCATCACTGTAAAACTCCAGGCCGCAGTCCCTAAAGAAGGCCGAGCCATTCTGACACTCCACCGACTGCGTGGAACGTATGACACCGCCGCTCTCAAAGGTGCAGATAAAGTGATAGTTGAAGAACATATCCAGGCTCACATCGGCCCTTACAGGCAGCTCCATCGCATCAATCAAAAGGCACTGGGAACGCCCTGGATTTTCAGCAGCTACAACAGCATAATCCTCACTGAGCGGCGCTGCCTTACGCAGGCTAGAGAAAAGCAGCAATCGCTCGGCCTCCACCATCTCCGAGGAGATCTCCAGCTCTGGCATTTGGCGGCAGATACTAACAGCCTGGGCCAGTTGCTCGCTGGTGCTTAGCGACTCGTTCAGCAGGGAATCCAAATTAAAGCTGGCATAGTAGGTGCTACTGTCGCACTCCCCTGCCTGGGACTGATCCCGCGACAAATTCAAACTCTGAGCCAGCCGCTGCTTTTCGGCTTTGATAAAGTCCTTGCCCTTGCGATACGAACGACGCAGGGCATCCTTCAGCAGGCGATAGCGAGCCAAAGCGCTAACCGACATCAGTTGGCTCTCACTGGGCAGCTCACCCAAACTAGAGCTGTTGTGGAGGACGGTCTCCGCCTGCTGGGGCGTTGTGGGGCAGCTGAAGCTGAGATTTTGACGCAGCGGCGTGGCTGGGCCATCGTTAATATCAATGCTTAGATTACCGGCGGCGGCAGGCTGAAAGACAAACTGAATCTACTGAATCAAAGTTGATGAACCAACAAATTTGTGTATTTTATAAGAAAGCCATGGATGAGTGTACAGTACAGCAAGTGATGATGGATAGAAGCTATTTACAGTGTATACAGAGTGTATCCCTTAATGGGAGTCAACAAAAATCTCTACCTTGGTGGTGAACCTCTGGCTCTGCTGCTGTGGCTGCTGTTGTTGCCTCTTTTTCGGGGTACTTTGGTTCTCCGGCTCGGGTTCTATCTGCCCTAAGCCGTACTCATTGGTCACAAAAGAAGAGCTGCTATAATCCGCATACAGCTCTTCCACACCTTCATGGGGCAGGTCATAGGACACGGAATCCACATGGGAAGAGGTCTAAAAGAGAGTTTTTTCCAAGTTGTAAATAAAGTTTGAGGTTTTTTCTTGTATAAATCACTCACATTGGGCACTTTCTCCAGGCGATCTAGCACTAGTTCACTGCGACACAAGTTGTCCAGAAAGATTTCACTGCGCTGCAGCGAGAGTTCCGAACGGGAGAGATTCCTGTTCTTTTTGGGCGGCGAATCCTTCTCACTGATGTTGTTTAGCGAATGATGAGTTAGTGGCGGTGGTGACTTAAGCTTGGGCTGATGAACCACCGATGATCCGGTGCTCTGACTGGCCGAGCAGGAGGTGGTCTCGGAGCTACTGCCTGGCTCCTCGGGCAAAGGCATGAATTGAAAGAAGCTGCCGTTTTTCAGGGATTCGTGTAGGAAGTGACCCAAGGCCAAGGGTGGTTTAGGAACTGCAGCAATGGTTTGCTGCGCCGCCTTTGTGGTTACTTCACTCTGTACTAACTGGGCTTTAGGTTGCCCCATCGGAACCCTGGTTACTTCATCTTCACTTTGCACTACCTGTGCCTTTGTCTGAGGCGAGTTCTTGGGCGTCTTCTGCACCCGGGCGTACAGGGCACTAAGATCAGCGGGCGAGGGCGAGGGCACTGGCGTGATTTCACTCACATAAGCTGTAGAGCTGGGCGTGGATGTGGCCGTGGAGCTAATGGTAGGATTATTTGGATGTGCTGCAGTCCTGACCTCATGATGGGGACTCCCCCTAAACCGCAAGCAGTCTTCCTCAATCTCTGAATAAATGGGCTCGCTGTCGGCTCGTTGGCAATTGGTCAACCGCAAAGTGGTGGCCACAGAAGTGGTGGCCAGGCTGCTGGTAGGTCCATCAGTGCAGTCAAAGCTAGGCACAGGATCAGAGCGAGAGCAGTCCTGTTAAGAAAATAATAACACACATTTTGAATTTCGATAAAGCAACGCGCTCTGCTTGTTATCGATAACAATCTCTTATGCAACCCAGCCAAGAAGAAAGGAACAACTAAAGCAAACAAGGCAAAAACAGCTGACTGAAGCATTTTCTATCCCCTCCCCTTCCCTTTCGTTGTCACATTCGAAGCCAAAATTTCAAGTTTTATAAATTTAACCAAATAATAAGGACGCGAGACGCTTTGGCCGATGGCGAATCACAACTGAGGAGATGTACAAAGCCCTGCTCCGCGCATTCCCCATCGAAATTCCCAGCGCCATCGCCAGGCGTCTCAATATCACGAATAGCGTCAAAGTAAAACGCACGAAAATGGAAACGAGCTACGACTTCAACCGACGCTGGACACCAATTCTGGGTGCCAATGGTGGCAGGAAGAGCATTAACAACAATAAGGCGGCCACCTTTAAGCTGGTCTCGTACAATATTTTGGCCCAGGACCTGTTGCTGGAGCATCTGTATCTGTACCAGAATATCCAGCAGGAGTTCCTCACGTGGCGTCGTCGCCAGCAGAACCTTCAGCGGGAGCTAATCCGTCTGAATCCTGACATCCTGTGCCTGCAGGAGATTCAGTTCGATCATTTGGCCCCGTTCATCCAGGGTCTGGGCATGGGCAGCGGCCGACGGCTGGCCTATGTGTACAAAAAGAAGACCGGCCAACGGACGGATGGCTGTGCCATTGTCTATGACTCGACCAAGTTCCAGTTGCTGGATCAACAAGCCGTGGAGCTGCATGATCCCGATGTGGCTCTGCTCAACCGCGAGATGGTGGCGTTATTTGCCAAGTTTCGCTTTAAGAACTACCCAACTCCCAAGGAATTCGTGGTGGCCACCACTCATTTGCTGTACAACCCAAAAAGATCGGACGTGCGCTGTGCCCAGTTGGCCAGAACTCTCAGGGAGCTAAGCACCTTTGCCACGGACGACACACCAGTGGTCTTGACCGGCGACTTTAACAGCGAGATATTCAGCTCACCCATCCAGCTGCTTATCGGCGAGGAAGGAAGAAAGGAAGCCTGCAAGGAGACGGATACTATGAGGTTCGATATCATAGATCCGGGCGAAGGCACTGTCTCCACGTACCAGGACAACTGGATCACCGTGGACTACATCCTGCGATCACTCTGCTCGAAAAGCAAGCACAAGCTGCTGCCGATCAGCGTCTACTCACTTCCCACGATCCAAGCCTGCTTTCGCGTGGGCAAGATTCCCAATCACTATCTGGGCTCGGACCATTACGCCACAGGCGCCATCTTCAGTGTTATTTAGATCTTAAGATTGTCCCCTCATTAAAGTGTTGTACAACTCACCCGAAATGTTCTCACTGCCCGGTCGTCGCTAGCCTCCAGATTGGCCCGTATTTTGCTCAGCAGGTAGCCCATCTTGTTTATGGTCACATCGTGGTCAAGATCCTTCTGATACGAACGATAAGTGGCCGCCGTTGTGGGTTCTGCTTGAAAATCTAGCTTGCGAGCTCGGTTGGCACGTGGCAGTTTCTTTGGCGGCGTTGGTGCCTCCACCTTGCGCTCAAAGTCAAAGTACGGCTGCTGGCGAGTGGATGTTGTTGTGGCGGAGGGCGTCGTCTGCATGGGAGAGTGGTAGCTACCTGGCGGCGACTGGGATTGCAGATCCAGCTGCGATGTGGAGGTCTGCACGCCCACGGTGCATAGCTTGGGAGGTGTTCTAATCTGTGGTTGCTCCTCCTGCTGATTCGATTTCTTGGGTGAAACAAAGCGGAGAATCTTGTTCTTGGAGTTATTAAGAAAGTTCTTGGACTTGGTTCCCAGCTTCTTAGACTTGTTGCTCTTCCAGGGCGACAAATTTCGCCACTGCTCGCCCCAAATGAACTTCTGGCTAGCCTGGCCGCCAGTGGCAGTGATCTTGATTCCTCGGGGATACTTGATGGGCGTGTCCTTGTATTCCATATTGGAGGCCAGATTCTCGCTCATGCTGCCATCCACAGTGTCCAGGGAGATTTTGGGAACCACTGGCTGCGGCAACTGCCATCCAATTGCCACTTGTGGCTGAGCTGGGGCATCGTGTGTCTCGAACTCCTTGGCCTTCTGCTTGCCTTCATAGTTGAGCATGTCGCTGATCTTGGGCTCTGTCCAGCCGAGTATGATCTGCTTGGATTCGGCACTCTTCCGGCTTTGGATGCCCGTCTCCTGACGGATATTCCTAGCATAATGCGAGCCACGCTTGGACTCCACCACGCGCTCAATATCGCTTAGAGAAGGACAGGTGGGCAGATGTGCCTTGCTAGGACTTTTCCTGGGCTTTTCCACCTCAGCTGCAAGGGTAACTGAATCAGTGAAGCAAACAAGGAGGCAAGGATTCCATAAATGAAACCGTAACTCAAGATGTTCAGAAACAAAACTCTTTATTTTGGCAAATATGTACATTTGGTTTTTTGGGTAAATCTAATTTGGCTGGGGTTTGGGGGTTTGGTTACGGTTTCATTTGGGGCCTTGGTACTTGGCTACTCACCCATGGGATAGGATCTGCGCTGGCTCTCCTTTGACTTGGTTAGATTACTGACTGGGACACGGACGCCTCGCTTGCGCAGAAACTCGTCTAGAACACGCTCTGCTTCTCGCACAGAGGGATTCGTGGAGGTGAGCGAGGTGCCGTCCGTGAGACTGTGAGAGCTGCATCTTGGTGGCTTTGGCGGCGGTGGCTTTTGACTAACCCGAGATTTGTACTTGGCTTCTCTTTGGGAGAGGCGCTTCTGCAGAAGACGTCCGCCTCCGCCAGAGCTGCGTCGAGAGCCAGAGCTTCGGCGACTTGAGGGCTCTAACGACTCCTTCTCGTGCTTCATCTCCTTCTCGTACTCCTCCTCCACAGCGGACTCCTGCTCACTGATGTTGGAGAGAACAGGAGCCGAGGGCTTGTACTCTATGGCCTCGTAGCTCGCTTGTTTTGTCGTTGTGGTTGCCTTGAGAGTTTGCGACTGAGTGTTTCTCCTGTGCCTGCAAGTGGCTATGGGCAACTTTTGACGATTTACCCGCACCTCGGACACCACACAGTTGTCGCGCAGCTCCTGGATGATGTGTATAAGCGGATCACTGTCGCCGGACACGGCTCGCAGGCGACTGACAGCAGTTAGAGGAGACGTGCTCGAGGATTTCACATTGGCTGGTTCACTCAGACGGCGTTTTTCCGGCTGCTGTTTCTCCTGACTGCCCAGATTGTTGTGCTTGGTGGCCTGGAAAAAAGAAATAACCTGGTTTATTAAGGGTTAAATTAGGAGTTAGATTGCTTGCCCACCTTGCTGCTCTCGGACCGCCTGCTGCGCCGGGGCAGGCGCACGTGCTGGTCACGTGGCGGCGCGGTGGAAGCGCAGTCGCCACTGTCGCTGGTAAAGCAATAGCAGAAGCCGTTCTGGCAAGGTTTGCCCTTGCGCTCCTGCTCCTTGTTGCATCGATTCTGGTTGATTAGGTCTGCGTCCATGGTCCGGCGCGTTCTTGGCTCCCGATTATTCCTCGGCAAGTTGCTGTCGCAGTCGCGACTGTGGCTGGACACCCGGCGGGTGCGGCGTGCCCGGAACTCGTCGATGCACTCCTGCAGACTGAACGAGCTGGTCGAACCAGACTTTGCGGAGTCTTCTTCCTCCTCGTCCTCCTCCGTTTGCTCCTCCTCCCCCTCTTCGTCGTCGTCGGCTAGAACATGTTTGGTGGAGAACTTCGAACCTGCAAAAGTCTGTGTGTGCCGTTGTTTACATGGTTGCAAAAGCGATTAAAAATGTGTTTTTATGCTTACGGTGGCCATGTTTTCGCTCTATTTACAGATGATAAGACACGAGGCCAGCTCGGTGCGTGCGCTCCACTTTTACACGTTGCACACGCTTTCTACTCCGCTTCGTAGTTTTCCAATCAAAAGAAAAGCGACGCCGCCTGCATTTCACGGTTTCTCTTTTGTGCCGCTTCTTCGTACCTTTATCAGACCAGAGATGGCGAATGGGAGGCGTCTGTCGGCAGAGGTGAGCGATTATAGGCTAAAAGTAGCTATGATTTAACTTTTTTTTTCCCCTTGTTTCTTTGTCATATCTAAAAAGGGCTTACTGTGTTTAGTAATTTTTGATTATGCATTAGTTATTTTAAATTTTTACATAGTTCTTTTACGATTTACTAAATTCTTGTACTTGTTAGCTACTTAGTAGCTAGTTCGTAGCCTCCTCACCAGTGTTGTCCAGTAAGGAATATTATTTATTAATAATAAAAATTGAATAAATAAATGTTTAAAAAATGCAAAAATTTAATCAAAATTAATGGGTTGGTTTAAAAATTAAATTAACGACAACGGTAATTATTTTTATTATTATTATTAGTTTAAAATTTATCCTTTTGAAAACCGCCAGATCTAGCGGTAAATAGCTAACTGGGCAACGCTGCTCCTCGCCGACAAGAAACAGCTGTCAGCTGTTACGTCGTCTCTAATTAGGAAAACTTGTTAAAAATTAATATTTAAGCAAATTTGAATTAAAAACAAATACAAAATGTCAAACAGTCACTTGTTCATGAAGTCGGGCTTTCCACGGGCTCCCCTGCAAAATGGCCTGGGGCGCTATGTCTGCCAGCTGCAGCGAATCACTCTGAAATTCTGCAAAAACAATGGTTCAAGCAGAGGCATGCGGTAGGTTAAATTCTTTAATTAAACTGTAAATGTATTAATTATTAAAATTCCAATTACACAGAGACTTTATTGAGAACCACCTGGTGGACTTTGCTAAGGAAAATCCTGGTATTGTGGTCTATGTGAAGCCCCGACGCCATCGCACACCCGTTTTGGTGGGAGAGTATTGTGAGTCTTCAACAATTTAAGCTTCTAAAACGTAGTTTTTAATATTTAATAATATTTCTCGTAGTAAATGGCGATCGTGAATGGTTGAACTGCAGAAACAACACCCAGGAGGAGATCTCCAAGTGGATAGACCTGCTAAAGACCCAAAACGGCAGCTCCAGCTCTCTGCGTTTGCGTAAAATGTGGCACACGGATGTGCCCTCCATCCAGGGACCCTGGACACCCTTCCTGCTGCGTTCCCCGGAGACCCAAGGCCAAGTTTACCCGAATACGGAGGCCTCCAAGCCGCTGGAGACTCCACAATCCGCCACCGAGAAGCTTATTGAGCTCTTCCGTCAACAGCAACTGGAAGCTGGCGAGGAAGCCCACGATTTGCTCAGCAAAAAGCGGGCCGAGTAAATAGATTTATAAGGAGTTAAGGATGTTTTCGGTAATTGTTGCTTTTTATTTTATCAACAAATAAATATTTAAAATCTAAACGACTAAAATGGTGCTTGAAATATCGAAATTATTGTCCCCATTAGCGTTGTTTCTCCGATAGTTTCGATATGTTTCGATTTCAAGTACTTGGAATATCATTTGTGGGAACCGCGCAGTGTGGGAATATCATCATAAATAATGCTTAAGGTTAGTGACCCCTTTGAGGCTTGGAATACATAGAGAAATACGAAGATCAATAGGCAAAGGAGTCTGGGTGATAAACAGGTTCTGGTGACAACTTAGCATGGTTTACATCTAGCACACACAGGTGAGTTTAGGTGACGCTGATCCGCTGATCAACAAAGGTTAATTAAGTACATAGAAGTCTGATTCAGACGGTGTTCTTTAGCGAGTTTAGAGTATCAAAAAGTAATTGCTTTTCTTGTGCTTGAAGTATTTTCCATTTAACACTTGGTCTTACGCATATATAGTACATATACATATATAAAGTTACACGCACACACTTACTATATACGGTCAACGACTTACACACCAATTAAAAGAAAAGCATTTTGCTCGAGTTTACAATTTCCGTTTGGTGAATTCCTTTGGCGAAATGCATTTGGTTCTTCCTAATTATTACAAACTACATCATTATATATATATAGACTTGAGTACACATACAAATATTAACGTTAACGTTGTCATCAAAAAATCAATAATACGGACGTCTTTACACTTTTGATATTTGTTGTCAATGATATATCACCGATTCAAATTAAATTTAACTCTGTTTATGCCTGGCTTTCCTTTGTTTTCCTTGTGTCTTTTCTAGCTTTTCTCCCCAACGCTCTCCCTATCTCTGTTCTCTATCTAAATCTAGACTTTTGTATTTTGGTGTTGGTGGGTGCGCTTATGGTTTAAGCAAGCTGGCTGCTTTTTGGTTTCGATAGAGAAATAGCCTTTCATAGCACGCAATGTCAGCTTAGGTCTGCATTCCCTTCAAATGTCACCCATCTCCATGGCGGCATTAATGTCAGACACGATTTTACCCATCACCTCGCGATAGGGGGAGTCGGATCGGAAGGCAGTCTCCAGCAACGTTGCCTCGCCAAAGAAATCGAACACTTCGTCGATGCGACCCAGCGATTTCTCTGTGAGATGCGGCTGTACAATGGACTTGAGTGCCACATGCGATTCGGCAATGGACTTTTGCAGGTAGGCCAAATCGAAAGTAAAGTCCACCTCATAGAATGATATGATGGAGAGTTGGGTGTTCTGAAAAAAACAAAGAATGTGTTAAAGTTAAAGAGAAGAATTAAGGATACCAAAAACTCACCTGAAACTTCCTCTTAAAGTTCTCCGCCTTTTGCAGCTCCTCGTCGCTAAACTGATTATTCCGGTGCAGGACTCCAATCTTAATCACAATCTTGATGATATTCTTGATCAGCTTCTCCGCCTTGGCCTTGTTCCCGGTGTGCAGTTTGCACAGCCTGTACAGGTTGTCCAGCAGCGAGGCCGTTGTACCATCAATGAACGTCTTGGCTATGTTTTTGGTGGCCATGCGTGAGAGGATCTTCTTCTGCGCCCGCAGCCCGATATCGTGCGACTTGAACACATTGTCGGCCATGACTAAAGCGGAAAGGGAGGGGTCCCCGAGGAGTGGTGCATACAGAGAGATTCAGATATTATTATCGTTGCATATTCATTGACGCGAGGCATTGTGGCGGAGCAACAAAACGGAGAAAAAGTCAAAAGAAAACTGAACTGAACTGAAGACTGACAACTGAGAAGCAAAGCAGATCCGCACTATTCAGCGGTTTACCTTCCAAGTTCCAGTAGTCAACGCTCCACAGCAGCAGACATTGTCGAAGCGTCGACATGTTGGTAGCCTGTTTATATTTCACACACAAGTACATACATATATTACACCGATTCCAGAGGCGTAGGCATTGATAAGAAATTACAAATATATTGAAGAAACAAAGCTCGATTAGGCTACATTCATCATCATCGTAGTATCTTTAGATAAAGAAATAACCTGCTTCTTTCTTCGCAGCGGGTTTGGTAGGAGTTCTTTGTTTCTTGACGGGAATGAGGGAATAATAAAGTAAAGACTTGATAAACAGAACTTAAATGTGTTGTGAAACATAATAAATTGCTTCCTAAACAAGTTTCTGTAATTATTATTATTTTAGGTATTATTTGTAAGGAATTTGGTTTTGTTTTACGTTTAATTACTTGTTTGTATGTTTAGAAATTCTTTTAAAGATAAACTAATATTATTTTATAATATTTAACAAAATTAAAACTCACTTAAGTATAGGAAATTGTTTTTCATAAAAAAATAATATAGTTTTTTTTTAAAGAAGTTTAACTGTAATAATTTTCCATGAGTTTTAAATAAATAACATTGAAAAATATTTACTTATTTGTTATCTTTGATCTTTCAGATCTATTCCTTCTTAATCTGAAGAAATTAAAGAAAATTAAGCTTTTTATCCTAAATAAATCTACTTAGTTCCCCTTAATGAATCCAAACTGTAATAATTTTCCATGACTAATGTACATTTTCACGGGAATTATGTACAATGCGCCGCTATAAATAATCACTATTGACACGAGGCAGTACATAAAACTCAACTTGAGACAGCTGGAGTGGCGGAAGCTTCACTGTATCAATAATGGATGACCAACTGTGCCCGTTGGTTGGCGGTATCGCCTATATGGAGGTTCGTTCTAACGGCTTCGGAGCGCGTGTCGTACGTGTCAGAGCCTTAAATGGCAATGCGGCGGCAGCTTTTTCCAACTGTCCAAACAAGGAGTCTAGACCAGGGCTAGCAAAGACCAAGGGAATTTGTGTGTGCGTGTGTGTGTTGCCTCCCGGGAGGGGATTCCCCGCGGGTCAACCAAGTTCAAGCTCTCAGATACTTATTATTATCCCCACCTAAGCTCAATCTAGAGCAGTGCATCCGCATCCCTGGTTTCTAATTTAACTAAGTGAGCTCCGGTTCCACTTAGATAACGTCTAACATATAACCGTGCCATGACACGGACCTCTCCAAATGGTTAAGGTCACGCGAAATGCAATAATACGGTCCGAAAGGAGGCCTAGCCCTGAAAACTTTGAGTTGGGCCGTGTGGGCGGTGGGCGTTGATGCCCAAGGACATAAGTGGAATGCGGAAGTGCGCTACAGCCAAGGCACTCGGCCTCTTGAGGTCTCCTTCTCCCCTTTCTTGGCCAACTTTGTGGGCCAACTTTGCTGAAATTATCGTGTGATTTTGATATTTGATATTGATTGCAACAGGCAGCCCCAACCCCCTTTCTCTACCTCCTTTCCCCCCTGTATGCCACAAATAGCTTTGGCGCGCCTCACCTGTGTTTTTGTTGCTGCAGTCCTTGGCTTTATCCTTGAATCCTGCGCTTGTGTGCGTTCGTGTTTGTGTATCCCCTCGGCGTTTCTGGTATCCAAAATCCTGGCGCTAGCAAATAAAAGGGGGCAGCTGCATTGAAATGCGTCGGTTTCGAACGATTTTCTGCGGAATTTAATGCGCAACTTCGATTAAACATAAAACAAGTCAGCGAAACAGCAACAAAAAAACAAAATATGAGCCACAGTGTGACCGGGTTGGACTAACTGAAAATATCACAAAATATAGCCAAGATAGAGAAACTAGTATTAGTAGTTTTGGTATATTTTAAAAAAAGCGCCAAATAAATTATAAATTTGTTAATTATACAATTTAAAATTAGATTATATTTATTTATATATTATTTTAAATTAATTGTTTAATATCTTTTAAATTAAGCTAATTAAAATAACACTTAGATTATAAACAAGAACTTTAAAAATCAATTATAAGGTTACTTTTTTTTAAATAATAAATAACTGATATAATCACATTAATTTTATATATAATTAAAAAAATCTACAAAAATTATATACAATTCTATAACAATAATTAAGTAAATAATAAAATAATTATCAGCTTGAAAAAAGTTCAATGGTTTTTTGGTATATTTCTAGCTTGAATGGTATTTCCCACTTGCTGCAATTTGGTCACACTTTCAAAGGTCCAGCTGCGCGAAAAAGATTTTCGATGCTTCGTTGGTTGTTTTATTTCTTAAGAAATAGCAATTAATCCAGTGGGAAAACGCGGAAAACTCAAAGCATTTACATAGCGGCCTCCAAGATGAACATATACAACAAACTGAGGGCCAGGGAGCACGGATTCGGTGAGTTTCTGGCTTGGCGGGAGAATCCCACTTTTGGCGCTCGAATTTCCTGTGACTAAAGGTGTCGATTTCAAAAAGGCTTCAAATGAGTCTCGGGCGTTAACTGACAGTTTAAAGTTAGAGCACTACAATCCTACCTGTAGGATGCGTAGTTGGCCAAAAGAATGCTTACTGGCTGCTCCCTGGGAATTTGCTGATCGTGCAATATTTCGAGGGAAAACCATGACAAAGCCACGGCATTAATTTCACAAATGTTCTCTCCTTTCACATTAAAGCCAACGATCGGACATACGACTTTGCCCTGCGCCGCCTATCCGTTGCCAAGGAGGACAGCTGGCGGGGCATTGCGCCGGCCAACTACTGTCCGGACTTCAACCCAGAGCCGCCGATCTTCTCCGCCAAGTTTGCCAACTGCGATGGCTATCGACACATTCTGGCGATTGCCAACGAGGACGGCAAGATCACGCTGCAGGACACTACGCAGAGGAATCAAGAGCCAGAGGAGCAATCCCTGGCGGGTCCCCAGTGTCACTACAATGCCGTCTTCGACTTGGAATGGGCCCCGGGGCAAATGCGCTTCGTTTCCGCCTCGGGCGACCACACAGCCAGGTTGTGGGAGGTGGCGGGCTCTGGCATTCGCGGCCTCAACTCCTATGTGGGTCACACACGCTCTGTAAAGTCGGCGGCGTTTAAGCGCACGGATCCCGCTGTCTTTGCCACCGGCGGCAGGGATGGCGCTATTCTTATCTGGGACATACGAGCCAACCTCAACATGGACCTTACATCGCGGGTGGACAACTGCATCTACAGCGGACACACGGGTGGCCCGGGAACGCCAGTCTCTCAGCGAAAACAGCGCACGCGGACACCCAAAATGGCATCGAGTACCACGTCGAGCAGCATTACGGGCCTGGCCTTCCAGGACAATGACACGCTGATCTCTTGTGGAGCCGGCGATGGAGTGATTAAAGTGTGGGACCTGCGACGAAACTATACTGCCTACAAGAAGGAGCCGCTGCCCAGGCACAAGCTGCCCTATGCAGGCCACTCCACCTTCCGCGGTTTCACCAATCTGATTGTGGACGCCGCCGGCTCCCGGCTGTATGCCAATTGCATGGACAACACTATATACTGCTACAATCTGGCTTCCTATTCGCCCCGCCCGCTGGCCTGCTACAAGGGCCTCCTGAACTCCACGTTCTATATCAAATCCTGCCTGAGTCCGGATGGGAAATATCTGCTGAGTGGTAGCAGCGACGAGCGAGCGTATATCTGGAATCTGGACCATGCAGAGGAGCCGCTGGTGGCCCTGGCTGGGCATACGGTGGAGGTGACCTGCGTGGCCTGGGGCTCCAGTCACGATTGCCCCATTGTGACTTGCAGCGATGATGCCCGGCACAAGATCTGGCGAATTGGACCGGATCTAGACGGGCTGAGTGAAGCAGAGCGTGCGGAACAGTATCGAGGAACTGCCTCCTATGTGAGGGAGTTTGGCAAGAAGACTTCCACGGCTCCATCTGTGGGGAATCACAAGTACAATCTGCGTGAGCTGGAGTCTACGCCGAGGTCACTGAAGCGACTGATGGACCAGAACGAAAGGACTCCCGGCTCAATGGAGAAGGTTACCACCAAACGCTCTTTTCTGGAAATGCTGGGAGTGGCTAATGGCGAGGCAGAGGCCACCGAGCAGCCCCAGAAGCGAGCAAAACCTTTGGAATCCCGTGGCAGACGCCTATTTGGACCCTCTAGCCAGGAGAGCACCTGCCGGCACATAACGCTGGCAGCCATCAACGAAGAGGAGGCCTCGCCCAGCAAGCGGCAAAAGGAGAATTCAGCGGCCGACGAAGTCTCTCCTCTGCCAAAGCTGCTCAGTACGCCCAATCACTCGCCATTGAGTGAGAATGTGAATCATGTGTACACCTCCCCGCCCACAACTTCGGCGGCGGCGGCAGCAGCAGCAGCTGCTGCGGAGTCTGCCAATCCAACGCCGCTCTCTGCCGTCATCTATTCGCCCACCTCCAACCTGCCCAACTATGTGATTGACGGCGAGGCGCCGCATCTGGGCATCATGTCGCCCAAGCGCAAGGCCAAGGAGAAGGTGGACTGGCTGACGAACATCCGCAAGCAGAAGCTTATGAATGGCCGGGCCCATGTGACGCTCAGTGATAAGATGAACGAGGATCAGCAGCAGGCCGATGTGCTGGCCTCTCCGCGTCTCCAGAGTCTCCGGCAATCTGAGTGTAGTCCTCGGTTGCAGGCCACTCCCCGCAGGCGCATCTCTCATACAGATGGAGGCGGTGGTGGCGGCGGAGGCACACCCTCAGGGGGTTCCTCATCCCACAGCCATACCCCAACCCAGCCCAGGACGCCCACCTCGAGTAGAAGAAACAGCGAAACTACGCTGTTGCGTTTCTTTAGCATTCAAAGGAGCAGCAGTGTACCGGCGGAGGAGGGTATAGCCACTGCTGCTCCCTCCTCCCCCCTTCCAACGGCGGTAGCTGCTCCCGCGACCACGTCCCTAAGCATGCGTACGCCCACCACGACGGCGGTGGGCGGTGGAGGTGGCGATTGACGCGGAGCAGCGAGCTTCATTTCATACCATAATTGCACTTGTAGTTTTAAGCGGACATTGTTTAAGTTATTTTTTATTGTAGATCCTAAGGTTGCATCTTTCGCGGGCCGGGTTTGGTAACCAACTCCCCCGTCCCCCTTTTGTACAAAAGACTAAAGTACCCCAAATAAAAAGTAAATCAATTTTTAATTCTCTTTTTTGGATTTTTTTTCGTCCTTTTTAGGCTTTAATTGAAATTAAAATTTAAAAATTAAGGTTGTCGACTAGAAAATACTTGATTTAGATTGTGCTCATTTTAAGGGGGATTTCCCGTCTGCCAAATTTTAAAAGTTTAGTGAAAAAATCATCGATATATCGATAAATTTGGACTGCCAACTTGATTTATGATAATAATAAGCTACTTTTGTTTATAGCAATTTAAGTTATTTATTATTTTTTTCTTTTTTTTTTTTTTTGGCATAATCAAAACATTTTTCACTGGCACTCGTGGTTAAGGATTCCTCTAAGGACCACCTATTGGACCTTTTTCTGCTGCTGCTGATCCTTCTTAATTGCGCTATTCAGTCGCATGGTCTGGAAGAGTTGTTTGGCCACGCCACCAATCAACAGGATATGGCTGATGTGCAGGGCAGCACTAGAGAAGTTCGTGCTCGGATAGGTGTTCCAGCAATACTCAATGAACCCGAGGATGAGGCAGCGCACACCCAAAGAGTAGGGCGTGGACCAGGCCAAGTAGGGCAGCGAATGGAAGTACCAAACATAGAACTGATAGTGCAGAGATCGGGCGCAGGCCACGCCCACCAGGTTGCTCAGGAAGAAGGGCAGCAGGGCCAGCTGAGTGCAACGATCAAAGTGAATGCCATAGCGTTCCGGTTCCGACTGGGAGGCAGGAGCTGCAGGCGAAGCCTTAGCCCCAGCTGATTTCTGAAGGGTCTTCTCGAAGGACTTCAGGAAGGCCTGCTGCTCATTGGTGAGCTTCTCCTGATCCTTGTTCTTATCGGTCTTCTTCAGCCTCTTTTGGGTCTTCACCTCACGATTTTTATTCGCTATTTGTGGCTGTAGTTGATCTTCAACGCGGCGCAGGCGCACATAGCTCTGGAAGAAGGTCCAGGTTGGCTTGGCAAATACCAGCAGGAGTACTAAATGCAGCCCCAACAGCGACAGGTGAAAGTTACGATTCTCGAAGAGTTCTCTGGTCAAAAACCTATAGTTCACCGTCCACTTGTGCTCGAAAATGCGTCCCAAATCGAAGCTACCTCGCAGATACTCCACTGGGTGGGTAAGCAGGAAGGGAGCGCCAAGGAGGAGCTGTATGCCTCCGCAGATGACCAATTGGAGGAGCGTCTTCAACAGTCCCAAATTGGCCAAATAAAACAGAAAGAGAGCAGGAGCATACAGCAATATGTTCATCTTCACGCCCACCGCCAGGCTAAAGAAGACGCTGCCAAAGGTCCACCGTCGATCCATGAAAAGATTGAGGGAGGCGTAGAACAACACTACGGCCACGGGATCATTAAAGAGTCGCAGCACGTAGATCGAGTGGATGCGGTACGAGGTGAAGGCGCTCAGGACCAGCACATATGGAGGAACCTTTCGGCTCTTGGCGTAGAGACGCAGCACCAGAGCCAGCTGCAGGAGGTAGATTCCGGCGAAGATGTACTGCGCCAGCCGGACATTGGCTCCATGGGAGGTGAGGTAATACAGGGCCGTGTATATGTATACGAAGGCAGCGGGATAAACCAGAGGTCCAGTGTCACCTGAAAGCAGGGATTACCAATTAGTTGGAAGCTACAAAATTAACACAATATTTGTAGTATAAATTTATTTATTTAAAATTTTAACGATGTAACCCCTTATTAAATTAAAAAAAATTTAGTAAAATTTTTTTAACTTCCAAACATAGCTAGATCAACTCGGCTGTTGATGCTGATCAAGAATATACATGATTTATATGATCGAATATGACTTCTTCAATGTTTTCTCAGCTTTTGACTAAAATTAAAATACCCTTTAACGGTAAATATTGCGTTTAAAAATAATATTTCAAAAACATATTTTTCAAAAGTGGTTAATTTTACACAAAACTCGACCACCTTCGTTATTTTACCCGGCGTCTTATCGCCTTTTTAAAAAACCTCATCGATATCGATATCGATAGTGACATCGATGTTTCGAGAAGCTCTAGTGTGCGAGCGAGAGAGAACACTCGTAGGGCAGCATGGAGGCTATTACGGCATGTTAGCTGAAAAACTGATACATTTGTGAAATAAGATGATTTCGTGTAAAAATTTATTCGTGTTTCGGCAACTGCCGTCGGCACTGGCCGCCACCGCGTGCTCCTCCGTCGCGCCAGCCTACCGGAGCATATCCACCGCCTGGCGGCCGCCGCCGCTGCTGCCCCAAAGGCAGGCACAGGCACAGGAGCACAACCTCGTTCGCAGCTTCCACACTTCGCGGCAAGCGCTGGCCAAGGACTATTACCAGACGCTGGGCGTGGCCAAGAACGCCAACGGGAAGGACATCAAGAAGGCCTACTACCAGCTGGCCAAGAAATACCATCCGGACACGAACAAGGAAGATCCGGACGCCGGTCGCAAGTTCCAGGAGGTCTCCGAGGCCTACGAGGTGCTTAGCGACGACCAAAAGCGACGCGAGTACGACACCTATGGCCAGACGGCGGAGAATATGGGTCGGCAGGGCGGCGGATTCCCTGGAGGCGGATTCCCCGGCGGCGCCGGTCCCGAGGGCTTCTCGCAGAGCTGGCAATTCCGCTCGAGCATCGATCCCGAGGAGCTCTTCCGCAAGATCTTCGGCGAGGGCAACTTCCGATCGAACAGCTTCGACGACTTTGCAGACTCAAAGTTTGGCTTTGGCCAGGCCCAGGAGATGGTGATGGACCTGACCTTTGCCCAGGCGGCGCGGGGAGTGAACAAGGACGTCAATGTCAATGTGGTGGATCAGTGCCCAAAGTGCGCCGGCTCCAAGTGCGAGCCTGGCACGAAGCCAGGTCGCTGCCAGTACTGCAACGGCACTGGCTACGAGACCATCTCCACGGGCCCCTTCGTCATGCGCTCCACCTGCCGCTACTGCCAGGGTACCCGCCAGCACATCAAGTATCCGTGCAGCGAATGCGAGGGCAAGGGTCGCACCGTGCAGCGTAGGAAGGTCACTGTTCCAGTGCCCGCTGGCATCGAGAACGGCCAGACGGTGCGCATGCAGGTGGGCAGCAAGGAGCTCTTCGTCACCTTCCGCGTCCAGACGAGTGACTATTTCCGGCGCGATGGAGCCGATGTACATACGGATGTTGCCATCTCCCTGGCCCAATCGGTGCTAGGAGGCACAGTGCGCGTTCAAGGTGTCTACGAGGATCAGTGGATCAATGTGGAGCCGGGCACGTCTTCCCATCACAAGATAATGATGCGAGGCAAGGGACTGAAGCGGGTGAATGCCCACGGCCATGGAGATCACTATGTTCACATCAAGATTGCGGTGCCGGACAGCAGGAAACTGGACGAGAAGCGGCGGGCATTGATTGAGGCGTACGCTGAGCTCGAGGAGGACACACCGGGACAGATACACGGAATTGCGCGGCGCAATGATGGCAGTAAGAAAGCAACGTAAATAACTCCCGAGCTACCAATGCAATCTCTAAATGTTCCTTGGTGCTTGACTTTCTAGTTCACAAATATATACAAACGTGCGTTTTATGTGCGAATAAAAGTGTTTTAAATAAATGTATTTTTTTCTTTTTCTCCCCCCTTAAACTATCTTTGCAGCGCAGGTGCGAGTGAAGCAGGAGCAGCCAGTTCCGGAGGAAAAGGAGAAGGATCAGGAGCAGGATCAGGCTCCAGCTCAGACTCAAAAGCAACAGCAAAAGGCAAAGACCAGCAACAGCAGCAGCCGGGCCAAGAGGAAGCCAAAGCGAAAGAAGCCAGTGGATCCGGACAAGGCGACAGCGGAGGCGGAGGCTTCTTAAACAAAATCAAGTCCATGTTCAACTAACCCCCAGTTACCCCCTCAACTTGGTGGCCTATTGATTCTGTTTTTTAATGTCTAAGTTACGCACGTTATTGTTGCTAGGGCTTAATCTAAGTTCGGGGCGAGAACCGACCGAGTGATTGATGTATTCCAAATACGAGTTGGAAGTTCGAAAGATGGAAATGTGAATAAATACCAAAATTGACCGTCGTTCGAGGCAAGAAAACAAATGGAAAAGCGTTTGAAATGTTCTTAAAATGTTAACAAAATTGAATTGCATCTTAAATTCTTTAATTTATAAAACAACAACGATTATTTTAAGCCTGTAAAGGCATCTACCTAAAGATAAATCCCAACAGGTGCAGGAATATATAGGGAACCCCTTTATTTGGGTCACCCGATAGCATCCAAAAATAGAACCGGCACAAAAACTTACCCCGGAGCAGCGCATAGTTGGTGGTGCCGTTAAGGAAACCCTCACACTCCTGCATATAGGCCACCCAGTCGATCTCCGTATAGGGCACACGCTGGATCACCACCAGATTAATAACCGTCTCCGCCAGCAGGATAAATATGGCAACCAAGGGAACGGCGGCCGGCTCCAGCAGCAGGTACTTGAAAAACCGCACATTCAGGTACTTGTCCTGCATGGATTGCAGGAAGCCAACGGATTTCTTGCGACGCACCGCCGCCCGGTGGCTATTAGCCTTTGGCGGTGCCATTTTTGTGTTATAACCGGCGTAATTAAACCGAAATTAAATGCAAATAAAATCCACGCGAACAATCAGCTGTTGCGCCAACTATCGATAGGCGTTTGAATTGAAGGTAATTGAAAATGCTATCGATTGGCGATGTAGCTTATAGCCTAAAAGTACAAAAAACGAACACGTAAGGGTCATTGGAGTGGCGCCACCACTTCCGGTTTTTATTTAAAACAAATTTTCAGAATAGATTCTGTTGAAAGACTAATAATAACAATTAATAATAATTATTCACAAAGTGTAATATTTATATATAACTTGAAATTTGTAAGATTTTGTTATTCAGCTCGAAATATCACTAAATTTGAGTTAAAGGTGTTTTTTAGTCCTGTTTTTTTTTGCAAATTAAGCTTATAGTTTCTTTTTGAGCTGCATTTCTATTAAAAAGCTCCCAAATATTGTGTTTTAAAAATAACAAAACTACGATTTGGAATACCTTTTGTCCGCATTGAAACTAAAAGCAGCTTAAAAATATATTTAAAAAATAAAAGAATACGACTTTCTGCGCAGATTAAAAAGTATCTAATAGACACAAGCCCAAAAATTTTTATCAAATAAAAAATGTATATGAAATATCCATCTGCAGCCTGATAAAGTTACTGTCACCAGAATTTTGGTATTTGGTATTCGACAGGGAAATGAAAAATAGTTTATTGAATTCGAATTGCAGAGGAAAAGTTGTCCTGGCCCGCAGGCTAAATACCTGTGAATCGTTTTGTTTCTTTCAGCTCCGCCCTGTTCAGATAATTGGTGTGCCTTTCAGCCCCTCACCTCGGCTGCACAGGTAAGTGGGCGGGAAAGGATCAGAGGCAGGAGCATCACACACACACGACATGCCATGGTTGAAACTTTTTTGTTGTGCAAACACGTTGCAGTGGACACAATTAATGAATCGCGACAAGGACGAGAGAGAGAGAGAAAAAACAAGCAACAGGGATGGGAAAATCAGGGAAACATTTACATCCGTAGGTTGGCATTTAATTGCCTTGAATGGATATCCTGGCAGGAGTGGGGGCAATGCAAAGTGGGGTTAAAAGCGGTCGTGGCTTCAGTTGTAACCGGATAAACGGAGGGTGGCATTGGCGTTTGCATGCATGAGCTCACCGGACGGTAACGGCGACCCCTTCACCTGGGCTCGTGTTACACGATGGTTTGCCCTTAGCAAATACATCTCAGCGATGCGTTAAACCGCCAGAGCGCCCACTCAGGCGAACCGCCCTCCAACCACAATACCCCGCCCCACATGTACCTGTCCGCAAACGTTGTTAGCCATCATCGATGGCCGTTAATCTGGCTCGCAAATTGGCCGCGGGCTGATTGGTTTCTTGCCTGTTGCGCATTACCACCTTCTACATACTAGCTGGCTCTTTTAGCCTCGCGGGGATTTGGCACAAATAGGGGAGCATTCAATTCACTGGAATGCAGCTAATTACATCAGGTACATATGATATGTTTAGATTCTATCCAAGGGCTAAAAGAGTAGCTATTTAAAAAGGGATTTTTTGGAATATGCATAGTTTTGGGGATTTTAAAGGGAATGGAATCTTAGCTTATATATTTTATTAGACTTTCAAATAAAACACGACTAATCAATGCCTTCTATTCACTGAAATGCAACTAATTAATTACTAGTACTATGTTATGTTTTGTTTTAATTCACCCCAAGGCCTTACAGCAGTAAACAGCTGAAAAAAAGGCTATTCAGGCAACGGACAATGAAACAAGGATTGCTTTTCAAGCTCTATTGTATTTTGAATTATCATCATTTGTTGCCTCTAAACATGAATAATTTTCCTAATTGGTTATTTGATAGTTTGTGGGCCGCACGGTTAGGAAAGTATGTACTAGCAGTTGATTTAATTTACACTTACAGTGCAGAAACAAAAGAAAAAATCTAATAAGGATATTAATTAACATACTGTTTTTTTTTTTAATTTAATTTATGCTACCATTGTATATATTTTATTAGTTACATTCATTTAAATATGTTTAAATTGTATATTTAAAATAAATATATATCTTTTTAAGCTCATATATTTAAGTGAAGAATGTTTGTCTGAAGAATGTAAGGAATTTCCTCAGAAATTGTAAATGCATGGAAATATTTTAAGCTTGAGAGCACTTTAATTCAATAAATATTTTCATTTAAATAATTATAGCAAACCATTGAAAGATACTTAATTTGTGGCTTTTATTCTTTAGTTTTATGAATCACACTTTCATGGTTATTATTTAATTTATTCTTGTACAAATGAATTAAACTTTCATATAAAAAGTTTTGCGATAACTGACTAATAGATTTGAATCTTAATGTATTTTAGAATTTGGCAAAGTCATTCAAGTTATCAGTTTTTTTTTTTTTGTGAAATATATTCTATAGTGTGAAACATATGCCTTTTCATGTTTGTCGTCTCAAGTTTGTGGGTCAATCGAGTCCGAGTCCGGCAGTTGTTAGTTATCGCTCTCTGAACTGTGAAACTAAATCGGTCATTCCTTATCGGTCGCCTTTCCTAGGTCCCAACAGCCTCTAGCTTTTAGCTATTGTATGTATGAATATGTACCTTATTTCGTAGTGTGAGTGAGAAAATTGTTTATTAATCAATAATAATAATAATCAGCAGGCAGGCGGGCACGCACACAGCAGTAACTCTGTATCGGTGCTGTTATCAGGCCGTCGCTGCTGCTGCTGCTCCCATTGCTGATAAGCTTGCTTTTCATTGTTTTTATTGTAGTTATTGTAGTTCAATGCAAATCTCACAGCATTCGGCCTATAATAGTTGCGAACAGTACTTTGCACTCGGGGCGGCGGCTGGCTGCTTATTAATTTCATTTCCCATTCGTATTCACAGCCTTTGCATTTTATTGTCTCACGATTTAGCCATAAAAATGGGGACGGGCATTTTATTTATCGCCGCCGCTTATTGCAATGTGCATGATACTTGGGTGCTCTAGGAGCGATTGAGGGAGAGAGTGCTGTGGGCCGGAAAATGTCTCTGGTAGAGTAAACAAAGCCGGGGCCATTCCTCTATGAAATCTTCTGTTTGTCGAGCTTGAGGTACAGTGGAGATTGTGTAAATCGATTAAGATATGTATTAAGAGGGAAGAAATTACAGATCCCTTGAATTTGTCGATTTTTCATTCATAAAATATTTGTATGCCTTTAAAATATTTATATAGACTATTAAATTAAATAGAAAGGTGTCTGTGAAATCACTATGGTAATTTTAAGGAGAGTAACGAAAGTATTTTTTAATATGAATGGCATTAAACATTAATGAAACACTTATTCAAAATTTGTAATAACTACATTTTCTAAACTAAATTAACATGAATAAAACTAATTTCTTCAAACATTGAATTATCCCGTTTGTCTTTTCTTTACCTTTTAATATTTCTCTAGAATATAGAATATAAATTATTCAAAATTATAAAATACAGAAAACCTTGGCAGAGATATTAGCTCAAATTACAGAATTCTTACTGTGGGCCTTAACGCTCCGTTTTGCACTTTGAGAGACGATGTCTATTGACTCTTTGTTAGGCCCCAACGCCTCCAAAAGGAGTGGGTGGTGCGGTGGAAGGAGGTGGAGAAATAGAAGTGCGAGGGAGACCAAAAAGTGTTGAAAATTGAACAGAGGACGGCGCGGCGTGTCGGTACACATTTGCATCTACTCTCGCATCAACAAGCATACACACACAGCCAAAGGCACACAAACGCAGACCGCTTTTATAGGCCTCAGTCATTTAAGAGTTCAATCATATGAAGCGTCGTTGTTGTCGCTTCGTTGTCAAATCGTTCGTTGTTGTTTTTGTCTTTTACATGTGCTGCTCACATACGCTGGACACAAAATAAAAAAAAAAAAAAAATATGAATAAAAGAGAGGGCAAACACAGAAAAACAACATTTTTGTAGGGCATATAAGACATATGCAATACCCTGTAATGGTACAGTAGATATCCAGGATGTACGAAAGTGTATTTTGATTTGAGTTTTGGTTTTATTAAATATTTAGAAATTTTCATTGATAATATAGTACAACAAGTAAGCAAAAAATAGTAAATAAAGATAGATATTTATATATAAATTAATCTTTGAAAGGTACCACAAGACGTATAATCAATTTTAAAAACGCTAAGAAGTATGCAATTAAATATTTATTTTTTGATTATATATTATATATATTCGATTTACATTGTAATCATAAGAAAAGTATTTCTAATTTTTACTCACAATAAAAATTATAAATAAAATTATACCACAATAAAAAGTTTGTAGCATACATCAAGGCGCCCAAAAGTGACAACACCTCGTATGAGTGATTTTTTCCTATTTTGTTTTTTGTGTAATTTGCTAAAGGAACCCGTTATGCTCTTCGGTAATGGGGCAGGGCATATTGAATGCAGGGCGACACCAACAAAGTAGTGGCAACAACAACAAAATCAGCGGCAACAAACACTCGAAGCTTTCGTTTCTTATGCGCCTACCCTGCCCCCTCTCACGCCAGCTGTAACTGTGCCTGCTGCTGCCTGTTGCTGCCGAGCCTGCTTGCTCTCTCTTTCTTTCTCTCAACCATTCCCTCCCCCACTCGTGCTCCCTCTCTGTCTGGCTCGTAATGAGCTTACTGCAAGTGTGTTCGTGTGCCGAGTGCTCCTCGGCTGCTGCTGCTGCTGCGATACAGCTGGGAAGCAGCAGCGCCAGCAGCAGCAGCCCCACCAGTAGATTTCGGTTGCCATTGCCGCTTTAGTTAAAGTTTGTCGCTGGCCGCTTTCGGTTCTTCGGCTATCAGGCGCGCGCCAGAGCGAAAGCGCACGAACGCACGCACACGATAATAAACAGCCGCCGCCCCCCTCTCCACTGGCACCCACTCTTTCTGGCAGCAGAAGATCGCGGGAAATCAGAAAACTCCGAAAACATCGGATAACCGTTTTTATTTCGTTAAACTTTTTAGTTCTTTTCGTTTCGTTTTCGGTTTCGCTTACGTTTTCTCCGTTCTCGTTCTCTTCGATTCGTTGTGGTAACTTGTTCGGCTTTAAGTTAACAACAAATGCAGTCAAAGATAGCGCCAAAAACCAAAAAAACAAAATAACACTAAAAAGAGCGCCAAAAAAATAGCCGAAAAAAAAAGCAAAAATCATTGTTATTGCATGGAAAATTACTACAGAAATTTCTTGTTCAGTGTGCCGGGCAAAAGCAACTGGCAAAAAGAAACAAAACACAGAAAAAAACCAAAAAGCAACCCAATCCGAATAACACAGTAAACACAGAAAAAAACCAAAAAAAAAAAGCGAAGCAACAACAACAACAACGGGGCAAGAGCATAAATTAGATTGGCCTCATAGACGAATAACAACGAACTCGAGCCGCCGCGTAAACAAATTAAACGATGCTGGCTGCTCAAATTTAAATATAAACTATTATTGTTATCGCCGCTTGCTGTGTTAGCGCTGTGTTGTCTCGCTTTTTCTATACTTTTTCGTTTTTCGCGCCAAATGCAATCGATTTTTTTCAAAACTTTTCGGACTATTTGAATAATGAATGGTGGGGGAGGGAGTGGGAGAAGAGCGTAAATCAAAAGCGTGACTAAGAATAATTTTTATGAAATCAAGCAAAAACCCGTGTCACTTCACACCCGCGCAACATATCCCGAACATCCGTTCAGTTTCCGTTATTTCGAAAATGCTCTTTCGAGTGCGCTCTTCTCCTATGCTTTCCGATCACAACAAAAACAAATATAAAAACACAATTTTTACTTTAAAGTTGTTGTTCGTGCTTTATTACAGACTGCAATTAGTTACCGTATCCCACGACAGTGTTTGTGTGTGTGTGTGTGTTATCAGGAAAAGAGTGTAAGGGAGAGTGAAGAAAGAACTCGCTATATCAGCGCGATTCGAAAGACAAACACAAAAAGGAAAAGTAACGGTGTGTGTGTGCTCTCTATCGCCATCTCGCTTCAACCAAATGAACCGATATTAAAAGAGATTACAATTACGCTTTTAAATAAATGCAGAGAGCTGTTTTAGTCCGAAGACCAAAAGGGTGAGTATTCAATCCTGATAAATACAAAATATTAACATCTGTTGAAGGTTGTTAGGATGTCCTTCGGGTCGTACATAGGATTCTTTATAAAAATATTTTGTTGTTATTTAAAATGTTTATTTTAATATTATTGGTAAATTTAAAATTGAAAATAATCTTGTACTATTTTCTTTCACTGCAAACACAAACTGTTCCCTTTGCACCTAACAAAATATTTCCCAAATGCAAAATTTATTTTAAATCCATCGTCTCTTCTCTCCACATATGGGTAATGTTTCAGTGGTTATATATCCTGGCCGTTGTCAAAAGCTTTTCCTGGCTCCCCATGGCGAGGAAACCCCAATATTCGAATGCAAATGGATTCACAGAGTGAGGATGGCCAATAAGAGGCTTTAGGGTCAAAAGGGAAATGCTGCACACAGCTTGACCAGGAGTACAAAAAAAAAAAAAAAGGAAATGTGGGGAAAAAATTAAGCACTTGGAGAAAATATAGCATTGCCAAAAAAATCCTTATAATAAATACATTTTTGCTTATCGAAATGCATTTTATAAAATACAAACATGTTACTCTTAATCAGAATATTTATTTACAACACAGAAAAGTATATTTAAAAGAGTATCCTTTCATTTCTTCCTGTACAGAACTTTCACATTTGATTCCATAGCTTACTTTCCGATTCCGTTTCTATTTTTTGGCATTACTTCTGAGCCTCGACCTGTTGCCCCATCTCCCTCTCGCAAAAATCTCCCACAGATGTTGTAAGTAAAGTTTTTGTGGTTTGATTTTTCAGTCCTTGCCAAGGATAAGCCCAAGTACGACAGAAGGGCCTGCGTCTGCAAATCGGATTGACTGGGGCTGTCATGTTCAGCAACAGGTTTTTCGGAGTCGAAACGCCGCGGGGCGAAAAAGAAACACACACATACAAAATTTTGGGTAAAAGAAAAGAGGAAAAATAAAATCTGAAATGAAATGGAAAGAACGAAAGACAGAACGACAGGTCGGTCAAGGGGTTTCGCATTCAATTCTTACAGCATTTGATTTGCTTTTGCCACACAATTTCGAGTTGAGGAAATTGGCACTTGACCTACCGCACGGGAATCTAAATTAAGCAGCAGCAGGCAGCATGTTTTGTGAGCGTTTCGTCCCCTCTCTTTGTGGGCCCCCCCTCTTTCTTGTCAGCAGTTTTTGGGTATTTTTTTGGGTCTTATTATTTTTTTTTTTGTGTGTTAATGCTGAAAGCATTTATTCTCTTTGTAGCCGCCGTTTGTTTGCCATTTTCATTATTCCCCCGATTTGTTCTTGTCTATTTCGTCTTTGTATTTCTGTTTCGTTTTCGCTTGGCATCTTAAATTTGAGTAATCGTACGACCAGTTTCTCAGCTCGTTATCAGTGACTGATAATTAATATAATACTCAAGTCTGTGTGCCCTTCATTAAAGCAATCGGAATTGAATGCTTGCAATTGCATATATTTCATGTATTAAGCATAAGAAGGTATTTATGTTGGCTTAATGAAATCCGATGAAATTACAACGGCTTGCATGCAAAAGAAAAAAATATATAAAAAGGGAGGGAAAAACGTTGAAATTGTAAGTTAAAACCCCATGCTCGGAAGTAGATTTCAGCTTGTTTGTTTTTTCGTACCATCACGGCGTATACGTAATGCTTCGGGCCGAATATAATTGAGGAATGGCTGGCTGGCAGTTAATGCCAATTATGATAAACGGTTGCCATGTCGACGCTTTCACACACACATGTGTATATTTATTCCGCGATACTCACACACGCTGCAGTCCGAACACAAAACTGTTGCTGTTGCCGGGGCGCATTAAGATCGTTGTGTCGGAGTGTGTGTGTGTCCGTGTGTGATGGGAAATCACTTGAACCGCTTGAAGAGAGGGCAATTGAAATGTGTGTGTGTGTGTGAGTCTGTGTTTGCTTTCATTCAGAGCTGCAATCAATTTTAAGCGGCTTTCCTCGGGGACATGCAACAGAAACGGTTTTAAAATCCTTCTCCTAAAATCGTCCTTTTGTTTTTGTCATAACGTACATATAAATAAGTACACAAAAGAAGGAACATCACTCCGCAAAAGTGCATCATTAATTAATTATAAAACAATAAACTGCATCAATAGAGACACTGTAAAAATTATTATAAATCTTGAATAGTTGCCATATTCTTAGCTTGGCAGTACTAATTTTTACCAACTATTGCTGTTTAATTTGTAGTCACTTCTATGGGCGCAAAATGGGGTTAATGAACTTTCAGTAGCGGCAACTAGCAGCAGCAACATCAACAAAAGCAACTGCAGTGCAACAAGTCTGTCTAAGTCAGTTTGCCGTTTATTTTGTGCAATTTTCTGCTTTTCTTTATTACAAGTAGTCACACAGACACAAACACAGACAGACCGTGTAATTTCCATATACCAATGGGTATACTATTAAGTTTAGTTTGTTCTACAGTTAACGGTTATCTAACCCAAAACGGAACCTTTCGACAAAGTATGAAATATAATTAAAGGGTTTGTCTGCTAGACTTTTCTTTATTTATATTAATTTTTAAATCTTTTATAAAGAAACTATCCTAGAAGATAAAAAGACTCTAAGCTCTCTCTTTAGATTTAATAATTTATTAACATTACTTGGACCAGAAAGTCTATAAAAATTGATTGCAACAATCTAAGTCTGGTTAATAAATATATATAAAACAAATCTAATCTTTTAATAATGTTTATGGTGACACAAAGATTACGCTACAGTTAAAGGGAGCCCACCTAGCAACAATAAAATAATTGTGTAATTTATATTTAAAGAAAAGCTGGCTGTAAAATAATATTCTGATGTAAATGACTGAAATAATCATTTTGTTGTCCACTAATTAATGCAAAAATTGTAATCCCACCAAACGGTGTAAATTGACTTAACTTTTTATTCTGATTTATACAATTTTCATGTTGCCACAACATAATTAAACCAGGTGGCTTAAATAAGTAATTATAGAGAGGTTTACATGGGCATTTTTTATCAGGCAGGACTGTGTGTGTGTGTGTGTTTCGATTTTCGAATAATTTACCTGCACCCATCTCATTGCTGTAAAATTAGCTTTAATTTGCGGTTGTGGCCGTTGATTGGGCATTGGACGCATTTCTCGCTGAATGGCCGGCATCTGGTTGCCATTTAAATTGCATCAGCCGCATATCTGATCCCTCTGTTGACGAATCAATTGCCAAAAAAAACAACGGGCAGATGTTGCAGCGTCAATTGAAATGCCAAAACTATGCACTGCACTGCCTAGATATAGATACTGTATCTGTATCTGCATCTGTATTTGTATCTTAGTATTGCTGCCGCTGTGCATCTGTGCATTTACGCAAATATGCATTTGCGAATCAGCTGCTGTTTTGGCACTGCCTTCGTTTGGCACGTTGATATTCACGCACAAATGCCCCGAATGCTTTTGATATTTAAAATTAAATTGCAAAGCCAGTGCACTGAACTGGCCCACAGAATAGAAACAGATACAGATACAGATACAGCTATATATCGCAGTCAGAACTTGTTGCAATTTTCGAGCTGCTGCGTTGTTGCGTGGCTGCTGCTGCTGCTGTTTTCCAACGCCGTTTCAATAAACACATGCATCATCGGGTCAATGAACCGACCGGCAAATAACTCATTAGCGTAATGCCACACAAATCCCGCAAATCCGGGGGATATCGGTGGAAATCACTAGGGAAATCTCTCTTTCTAGCCGCTTGATCGCACAGCAAAATAGCAAACGTAAAATACGTAAAATCGCGAGGCAAACAACAAACAGCTCGTGGCTATCGCCACGCCCCACAGCTCCTCCCCAGTTGCCTCTAAAAAAAAAAAATATATATATATATAATATATATGCACTTATATCTGAGCAATCAGCGTCAATAAACGTTCGTTCGCTTGCTCGTCATCGCCCGCCCCGTGCGCGCTACTGCAACCGCAACAATGGCAAATAATAAAATTAGCAACAATGACGAACAAAGAAGAAAAGTAAGCTACAGACAGCAAGTTTTATAATTGCCCTTACAAAATAATGATAAGCTGTGCCCAACTAGCTAAGAAGGGGACTTCAACTATCAGTTTTGTCGAGAAAAATGAGGCTGAAACCAGGAAAAAGTAGGAGTTTTCCTAGGAATATGCAATATTTAAAACGATAACTAAATAAATTATATAAATTAAGTTCTTAAACCTAAGTTTATGTGCCAGAAATGTATAGAATACATCTGCTAGAAATAAAATGCACATTTTAATAGTTAAAATAATATTATTATTAATTTAAGTCAAGTATTTATTATGTATTAACACCCACGCCTCGGCTACAAAGTAGTTTGAGTTTCATTCCTTGCTAATTGCCATAAAATGTATCTTACAGATGATGCCCAAATATTCTTAAATCTAGATACATTATAGTATACATTACGTATACGCCCCGTGTGCTCTAATACCAGCACTTTGCTGCTGTTTTATGGGTGGCCATTTGGGCAGACGTCGTCCATTAGACAGCTTGACACCAGGCACACTTGCAACCTCACACCTCACACCTCCTTCTCCTACCAAACTCTCTCTCTTTCTCTCTCTCTCTCTGGGTGAAAAACTCTTTCCTCTTTCCTACGATATTTGCGGCAACAGCTGCACCTGTCGCTATTTCCGTGTTGGCAGCACTCAACACAAAACACAAAATAAAATACAAAATAAAACACGCAAAACAAAACCAAAACGAAACGTGAAGAAAAAAGCCAGGCATGATCTATATTTGGAACTCAAATCGAACGATCATTGTGCATATAGTACAGGAGGTGACTGATCAAATCAGAGCAAGCCTTAACTCTCGGCCACGGCACCTCCAGGCCTTGTTGCTTCGGCCTTGTTATCCCCACATCTACATCCGAATCCTTCTTTTCCGGTTTGCCATTGGCCGGCACCGTGATTATAACAAAGGCAAAGATCCTTAGGCCACCTTGATGGGCGGCTATGACCTCCGGTATCAAGGACATGCCCGATGCATCCGCTCCGAGCGATCGCAGAATTTTCTCCTCCGCCAAGGTGGCATAAAGAGGACCTCCAATGCCGACAAAGATGCCAGGCTTCAAGAACTCCTCAATGCCCAGCTCCTCGCCAATCTCAAAGCTCTTTTTTAGGAGCTCCTCATCGTAGGCCTCGACCATCCTTAAGTGTTGCCTGCCAAAGCGGGGATCTTTGGGACCCTCCATAGCCGTGTGGTCCATCATGCCCATTAGGTTGATGTGGTCCTTGATCAACATGATGTCACCCACGTTGTAGTGGGGATTCACCGAGGCGGCCATGCAGGACAGCATGATGGTCTTCACCCCACAAAGTCGCATCACCTGAACGGGCAGGGCACAAAGGGCCAGGCTTTGGCCCTCATAGAATAGGCACCTATTGGACATTGCCATAATGGGTGCACCCATCACAAAGCCCACCACGAAGAAGCCATTTGCATCTTCAGAAACTGGGAAGTTGGGTATGTCTGCATGGGGAATGATGACTGCATGCTCAACCAGAGATATCATGGAGCCAAGGAATTTGCCGCTAATCAAACCATACTTGGGACGAATGTGGCTGACTTCGATAATGTACTTGGCCATGACCTCCACCATGTCATAGTTAAAGAACAGACTCTGAGGCGTAGGTATCACCAGCTTTGGCTTCTTCTTGTCTTCTTCCTCAAGCTTCAGGAGTCGTCGGGCAGCCAGAAGCTTGGCTATTGGCGACCTATTCTGGCAGCAGTCCTGATTACACATGGTCACCAAGGCACATAGAAGCCCCCCCCAATCTATAGATTTGGAAAAGGAAACTAATTATAAATGACTGGAAAATCCCATACATACTTGTTGTTACGTAGACAAACCTTAATTAATTTCTGTAATTCAATATTTATCTGCAAAATACCTCGAGCCATGCAAGATTTAATCAGGATTTCAATTATTCTGGATATCTGATAGCAGGAAACAAACGGAGCTCTTATGTTTCTGGTTATGAATGATTATTAAATCAGGAACTTAATTAAAGCTTTACACAATGCCGGGTAGGTGCGACTCTGGGATGACGGTTAAGAACTCAAAAAAAAAAAAAAAAAGTAACCTTTGTCGAAACGAAACGAAAAACAAAGGCGCACAAAGGCTCGCCATGACGTCGTCAGGGAATTTCAGTTCGTTTTCAGTTCGTTTGATGCAGTTTTAATTTCCAGCTGTGAATTGTTCAAAACGAGATTGAATGGACTGTCCCAGGCCTGATGACGAAACTTCTCTGGTCTTTTATAAATTCAATTAAATGGATGGAACTAGAGCAGGAAATTTAATTTGTAAAGCGATAATTTTATGCTTTATTTCTTAGAAAATTTGCAAAGCTAGGAATATATAATGAAATCAAGCAGATTAAATACAGATACTTCTATAATATATACTTTTAACTTTGTTTTAATGAATTTTTAGAAATTATTTTAGAACAAAAAGGTGTTCTTGTTTAAACAAATAATATACTTTATAATTCTGGCTTTTTAATATTTTAAAACCCTTTTTAAAAAGCTAAAAGTACATAAACTTTTTCACGGAATCAACAGTCTTCTTTTTTCTTTTTAGTTCCTATAATATTCCTCTCTTAAAAAGCCTCTCTTTTCCCTTTAAATAATTTTCATACCTGGCAAAATAATTTCCCAAACGGAAGCTTAAACTTTTCTGAATATTTAACAAGTTTTTGTTTTGACTATGAGCTATGCTTCTGCTTTTGTTCTGTTTTTGCACATTGGCAAAACTAATTAATTCCAATGCTACGAATCCTTGCAGTAGCTGCAATTTGGAATTTAATTTTCAACACAAACAGAACGAGTGTTGGTCAGTCATGAAGACTCCGCCCGCTGTTGTTGCTGAGGAGAGCAGCTGGCGGAGGAGGAGGAGCGTGTTTACCACGTTTACCATGTTTACCATGCGTATACGTGATAATAACGCTCATACGCATGGCGGCGGCAGCAACAGCGTCTCGTCAACGCCCCAACAACAGCACACAGCCGTTCAATGTCACTGAGCGCCAGAGTTCGTTTACAGCAAAAACAGCAGCAGCATCCAAGCATCCATAGTATAATTCACAATTCGAGTGGTGTGAGTTGGATAAATTAAATACGCTTGTACGGCGACAGCGATAAACAAGACACTCAAGCGGGGTTTTGAGATGGTACATGGAGAGAAAACTATTTATAAGATAGATTTTTTCTTGATTTGGTATTGTTTTATTGAGATTTTGGTATCTAAGAGATAGTATCTGAAAGATAGTATCTACAAAATGTAATAAAATCTGAAAAATATATATTTACTTAATTATATTAGTCAAGCTTCTTCAAACCATCTTTAAAGTCACCATTTGGGATATTATTCAATACAGTTTCTTCATTTTAAAGTTAGAGATTAATTTTATTTTATTTTATTTCACTTATAGTCTAGTTTTTTCCCTCTCTGCATCTTCTGTCTGGAGTGCACTGGAATAGACTGGACTAGGCCGAAGTTTGATTCAATATTTTCGCTAATCTATTAGATAAACCCTGGCACATGGGTCTTGTTGACAAATATCCGAGTAGTAAATACATACATATATAGTATAAATTATATACCCACATCTGTCAACCGATCCAGACCGAGCTGAGCTGAGCTTCTGCGACTTTGAGGAATCGCTGAAGCGTTTGGTTTGCTCATGACGTTGTCAATAATGAAAAATTATTAATAGAGAAGGAAACATTGTTGTAACGCTGTTTGTGTTATTTGAGTGCGCGCCAAGTTGCTTAAGTTACAAAAGGCACAACAGCAATATGCTGTTTAAATTGTTTTTTACATATATAATTTTTTTTATTTTTTATTTGTTTGTTATTCCATGTCAGAGTCACGTTCGAATCCGAGTCTGAGTGCGAGTAATTCGCTTTGATGACTCGATGTCTCGATTGCCTCGATGTGGGGCCAAAAACCGCAAAAGATTATTCGGGGGGGAAGAGGCACCCTCCCCCCCCTTGTAACTCTATATATCTATCCAGCGACATCTCAGTTTGTTTTTTTCGGTTTGTTTTTGTACCCCTTTTAGCCCGTTTTTTGTAGCCTCCTTTGTGGCTTGCTGTCGGTTGCCATGGCTATTTGTTTGTCACTTTGCGTCTGCATGCAAAAAAATCTGCTGTTTGCACTTGATATTAATTTTGGTTTCATATTTATCAATTCATTATTAATATTATTTCTTAGTCGTTTTTATTTTGATTTCACTCTCACCTTGCCCCAGGAAGAGGGAGTAGAAACCCGTTTCCAATTCCATTTCCTTGCCTTGTTTATTTACCAATTTTTTGCTGCGTTTTGCTTTGTGCTCTTGATGTTTGCTTTTATATTTTTGGCATTGCTCGATATATATCCACAGACAAAATAAAAATAAAAGAAAGCAGAAAACTGAATATTTTGACTGGCATTTGAATGCTAATTGAAGTTGAAGGGGTAAACGAAGATTTGAGTGGCCGAAAACGAGTTGTTGCTGTGGGAAGTGGGGAAGCTACATAATATAGCTGTGGTTTGATAATTAATTAAGATCACTGGCTAATGACCTTTTCCCTTCAATCCTCTTCCGCAGTTACCACCGAGACATCTACTGAAGAAAAACTGAGGCTCTGAGACTCTGAAACTCTTTGAGCAAAAGTAGGAAAAACCTACAAATGAAAACCAAAAACAGGATCAACATCAACAGCAACAAGTGCAATTGCTTTAGTCACTCGAGTCAGGGAATCGCCATCACCGATGAGAAGAACGTACTGAGGATACAGAGCTATAGCTATACGTACAAGTGCTTGAATCACAATCCGAGACCTCGGATACTTGGCTGAATCCTACTGTATCCCTCGATATTCGAATAAAACTCATATTAATTGCCAAGTTGCAGTTGGAGTACAGTGAAAACCAGACAAGGGAGACCCTGAAAACAGCATCGAATCGAGTTGAGAGAAAAAAAATAAAGAAAATCTGGTTTGGTCTTTTAAACAACAACAGCAAAAAAAAACAAGAGAGAAACAAAAAATACACATCGAAACGAACCGCGGACGAGCCTCCTTTGGTGCATTTCGAGTTTCGAGCTGCTCTGCTGCCGCTGCTGCTGTTGCTCCACTTTCGTGGGCTCCATAAACAAAGCCAGAGCCAGGCAAAAACTGGTTATTTCTTTATTTTGATCGCAGCTCAGCTGCAGCGACCTCTGATTCCGATACCGAATCTGAATCTGAATCTGAATCCGATTCCCAACTCCGACTTTTGGACCCGCACTATACTCTCCGCCAGACTCATGTACTACGCTGTTGATTACTACGCGGATATGGGACAGATCTCTCAAGATGTAAGTACCCACCACGCTTATGAACTTTCCCTAAGAAAAAATTATTTAAATTTTAAATTTAAGTGTTTAAGGCAGTAGATATGTAGGTAGTTTCGATTAACATGGCCAGAGAAATATAGGATAGTATCAATTAGGAATATCAAAATTAAAAGTCTTATTTGATTTATCGTTAATTCTATTTCGTAATTTTAATATATCGATATTTTGAATATTACAAAAAAATTTCGTACTTTTAATATATCGAAATACAAAGCTAAAAAAATCTATTTTTTTCGATTATTTTGTTCCGATAAACCAACAAAATAATGATGTAATAATTATCGATAATACATCGATTCTCCAAAGTATTAAAATAAAGGGTAGTATCAATTAGGATTTGCAAATCGAGGGGAAGTTTCTATCTATAAATTTTAAATATATAGGAACAGTACATCAATTTTTAAAATTTTCTAAATATAAGTACAAATTTATCGATATATCGCTGAAAAGTATCTATATCAAAATCAATTTCTTATGCAAGAAACTTACCACAATTTTTTAGAATTTCCATCCTCTATCTTAACCCACATTTTCCCCCAGTGTAGTTTTTCCGTTGATTAAGCAGATCGCGGCGTTGAATTTCAATGAGGCTGCCTTGGTTTTTATGCCCCATAACTTGCACAAAGCACTTTATTTTTGCATATATTCTGGTTTACGCACATCAAGAGATAAACAAATGTGTTCACTAAAAATTGCTGTACATTTAATTAGTTAAATTAATTAAAAAACATGCAATTTTTTGCAACTCGTACCTTTATTTGCTAATTAAAAATAAATTGTGCAACTGCAGTCCCTTCATGTTATTTCTCCTGTATTTTTTCATCCTTTACCTGCCTCGGAGGAAGAGAGAGATGATAACCACTGGGAAGCTGGGAATCAAACGAAATGCAAACAATTTTTATGGTGAAAACTAAAAGGAAATTGCTTTTTTTTTGCAATTTATTTGTGAAATATGATATGTGCTTTTCTGTGCTCTGGGCAACTATTTACCAGAGAAACAATTTTACAACAAGTAAACGGAAAAACCGCGTGGCAAATACCTTTAACAAACAAACAAAAGTTTTGCAACAAAAAATATGCAAATATCAAAAACAAAAAATGTTTTTTTAATTAGCTAGACCCGTGAGAGGAATTTTTTTGCTTAAGCATACTGCATTTCCAGGTAAAAATTGCAGTTGGGGCTATAAACAGGGGCTTCAGATTGCTTATGGCTTTTCTTTTTGGCCACATTGTTGCTGTTGTTGTATTTAATTAACAGCATGGCAACCAACTTTTAAATGCGCAGTTTATCAGAGTTGCGGGAGGAGGGATTGTGGAATTTTTGTGAAACCTTTTGATAAGCCTTTGATAAGCAGAGTCGCCAGCATTGGAATATATTTTTCTATATGTGTAGCTGCTGAAAAGAGTTTCTTCGTTTTTTTTTGTAGTATTTTTTTGTTAGATGTAGCACAGACCCTGGGTCTCTGGGAGAGCTAAAAAAATAAATAGATAACATTAAAGCTAGGCGACCGACCGTGCTTTGTTATTTTATTTTTTATTGCGAATGTATAAATGCGAAACTGGGTCAGCTAATCAGCGAAATTGATGCAAATGTCGAGTAATTGCGACTTGAAATTAATTGAATTAAATTAAGAAGAAAAAAAAAATGGGAGGGAAACAAGAAAATGAGCACGAAGCGAAAGAACAATCTGTTTAGATGCAAAAAACAATGACTTACAGATGTTGTTTATTCTGGCGATTATCAGTGAGGGGCAGATGTAAGCATTAATTTAATTAAGAAGGGAGTTGGTTTGGTATTTAAGATTTCTATTTCGATTTTTTTTATTTTACAAATTTCCCTTTTTATCATATTAAAATCTATTACACTTCGGGGTATATATAAATGAATGATTAGATACATAAATTAAATTATTTAAAGGGTTAAAGCAAGGAAGAAGGTTAAATAATTGAATCTAATCATTTATTTATAATTCAAATGAAATTTTAAAAATTCATTTAGATACATGGATTAAATTATTTAAAGGGTTACACCTTCCTTCTGTGCTGTTTTAATTAAAATTTTAAGAATTCGTTTAGTAAATGTTAATCTAGAGTCATTAAAACTAATTAAATTTTTATTATTTCTTTATTAAATATTTATTAACAGTCACTACAATGAAGAAATATTTAATATGTATTAATATTTAAATTTAACAATTACTTTTAACCGAAAAATATTTAATAAATATTTTATCAACACCCACTACCCATAAAAAACCTAATTAAACAGATTTTATTTTAATTAAAAACCCTGCAAAAATGATATTTAATTAAGAAATAAACCTGGGCTTCCTCTACTGCACTTTAATGTGTCAACACAATTGCAGTCACATCAAAGTATAAATTAATTTCAATTATTATTCCCCAATCCAAGAATGACAAAGAGCATAAACAACAGCCAACGGCCATCATCTGTGTAGCTGGCAAAGAATTTTATTTACGCAATGAAAATATAAATTGTATAAAAATACACACACACACATCAGGCGGGGGCCAGTGGGTGTTTCAGGCATTCAGTCAGTCAGTCATTCAGTCATTCAGTCACTCAGTCACTACAGCATGAGAGGGCAATATCAAAATAAACAGATGTGCGCCATTCCCCTGTCCCTGGCAGCGATCCAAAAAGGCTTTCGCCTTTCGATTTGTTGTGAGTGGCAAAAATGGCTGAGATTGAGTGATTGACGCGGTTTGATTCGCGAAACTCGATTGCAGCCAAATGCAGAATCCTACATCCTCTGACGACAGTCAGCAAGACACTCTGCAAGTGTCTGGCCATTTGTCTCAATTTTAAAATGCGGAAATGGCAAGAACTTTAAATTGAAATTGTTTTGGCCATAAACTAAAATTATTTTTATAGTTTCTATGCTCTGGCGAAACATAAATTTACGCCACTAGTTTATAACTGTCAACAAAGTATTCAAACAAAAATAACAAGCAAAATGTAGTGTTTAAATTAAGAAAAATATGGGAATTTTAAGAATAGAATTTATAGGGAACAAAGTTCATCAACCTTTTTTCTTTGCAATTAGATATATCTATCTATTTAAGATAAGAAATCTATGATAAGATTTATAGATTTTAGAGATATTCGACTTTTCTTTATATATATATCTTTAACTTTAAGCACAGACTTGCCTGTAGACCTAATAATTTGCCACACTTTGTCATCATTGTTTGCCATTTGGCTGGGCTGTTTTGTTTGTTTTGTTATTGTTGCACTTTATCAGCAGACAAAGTGTCGCTTCGAGTGCCAGACAGCTCTTGGGTTCTATATATATAGTATACATATATATATATGTAGATACCTATAGGTATCCACGTACTGTCACCCGCCCACAACACTGTGTTTTTTGTGAAACCAAGAAAAAGACACACACTCACCAGGGGGGGATTTCAATATGTCTTAAGGTTGGAAAACCAAGAAAATTTTCAAGTTAAATGAGTTTGTTAATATTTGCTAATAAGACTGAGTGATAATGTCAATTTTGGGTAATTATCTAGTTGAGTGAGGTATATTAATATGGCTTATATTCATTTTTAAAGCATTCATAAGTTAAAGGAAACTAAATTTAATATTTTAGGGAAGCAAAAAAGCCTTATAAGCAAAAAAGCCTTATATATAAGCCTGGAAATGTAAATACAATTTTGTACTTATATTAAAAATATAAAATAAATTAGTAAAATAAATTTTAAACTTATTTTGAAGCTCGTACTATTAATTTTATTTCAATACCTTTATAAAAACAATTTTTAACTTTCAATTACGACCTTTTAATATAGATTCTTCAGAGATCCTAGCTACTTAGGTTATATTATAATTAATTATAAATAATTCTAAACCATTTTGGCTTTAGTTAATTTAAACAAAACACCCCTTAAGAGTTACTAAAAGTGAAAATCAGCAGTTTATGTCTGTCCTGTTTTGTTGATAACTTGCCATATTGCATTTGACAGATTAATTAAATATGCCGCACTGCACACTGCAAGTGCAAACTTACATTTACGAGCACGTATAAATAAGTATATATATATGTATGTATATATACATGTGTTATGGAACTATAGAAAAAATAGTTTATCACGTCTAGACTCTGTAGAGTCTCTATTATCTACGCACACACACACGCACACAGCTTAGTGTAGATGAGGACTTTGTTTTTTATACGTTTGCATGTGTTTATTTCAATGTTTTTTTGTTGCCACACGGGTGACCGGTCGGTCGGTCGGTCGGTTGGGTATAGTCGTCACTAACCGAGTGAATCAAGTACTCCAGGTGTACGAAGTGATAAGCCATATATGGCTATAAAGTCCAGCCTGGTCACCTCACCAGAGGGAGTAGAGTATGTGTTTGTTTTGTACAAAAAATAAATAAAATAAAAGCAACATTTAATAGATTTTAAAAACAATATCAAAGCAGCATCCATAAAAGATTTTATTTTATTTTGAAATTACGACAAGCTTTCCTTTTTTTTCAAAGAATTTAATAAGCTTTTCCCTCCTCCGGAAAGTGTATTCCACACTTCGTGTAGCATTCCTTAAGCTGTTATCAGCCGTACTTAATTATTTGTTGTGCTTTATTGTTTTATTTCACGTTTCGCATTTTCATAGATTTTGTTGTTGGCTTTCGTTGTTTTTAGTTTGCATTTCTACAGCACCTGACGTTTTTTCCACTTTACTTATTTACCTGTGCTCTCTTTCCATGACTCTCTCTCTCTCTATCTCTCCCTCCCCCTAACCAACTAGCCCGCTTTGGCATTCTACCATTTATGCTAATTTATTTGCCTGTTTACCAGCTTTTGTTTTAATCTGTTTGGGGGCCGTGTTGACACTCACTCACCGCTCTCGCTTGGCAAAAGACAATGAGTTGCCAGAGTCTGAAATTACAGTAAATTTATTGTTATTCCCTCGCTAATTATGTTAATTTATTAATTTGGCTTAGTTTGTGTGCTGGCAAAAAAATAAAAATACAACAAGCAGAGGAAATCAAAATTAGCTTACAACAATTAATTGCCGGCAATTAACATAAGCCGAGGAGCGTAAAGAGCTGCTGCGTTGCGAATGCATCCGGCAGATACAAATGTATCGCACACAGGCACACCTCCTCCTCTGGCTCTCCCCACCCCCTGCGAATATTAGCATTCAGCGGGTTCTGCATTATCTTTTGATTTTAATCGCCACGCTCGACGATCTCGCACGTTGGCAGTTGGCGCGGAACAGAGCCGTCTTCGGTCGGCGGAAGATTGATTGCGGACAGTTGGCTGGGTTTTAACCTGAATAAGTAAGCCTTTTATATGGTTTCCAAGGGGAGATTTTTACCATACAAAAGATGCTTTCAGTTGGCACCACAAAATTATAACGCCTGCTTCCGTTTCCGGTTACATTTTGTGGTATTTAAGGTGGTGAATTTTATGAAATGGGGTTTTGTTTGTAGTTTTGAGATGATTTATTAAATTTTGAAGAGGGAAACTTGTATATTTATAAGAAAATTATGTTAAATATTTAATATTTTACTTGTTTGGTATTTTAATAATATATTTACTTGCTTTCCATAGACAAAATAAACTTGAAATTGCCAGAGAAAATTATAATTAATTATTTTATGCGAATTTATTACCTTAAAATAATCTGAAATGTTATTATGTTATTATTACTAAATACATTTAATTATTTTCAATAATTTTCTATTATCTATTACCAAGTTTTCTCAAAGTAAACCCATAATAACCAACCATCTTCCTTGCAATTTCAATTACAAATCAATGCCTGCAATCATATTCCCACACCTATTTCTCTTACAATTCAAACCAAGGTCAGAGATATGATTTTGTACCTTACATGATTAGCACAAAGCATATAGGTGGGTATAGGTGGGTGTTAAGCCGCCCACTAGGCACTGTGAGCACGATTCAATTACCAATTATCACGTATACGCACCGTGAGACGAACAGGTTTTTGCCAAGAGGGAGGAGGGTTGCTTTGGTTCAGTGTGGAAAGCCAGAAGGCAGAGAAAAGCTCCGAGTGCCAATGCTATTCGGATACATTTGAATATATATATATATATATGTATATATATATCCTAAGCTCGAAATGGATATGCACTCCAAGTGTACATGCCCATTAAACTTGGCCTAAGCACCGTTCAGTGAGAGAGAGAGAGACTGGATTGTGTATCGTTGTTGTCGTCGTCGTCGTGCTGTATGTCACTAGAAACTAGTTTGCTTTTCCAAACGGGTTTCCCCATCTCACTGTGGGTGTGTGTGGTGTGCCAATTTGTACACGGTTTATATACAATATATATTTATGGATTCCAAAAGAGAACCCATAATGATGGAAATGTCAACACGATAACATTTGCATAAAGCGGCGGCATACGACTCACCCTTTTAATTAGCAAGTGTAACTAAAGTTTATCCTAAAGATATATAGACTTTGATTTCGATTTAGTTTTAGTTTGTTTTAAATATATTGCTAGGCATGCCCCCACCCATAAATCACATTGATTAATGACTCTGGTCTTGTTTATGCGTTGTTCGACAATGGCAGCTACCAAAAGACATTCGTCTCCGACATTTGAATTAATTAATTATGTGAAAGTGGTGGTATTTAGTGTGAGCTTCATAACATTTACGACGATCTTTAAGCCTGACTGATTAAATGTGAAAATTAGCAGGCTGCCCACACTCTAAACTTGAAGAACTTCAACTTGATAGTTTCTCTAGCTCATCGCTCTGCCCGATTTGGTAATTCCGATTTCTGGGTGGGTGGGATCGGAGGTTAGAGTCAAAAACCTGATATTCATAGGCAAGCTGATTAGCATTGAATATCGGGGCTGGGCGGAATATTAAAAGTCAATTATGCAAATATTGAATTACCTTTTACGGGCAGGCTTTATATAGCTTCAAATCGAGGCTCTATTTTGTTTTTTTTTTCCTTATCAAGTACATCAAGTATACGACATGATGGCCTGCTGCTGTGTTATCAGCAAATTAAGGTATTTTTTTTTGTTTTTTATTCTACAATAAATGTTAGCTATTATTAAATTATGCCAGTCAGGCTTCCTGCTAAAGCAAGAAAAGTACTTCAACTTAAAGTCGGTGATATAAGCTAACCGTTAATCCCAATTAGAGAGGAAAAGGCCAGCTTGTATTGCAACCGTGGCAACCAACTCTTTATTGACCCAGGTACATCCACAGGCACACAGAGGGCTTGTAGCCTGTTTTGCTCTTGTTGAAGTTTATTAAATTCCCCAGTTCATTGTGCGTATGCAAATTCATCCTTCTGTCATTCAGGCACAATTAGGCACGACTCCTGCTGCTGCTTCTGAAAGGCGCAAAAATATGCAGGGCATAGCTCTCACAATTCCTGTTTGCTGTTTGTATTCCTGTCATCGGGGCGTATACGTGCTCTTCCTGCAACTTTTCAGGCAGAGGAAGCCTGTAACTGACATGGCAGACTCAAGTCATGCACAATTCCCCCCAGCCACAGCGCTCGCTCCTTTTCATTCTCATAATTTTTGGGCCTGACATTAGTTTTCGAAAAGTTTTGCATTTGGAATTTCATTTAATTTACACTTGAATGCTTTTTGGCAAATGACATGCTGCACCACTGCCGCAAACTTCATTTGAATTTTAATTATATATGACACGTTCTGATTCAAATCAACTTTCATTATGCTGAAAGGCATCTAAATTACACAGGTTTCATCAATTTAAATGAAATCGAAAAGTGTAAACGTAATTTGGTGGAATATTTACTTGTTTTGAGGCCTTCCCTTTATTTATTGGACATTTATTTAGATGAATAAACTGTATAATTCTGTTGTTTGCATTGATTTATAATGAATAATATTTATTTATGCTATTTTCATTGACTTTTTTTTCCAGTGCTACGCTGCAACTAAGAAGGGAACCTCTGACCTGGACATGGACGATCTCGATGACCTGGACCAGGTCACCCAGGTGATTGGCTATCATCCCCAGTTCCATGATCACTTTCTACGCACCCAGAACTTTATCATGAAGGGCGATGGCCCATTGCCGAATGATTACCGCTACTATTTGGCCATAATTGTGAGTAATATTGTAACTAAGACTATAAAATTATACTAGAAATTGTATGAAAATCGTAACTAAAGCTTAAAATTGTATGAAAAATCAGGCAGCAATTAGATGCAATTGTTTATTCCCTGTTGGTTATTATTAATTCATTTGTTTGCCAAGTATTTTAAAACAATAGCCAGTGATTATACAGCCATTGTGGGTGGGAATAAAAGGTAATAAAGGTAGAAAACTGTATTCATTTTACTTAGATAACAGCATGCTACTCACTTCATTGAGCCTCCTTTTTTGACTGAAAATACAGTTTCCTTATCGATTGTGCATTGTCCTGGACAGCGGAAACCTTTAGACAAATTAACTTTGGCAATGTATTTGCTCCATCAACCTCTGTCCCTGGTTGCCATATCAACAATAAGGATTTTTGCTGCTGTCGCCTGCAGCATAGAGTGTCCTTCAATAAGGATTTTATAAAAACAAAAGCCAGCTGCGAATTTCTCGCACAAAATGTCAGTCAGATTTTCAGTTAGCATTTCTATTACCTTTCAGTTAACTGAGTGGAGTGAATGGTGACACTTTTGTTTAGAAAGCAACATGAATGCCATTTGACATCTGCATTCTGTTAAGTTACGATTGTTTCTACCTATATTTTCTATTCAGATGCATAAAAAAAAACGAAATTGTTTAGACTTTATTTGCGTGAAAAAGTGACTTTCAAAAGAGGATTAAAAACAGCTTAAAAGCTGTGAGGGAAAAGGGGTTGCAGTAGGGTTTTTGTTTTTTGTCTAGAGGAGTTTCGTTTATGGAAAAAATACAGATTTTGTACACATTTTATTCAACTTCAAGCTGTTCTTAATAAAGGTTAAGACTTAATTAACCAACTAAGGCAACAAAATTGGTCATTAATACACTCCCCGCAGGTTTATGGCCCATCTCCCCCCCCAGCTTGAGTCATTTCCAATCATAATTAAGATCTATAAAGCACACATTTAATATTAATTCAGATCCATAAAATTGTGGAACAACTGCGTAATTAAAATTGATTTATGATTTCAATTAAATGCAGCCTGCAATTGAGAGATTCGAAAATGCAAAAGGAAACCATAAATCAAATATTTCCCAACATTTACAATTGCTTTAATGCCTTATTTCTTTCTTTTTTCTTTTTTGAGTATTTTCCTACAAATGAGTTGGCTTCTTGGCCATAATTTATGGCCCTAGATGTGCGTGTGCAATAATCGTAAACTCAATAAAGCACAACGCATACCATATACTATATACTATATATATATTTGCTGTTTATAGTTGACATGTCGGTCATTTCACCCCACAAAATAATAATAACAAACACATTCTATTAACTCATGCCAAGCAAATTGGGCACGCAAAAAAAAAAAAGATTGAGCTGATTTTTCCTTCTTAACGTTCTTGGTGGGAAAATTGCAGGCGGAGAAGCATCATTGCCTTTGTCTGGCTGAAAATTTTTGGGGCCTCGGCGAATGTAAAAATTATTTAAGATTTACGATGGCATGTCAGGGCATGAGGCCTGCCTGCCTGCCTGCCTGCCCAAGACTCATTAATGACAAACAACAAAATAATACAAAAAAATCACAAAGCAAAGCCAACGCAAAGGCAAAACAAACAATGGGCTTTGCTTTGCTCTGAATGCCCGAGTGTTTGTTGTTTTGGGTCACGATCGAAATAAGTTTCCACATATTTTTAGCACACATTCAGGTGGTGGTGATGGTGGTGGTGGTGGCCTTTCCTAGCCGAAGCCACTCTCTCCCGCAGCGCCCTGCTAGATTGTGGGTCAGATTCTCTGATTCTCGGTTTGTTTAGGGATCGGTTTCTCTGTTTCTCTACGTTTTTAATGATGACAAGCTTTGCGGGGGTTGAGGGCCAAGGTTTGCCCAGGTGAGAGAAGATCAAAACAAGTTACGTAATGCCTAGAAAAATGCTACCTGAAAAGGTATCGTCTTACAAAGCAATAAAAGCAAAACAAAGGCTATGAGATATGGTAAAAATAAGGCGTTTATTAGTTTAAAATAAGAAAAAAAGCTAACTTCGGCAGGAGGAAGTTTGCATACCCTTTATAAGGTTAATATAAGATCATTTAAATATTATATTTAACAATATTACCCCTCCAATTCCTCTCCAAACCTCCCCATATTTCCTTTCTAGGCCGCTGCTCGACATCAGTGTCCTTACCTGGTAAAGCGCTACGAAAAGGAGTTCATCAACCAGGGTGGAGACAATGCCTGGCTGGGCGGCCTGGACTTTATACCCGCCAAACTACGTGCCATATACGATATCAATAAAATATTAGCCCATCGTCCCTGGCTGCTGCGCAAGGAGCACATCGAGGTTGGTCTTTTGAAAACCATTTCATTTCTCATAAATGAAACTTTAATGGATCTTATTCCTGGTTTGTTGCAGCGGCTAACCAAAGGGAAGAACAGTTGGTCCCTGTCGGAGGTGGTTCATGCCATGGTCCTGCTTTCGCACTTCCACTCGCTCTCCTCCTTTGTTTTCTCCTGCGGGCTTACACAAAAGCTGGACAGCCTGTCTAGTCCCAAACTGAAGAGTCCTCCCGTTTTGGTTGGTGCTACCAATGAGCCCGGCAACACTCCAATGGAAACCCAAAAAACGGTGCTGGCCGAGATATCGCTCAACAATGCAAAGCCGGATTACAATAGCCCGACCGCAGCGAGCAGCAATGGCAATGGCGGGGGAATGGGAGGAGGAGGAGGAGCAGGAGGAGGACATGGCATTGCCAATGCCAATGCCACTGCAGATGGACCCGGTGCTTTGGCTCTCAATGGATATTTGGGTAAGTGAATGACTGGCATTCGAAATGCTGGAATTGGTGAAGAAAGTCATGAAATAAATCTTTTAAAATTTTGAAAATATCGTAATTTGTAATTTATCCAAAATTTAAAATATTTAAAAATATTAAATTTAACTGAAAATTATTTATATTATCGAAAATTATCAAGGAAGTATCGACAAAATATCAATATATCGATATTTCTTGCAATCCCTAATGCATATTTCCCCTGCTGTAAATGCAAATCCAAGTTCCTCCTTGTTAATCCAACCCAAAAATTCATATTCATTTTACAGCCACAGCCCAGCAGTTGCCCCAGCAGCATGGCATCAGCGTGGAGGCCCTAATGGAACGCATGAAGGTGCTGTCCCAGAAACAGGACGAGTGCAGCGAGGCCGAGCTGAGCAGCCGCTTCCAAAAGGTGGAACAGCAGAATGCCGAGCTGCCGGCCGTGGCCCCTGAGGTGGTGGTTGCCCTGCCAACGAATCTTTCGCATTACGTGGACGATGCAGGCTTCATTTACCAGGACTTTGCCAGACGCGGCACCGAAAACATCAATACGTTTCGCATACAGGACTACTCGTGGGAGGATCACGGCTACTCGCTGGTAGATGGGTAAGGAGGAGGAGGAGGGGCAGTCCCTTTGTTCATATATTTTTCGGGGAATTCCCTTTGACACTGAGGGTTCTCTCTTTTCCAGGCTTTACAACGATGTGGGCACCTATTTGGATGAGAAATTTCGGGCTGCCTACAATCTCACCTACTGCACCATGGGCGGCATCAAGAATGTGGACACATCCAAATTTCGCAGGGCCATTTGGAACTATATACAGTGCATCTATGGCATACGTCACGATGACTACGACTATGGTGAAGTGAATCAGGTAAGGTGGAAGCCTTAATGTCTCTTTGTTATTTTCTGATGAAATGCTTTTCTTTTGTTCCTCCAGCTCCTCGTGCGTCCTTTGAAGATGTTTATTAAGACAGCCTGTTGCTTTCCCGAGCGTATTACCACCAAGGATTATGATAGTGTGCTTGTCGAGCTGCAGGACAGTGAAAAGGTAAGAGGAATTTTCCACTCCCCTACACACACACACTCGAATCTCCCTTCCTTTTGTTTATATTTTTATCCATTAATCGTTTTGTATTATCTTCTGATATAGGTTCATGTGAATCTAATGATAATGGAAGCCCGTAATCAGGCCGAGTTACTCTATGCTCTGCGCGAGATAATGCGCTATATGACTTGATCTCATTAAGTGAATAAACATACGTATATATTACACACCCACACACCCCCACATTACACACTACACCCACACATATACACACATATACATGCATAAAACATTTTGTTATTTTGAGAGCGCATCAAAAACAGCGAAAAGAACGGAAACGGAAAACAGAAACAACTAAATAAAAACACTTGTTTGTGCAATAAGATAAATCAATGTTGCTTTAAAACCACATAGACAGCTTAAATATATCGGTGTGAATTCAATTAATGTAAAACGTTTTTACTATTCAATTAAACAATAGTCTGTGTCTATGGTTAACCAACAATTTAATACACACAAAAAAGCAAAGATAAACTATTTGTAAAAACCCTAAGCTGAGCTCTGTCTGTTTCTTTTCGTAAATGCGCAAGCAATAATCACTGTACATATGTATTATGTTTTGTTTAATTATTTTAGCGAAATAAATACAATTTTTATTTTAATTACTTGACTTTTGGTTTTATTTCTTCCTCGATTTTTGTTTTCTAATGACTCGCAAGATAAACCACAGGTGATTCGAATCTTTGAGCTTTTCCTACACAGAGATAATAAGGATATACGAATAAATGTCTATTTTGATAGTATTTAAACGCAACTAATCACTGACTGTAATGTTCGTATAGCATACTAAGAGGTTTTAGGCATTCAATGTTTGAAGTTACTAAATGTAATAGCCATATAAATATTCGATATACACAAAAATGAAACTAGGAATTTAATCGCAAATATACGAATTTAAAAGCTTAAAATTAAACTCTACAATGTATAAAGAAAAGCCTAATGTCAGCTATATCCTGAGCAGAAAAAAAGTGGTTCCTCTAAGGAGTGAAAAAGCCACGAAAAGTATTTAAAAACTAGGACTTGAATAAGAAATAATTACATTGTTTTATGGTTTCCAAGAAGCTCTAAAAACACTATTTACCAGCTCTTTAATTGCTTGTTTTCTATATTAGAAATTAATTTATAAATTTGAATGCTGCATAAATATTATATCCTTAGTTTTTTTCTGTATAAGTACCCATTTTTTATTTAATTGAAAATTAACGCACAATTCGCAAATAGAGACATTTAAATTAAAGAAAAAATGTTGCAGTGTATTATAATTTTAGTCCAAAGTTTGCTAAGCACTGAAGAAATCATTTCCGACCCCATAAATCATATATATTCTTGATCAGCATCAAAAGTTACATCGATCTAGATGTGATTGGCAGAAAAATAAATTTTATGCATTTTCACAAAATTTAATAAGGGGTTACATCGTTAAAATTGTTAAAAATTTACGAAAAATTTTAATTTTTTATAATTCTTATTTAAGTCTAAAGATTTGTTAAGCTAATAAAAACTTACAAAGCACAGTTTAACGAATTGAAATTAATGGATTTTAAGCTAAGTTATTAAGGATTTCTAATTTAGTTCAACTCAATTTTTTACGATTTTTTAAATTTTTATATGGAAGTTTTGAATATTTTCAATATATTTTAGAAAATGTAACCTTGATTGGCATCTCTTTTAAATTTGTCACAAATGGACTTTCCTAGCTTATTTTCTTCATTTTAAAACAACTAAAATCTATCTCTTTGATAAACTAATACAAGAAAAACAGGCATCAATTGTTTCAATATGTACCTATTATGCATTTATGTATGGTTGACATTTTTGTCGCGACATTGTCGAGAGCTGCAGGTTTCGCACGAAATCCAAACGAACTAATTAAGCATAAATGTATACAGAATAGTTTAATAAGAACTCCCCCCTTTGAGTGGCATTTCAGTCTTTAAAAAATGCTTGAAATTCCCTTTTAACTATTTATAAATTCCCCAGAACCCTGGAATCCACGCTCATGGTTGTTAATTTTATAGAGCTTAAGCGTTAGTCAAATAAGTTGAAAAACTGGAGAGAAAAGTCATGAAAAACGGTTTGTTTCTCGATTAAAACTAGGTACTAAGTACAATTTAAATGCTTCGTGCAGCCTACAATTGTTCACAGAGGCCAATCAAGCGAGTTAGATTCAATTGTATATAAAAACTAACGAGCTGTGGCGATTCAAAGATGTGATTTTACCGAATATATATACACGCACATGTATTCCTTTGCATATAACCAAGTACATAGAACAACGTATATATATTTGGCGCTAGACATACATACTGCTTTACTGGAATTTCATTTTCCTATAATAAAATATTTAAAACTTAGTGGCAAGCATGCATTGGAACGTTGAGTGCAACTTGAAGGTGAAAACTTGTGTATTTAGAGATTTATTTCATTTAACAATAGCTCCAAAAAATGGCTGTGTAAATATGGCAAAAAGAAAAAACGAATTTAAATTGGAGAAAAGGCAATGCAATTGCAAAGGAGAAGGAAAAGGGGAAAAGTACATTTTGCTAAAATTAAGTAAGATTTTTAAATATATTTTTAGCTTGTAAAAATAAAAACCAAATGTGAAGCTGGAAATTTAAAGTAAACATAATTGTATCCGTCGATTTTTTGATGTCTAACATAATCAAGATTTAAAGAAAAGGAAAGAAAAGAAAGGAAAGTGTTGATCTAAAACTCAACCAAGAAGAGCACCATTTAAAAATCCAAAATGATTGACAAATAAACTATGAAATTAGATTTTAAATGGTGAACGAAATATATACACTTAACCAAAATAAAAATCATATTTACTAACAAACAAGACTTGTTCTATGAGATAGTTCAGTCTAACTGCGATACCCATGATTCTGACTGCTTTTTGGAGAACTTAAGCTCCTCTTTACACACATAATACATATAACTTCCTTCAACTAACAATTATAATCAATGTTTTTAAGCTCTTGGTGTTTTGGTGTTTAATAAAAGAAACCACAACCAAACTGTTGTTGTAAATAATATTGGAATAGGTATATATATACACGTTTTATTCAATATATATATATTATAATCGTACCATTTCAGTATTCATTTCATTATTACAATTAATTCTCAGTTACTTAGATTGACTACACAATGGGTTTTTCGTTAAGAGTTAAGAATTTGCTTTTGGATTAAACTTAAACTTGAGTTGGTTAAAGTTTTAAATGGTTAAAATACAATAAGTTCACTTCTGATATGGCGACAAAGATATTTTTAATTAGGAAACCTCTCTATCATTATTATTTCATTTCGATTTCTATATAAAAACCTTGGTCCAATGCGTATTATATATGTATAATTTGAAATTTCGTTTTTACAATCAATTGGAAATAAACAAAAACATTTGAAATGATTGTTTTTGGCGCAGCTCTTAACGAATTCATCGCAGCTCCTCAGCGCTGAGAAGTGGGATTCGTTCAAGACTTTATCGGTTTTTTGTTTATATATATTATTAAATCATATATTATTGTTAATACAATGTTCAACATCTAGGCACAAAATATATATTGCTTCTCAATTGGTTATGAAAATTATTGCATGGTTGATCAGACCCATTCAAAATAGTCCAAATAATAATAATACATAATATATATGTCTGTCTGCGCTTTGCTTGTGGGTTAGGAATCATCATTGTTCGAAGCTTGATAATGTCTATGTGGAAGCCACTCGCTTCGTGGGTGAACTAGTGCTCAGCAGAGCCGTCTCCTTAGCTCGCTCGTGTTCGTCCTGGAAGAAGATCTTGGTGATGACCACATCGCCAGTGCTCAGCGTCTGCGATTCGGCATCTACTAGCTTAACCATTCGCTTGTCAGTCGTTCTCAGTATAGGCGTCACACTGCGCTCGCCCTGGCAATTGCAGTTGTTCTTGATGCTGAGGGAGTTGGGGAAAAATGATTAAAATGAATGTATATATCAATTTTTTTTTAGAATCAACTCACTTCCTGGACTTTTCCCTTATAATTTGCAGATTTTCGGTGGTGGCTATGCTTGAACCCAGCTGTTCCTGCATTGAATTTGAAGATATTATCTGTGGGAAAAGGGAAATCATAAACCAAACTGAATACTAAGTAGCTTAAAAGGTTTTCTAACTTGTTCACATGGCAACGAGGTGGCTGTCGTCAGTATGGCCTCCAGCTTATCTATGCGCGCTATGCGATCCATGGACTTGTTTTGGAGTATTTCCTCTAGCATTTGCATGGACTCAGTCAGGCTGGGTGGCTCCGAGCTGAATCTAGGCGAAAAAGTGCCCGACAGCGAGTTGTCTGAAGGAACCGAGTCCAAGCTGGGGAATGTGTCATTCTCATTGGGCTCAGCCTCATCCTCGGAATCACTTTGGTCTCTGTTTAAAAGAAAAACAGAGTATTTAGTAAAATTTTTAATTAAAATCTTTGTTATTTTCAACTCACTTGCTGGGATTGCCGGCCGACTCCATTTTCTCCAGCTTCTTGGCCACCTTGTAGTAGCCCTTGAGGCGCTCCTTTTCATCCTCCGTCAGGTCCATGTAGCTATTAATAAATTATTTATTAATTAAAGAGTTCATTTATCAAATTATTCATAAACCCACCGCAACAATCGTATCTCCCTATTGGAAAGCACAATACTCTTGCTGGTCTGTGCCAACTTCTGCTTGAGATCCGACACCTCAGTGCTGACCTTGCGCTGCTTCTTGCGTATCTTCACCTCATTGGGCTTGATATGCATGAGTATTTGCTCGGTGCACAGCTCCGAGAAGAGTTGCCGGTTCTCTGGCCTTATTTGCCTGGCCAGATTTCCAAATAACTGATCATGGATCAGCACCAGGACATCTCCCGCTGCATACAGCATCATTTCTCTGGTTAGCGGTCGCTTGGCCCAGAACTTTTGATCTCTTCTGTAGATCTGTTTCAGCTGATCCTTGATGGGATTGCAGGGTGCATTATATTGCTCGCATAACGAGTTGAGCGATATGTACTTGGCCTTGTACACCTGCTTGCCGCTCTCCTGATACTGCAGTATAGCATGTGCAGCCTGTGTGTCAAACACATTTCTTAGCAGGATACCAAACTGCAGATACAAATTGGCAGCATCATTGCGGCAATCGTGTATCACCTTGATCACCTGATCGTGCTCTAGCACACTCTTCAGACCGCCATCGGTGACCATGGCCGGGCAGGATTGAACATCGAACAGGAAGGCCTCGCCACGGCTAGTTCCAATCTCAATCAATGTGATTTCTCCCTTGAGACCCAGATTAATGCCCTCGCAGTCTAGGGAGACGACTATATTCTCATTTTTGGCCGCATACTTGAGTATAATGTCGGTCACAAACACCGATTGCTTGACATTCGCTATCACCGTGGTGTTCTGCAGGACCTTGATCTTCCAGGTGTCGCCAACAAAGTAGCTATGACTAGGTGAGTGGTTGTTGGCGTTGTTTGAGTTGGCATTTTGATTCGTACTCGTCGTCGTGGTTGTTGTCGTGGTCGTTGAATTGGCAATGGAATGCACGGGACTGGATCCGCCGCCGCTTTGCTGATTAGCTAGGGTTTGCTTGTCCTTCTCCAGATTCTCGGCCAGAGTTCTTATGACCAAGGTGTTGATGCGTTGCTTTAGGGTTTGATTCACGCTATTCATGCGCTGCTCTGAGGGAGTTCCAACCGGCGAAGGCTGTTGGGGGAGTGGCTGCTGCCCCGACTGATTCTGAGTCTGTTGCGAGGAGTTATTAATGGCCCCATAACTGCTATTCGCACTGGGATAGTTATTCTCGCACAAATTCTCCAGCTTCAGCTCCGACATGGGCACATAGCTATCAAAGCCTGAACTGGGCTCCGATTTGGGCTGACCAAAGCTGGGGCTCTGGCTCTGACCCATCACATTCGAAACGGGTGCATTCAGCTTAAAGTTGGGGGAAGCTATGCTATTGTTGTTATTATTACTTCCATTATTATTGTTGTTCGTGTGACCATTACTCCGCAGCGCTGGCGATTGCAATCTCTGTTGCACAGCACTGATAGCAGCACCTCCTCCTCCTCCGTTTCCACTTGATTCCTGCCTACGATTGCTGGCATCATTATTGTTGTTCAGCGCATTGAACTGCTCCCGGGTCTGGGCCTGGGCCTGCTGTATGTGCGTGTCACTGAGCTTGGGCTTTTGCAGCAGTGTGACTAGATTGGCCTGTATGTGAAAGCAGTCGGCAAAGAGCTTCAAAAACGAGCTCAGATCTCCTGGAGTCTTGAACATGCGCAGCCATTGATCCTGCGGGAAATTGGTGGTCAGCAAATGAAAGAGTTGATCCACCAGCAATGGTCCCTTGATCTCAATGCATTGGGCAAAGAAATCAAGCATTTGCTGAGTTCCACGAGTATCGATGTTGGATTGTGGCAGATGTAGGCGATCCCGCGCCGGCAGATCCGTCATATTTTCGCAGCCCACCAGCATCACATAGTCGTCCATTACCTTAAAGGTGTCGGTGTGTTTCATAAGGAAGTCGGTAAACTCCTTGATGTGCTGACCTGTTAAGTAAAAGAACAGTTCTTACAACAATTTCTTTTGAAAGTATGAATCTAAACAAAAGCCTCACCTGATATGTGTCGTACTTGTGGCGATGCCTGCGACCTGTGACCCAGGAGACTTCTTACGGGCACCTCTGCCGCCGCTCCATACTGCAGCATCTTGTTTTTGAAATAGTCTTTAGCCTCTTGTATGTAATCCCGCTTGCCGCCACATCCCCCCTCATCCGCATTGGTGTGCTGATAGGCATTCACCTGCACATAATCACCGTCGACCAGAAATATTGATGGGTATTGAGCGAGAAATTTCTTCAGACCTGTCAACCCAAAGCAAAGGATGTCAATTACAATTAGGATGAGCCATTAGCTGAGGCAAGAGTGCTGCTCGGTGAGTAAGTGAGTGGTTAATGCAGTAAAACTGTTGCAGCAACGCACCACAAATCTAATTAATTTTTGCCCTTTTAATGTGTCAACTTGTGGAAATTGCGTCAAGACTAAGTACTTATTGTGGTTGATTAATTCCCTGGTAGTTTTCCCTTCATATAAACATAGTTGTGCTTCCAAGTCTTGTGAAAACTTTTCCCTGGCTTCTGTTTATCAGCGGGCAACATGTGCCTGGCTTCCCATAATTAACAACAACATTGTTTAATCGCATAACCATCAAATGACGACGAGCTAACATTCATCCGCATGTGCATACATCTATGTATCTCCATATGAATGAATAATCATCATGTGTGTGTGGTTTTTTGTGTTTTCAGTTTCAATGTTGGCTTACAATTACATAAATGAGGGAAGGATTGTTAGGGATTTGACTTTGTAAATGCACTGGGAGATCAAGGGGTTATATGAATTGGAAATGAGGTTTTTTAACAATTTATTTAAGTGTATTGTCTTTAGAATAGAGATTTTAATCAGTTCAAGATTTTAGTAAATAAAAATTATAATAAATTTAAGATTTTAAGTATATTTTAATATTGTGTTTTAGATTTTCTATACAATTTTAAAAGGCAGATAAAAATCAAATAATAAACAAATAAATAAAATTAATAAAAATTATAAATAAGATAAGTTTCCTGTATTTTCCTCAAAATTTCATACTATTTCTAAAATCTAGAATACAGGAAAATATAGAAAAATTTTCCCCAAGTGTTTTGTTGTTTTGAAAAGTGAATGCACTCAAGCCTTGCAGAGCGACGAAGCGAACTAGCGAACCATTTATTTGATAAATCAGGTCATAGTTGCTGACTGACTGCTGCCGTCAGCCCAAAACGGGACACCCGGCGACGGAAGCCAACCCCCGCATAGCCACAACCTCATCCATAGCCACATCCACCATCCGCATTTGGTAGGAATGTGATGAGTACTCGACTCCATATGTCTCATTGTATCGGTACGCCTCCTCCTCCCACCCAGAGAGACTCCATCTATTGTTTGGGTAATATGACATGACGCAGCTCTCGGAGATTGGAGAATGCCGGGGTTTACGTTGCGTGTCAACCGAGGTAGACACAAATTTCAAGCTTCATAATGTCCGGGCATAAATTAATTCAATTGCATTTGACATAACTCGGCTGAAAAGTCGTCTTCGCATAAGGAGATGGCGAACATTGATTAATCGAATTGGACTTATGGACTGGCATTGTGCAAGGTATACATATACATATATTGACAATCGTTGAGTGTAAGCCTCTGGTTATCCCACTTTCCAAGCTGCCAAATGAGCCACAAAACTGACAAATGGCTAGTAATCCCCACAGGAAGAAAAATAAGGAAAAATAAAAGAGGTTAAGCCTGGGCCAAATCCTTTCGAGCGTAATTCAATTTTATGTTTACTTATAGAAATTGAAATTTGTGTTACGTACGCCAAGGGGTCACAAACTGACGCCACAAATCGAAGTTCATAACATTTCAATATTAATATTTATCGAAGGCGCTCCGAATATGTAATGTTAGCCTCAACGAACACTTGGCGAGCCAATATTTGTCTGTTTGCCTAGCCGCATTTCTTGGCAAGCAAACATTTTTGGCTACACCTTCATGGCTTTCCGCCTTCTCACTCCTCCCCCTGAGAGCACAGGTGTTGTGGGTGGCAATGCCACATTTTACGGCTCGACCCACTTGGACACATATTTTTTTTTTTTTTTTTTTTTTACTTTTCTTTGCGGTGGCAATTTTCAAATGCACCGAGGACACTCGCCATAAATTTATGTATATTTATGCCTCTTTGCTTATTGAAGAAAACGGAAAACGAAACCGAAAACATTTCCCCGAGATGTTGTGAATCGAAATGTAAGTGAATACTTACACGGGGGTAAAGGGTTATGTCTGGCCGTAAACTGAGGATTTTATGACTCTCATATGGCTGGAACCTGAGGGTAAGAAATGGCTACTTTAAGTCAAGGAAGCTGGAAATTCCTTGCCTTCATTATGGACTCATTAGTTTTCAACCCCCTGTTTTAACGGGGTTTTTAACGTCTCCAAACGATTTACAAATCAATTAGAAACAAGTGGCACAAGGTTAGGAAAATATTAGTACTCAATTTTAACTTTGCTTTTGAAAAAGTACTTGAAGTAATTAAATTGTGAGTCAGTCACTGGAATGCAGGGTAAAATTATTAAAGGAGCTATAGAATAAGTGGGTTAAAGCCTTTTACTTGAAATTAACTAAGAACTGGGAGAAAAACTGTAGAAAAACTTTCTTTTTAGTTACCTTTAAACTGCAAATAACTTCAAGCTAAGCTATTTTCAAACCTCAAAAGGGGTAATATACCTAGATCCTTGACTTCCTTAAGCCCTCCCTCAATTCTCAACCTCTTAATCCTCCCTCTAAAACACATCCTGTCACAAAATTCCCAATCAATTAGCAACAAATGCCGCTGAGCTATACAAATAATGGCTGGCAAATTTGCTCACAAGCTAAAATAAAATGTTTCGCCCTTTGCAATTAATGTCAAAAATCAATGCGACGACGACTCTCTCCCTCTACCCACTCTCCTCAAAGGAAAAAGTTAAGTAAAGCATAAAAACCTTGGGTGCACAAAGCACACGCAATGCCTGGGAAATATGCCATGGCATTCGAGGGTTAAGGAGCAGCACCGGCTGCCAGGCTGGCAGGCGTTAAAGGATTTTCCTTACAGTCGACAGTAAAATCGTTAAATTTACGACAATGTCAGGGAATTGGAAATGCGTGTCGGAAATGCAAAAGAAGGGCTACACAAGTGAAATGAGTTGCTTTTTCCAGTGACAGATCGATCAGCTAATCATTTGCAGACTATATGTTGGCTTTGACAGTTTTTGCCAGTTTAGCAGTCAGTGTTTTTGCTTTGGCAATCGATTACGCAAAGCGAAAAATAAAATAAACAGTTGCGAACCTTTGCTGAAAAAGGCCTGGCCTGGTATGTGTGTTGTGTTTTTATTTGTTATTTTTTCTATTTTGCTTTTGCAATTATTTGAAGCCCGCTGGCAACAGAAAATGGCAAAAACGATAAAGGGGTCTAAATGGCTGTCGTGTTTGTTTGTCAGTTAAATTAGCAACGAAATTTAAGTTAAACCATAAACGAGGGCAAACACACACTATTTAAAACTAATAGAATAGGTTTTTGGCCAGCATTTAAGTGGAGTTTCTCCTCGTTCTAGCAAATGACTCTTGACGTTAATTTCCCAGAAAATGGCCAAAGAACCCTCATCAATCGCTGGGGAATATGCATGGAAAGCAAACACACATTCAACCACCACCACTCACCTCCATTTATTATTGAAGCAACAAATGGATATGGAGCCGGTCGAGTCTCTAGAATATCATGCGATTTTATTGAAATTCAATTGAACATTTTTGTCACGTAATCGACACTTTTCTATTACAAAGTTTCCGCCTTAACCAAGTCCCCAAACCGAAACCCTTCCCATTCCCCTTTCCTTTCTAAGCAAACAAACCACAAAATAATGGTCGGCATCGATGGGTTTATTGTGGGTGGCATTCGCCAGGGTATAAAACGCCATCATCCCGGCGGCTTTAACGCTTTATAAGTTGAGCAAACAACACGTTGACAAAAACTGAAGCAGCATAAAATATGTTTATAGGATTTTGGGTCACCAATGGAGTCAAGCCAGCCAGCCAGCCATTGGGGGTTATGGGTTGACCACTAAAGCCTTATCATCATCACCTACCTCTCTATTCGATAGCGGCTTACCATATCTAACCGGGCGTATCTGACGCTTTTCTATTTATAAACCCTTACCTTGACATTCCCCATTAATATTTTCCCAATCCCAACTGTGATTTGCGTGTCAGCCGCATATTTCCCCACTAAACTTTGACTATTGCGTTCTTTGCCAAATGCTAAAAGTAAACTCAAAGCTAAACCGCGCTCTTTAAGTCATAGATTAAAACTATTTTAGTGCAAAGATTGCTGGGTAAATGTTGTGCTCAGTTGAAGTTATAAACAATTTGTTTTGGTGGCACAGTCACAGTCACGGACATGTGTGAAAATCGACAAAATTGCGATAAACATTTTGTTAAATGTTTATTTTCTTGTTGCAATTAGTGCAGTCACAGAGTGTGGAAAACAAAAGGAATAATTGCAATTAATAAGAGGGTTGCAGCGTGTGACAAATCCCAAGGGGCGGAAAGGTGAAAGAACGTTAGGGAAAATTGGGGCATGAAATACTTTATTTTTAGGGAGCTAACCACGGGTTAAGGAAGGTTTTTCCAATTTAGTGAGTTTCAAGAACATTATTTAATGCCTTTTTAGGTTTAGAAAGATTAAAAATTTATGTATTTCTACGTTTACATTTCATCTTAAATTTCTTAATTTTAAAGCAACATCTTTTCCCTTAATATTCCCACATAAACAGCCTCTTAAATCTCAAGATCATCATGGATCCCGAGGAGTTAAATGATTTGCTATAAAGCCCCCCAGACACATTGGGCGTTGTAAACAAATGTTTTGCCATTTCCTGTCCCCGCCCTTTTTGTTTGTTAACTTAACCCTCCATCTCCCTTCTTCATTTCCACGCCTGTGAGAGAACATCAAACAAATGTCTTTACGAAGAGGCAAAGGGAAAGTGCAATGCACCTTCTCAACAACAAAAACAACTACATCGAAGCGTTAAGTGGAACCTATTTTTAAAAACCGAAAGTTGTTTGTTGCGTCTATTTTTAGTTTAGTTCAGTCGAGTAAACCATGCATTTTGATAAATGGCGCACCATGAAGTTGCTGTTCATGTGCCGAGTTGTCAATGGAAGTGCAACACGTGTATTGTGGTGGAGAATCTCAAGTTTTACCCAATGTTTTTCCATACTCTAGTTGTAAAATAATACCCATACGATATGCAAGGGAAAAACAGAGGGAGGAGGAAAAACCAATGAAACCGACAACAACACGTGCATTATCGATTGCAGTTTGGCGTCTGCAATGAAAAGCCATAAACCCTTGGCATGTTTTTGTGGTTTTGGCATTGAGATCAACTGCTATGGAAGCTGCTGGGGGAGCAGTAGACGGAAAAAGGCGTATAACTGGGCTATCCAGTAGAGACGAGACTCCCCTCTGGCAATGGCAATGGAAACGGCAATGACATGTACACTTGGCCACTCGAAGGCAACAACATCGGCACAATCATCGACTATGACAAACAACTACGACCCGCAGGTGCACAAATATGTTTGTTCGCATAACCGAACAAGAGTCCAGTCCATGTAGCTTTCCACCGCACACACATGTTTCCCATTTCCCAGGCTCGGCGACATTTTAAATTAGAGAGAGAGAGGAGAGGTGATTGAATCGGATAGTATGTTCAATTGAATTTCTCCAATTTGAAGGCAATACAATTTGTACAACAAACAAACTTTAGGGAAAACTAATCAATCGTCTTGAAACTTTAGTTTAAAGTTAGTTTTTGGGAATTATGTAGGGATCGATGGATTGGTAATCAATTTAAGGTATTACCTTGGAAATTGGTTTATTTATAAGACTGGCCAAGACTAAATAAGGTAGATAGGATAGGAGCTAATTCAACTTGCTAATCCCCTTAAATTTCCCTAACTGAATTTTAAGTAGATATTTCTATATTGAAATGGATTCTCTGACATCAAATTCTCATTTTTTTAAGACTCACCCGACTGACTGCCACCGGCGATCTGTCTCATCTCCTTGGTAAACTCCTTGTTGCCAAACTGGCAGGAGAGATCGTGGACGGTGCGGGGCTCGCCCTTGTCCAGCAGCCGCTCCAGGAAGAAGAGCAGCGTCATGTTGCGTGCCATCTCATACTCCATGGACTCCATGGTGTCCTCTAGGTACTCCCAGCGATATCCACCGGCAATTGCTGTTTGCTAGCTGCTATCTCCTTAATTATTAATCCACGCAAATACGTCACGTCACGTTCACGTTGCGTTGTTGTTTTCTGTTGGCTATCTGCAAAAAAAAAAAAGGGGCAAGAGGAAGACTGTGAGTGTGTGTTTGTGTTTCAGCGAGGTGAAATGGCCAACACTTATGCAATGCGCCAAGAAAGCTGGCCAAAAGCTAAGAGCTCAGGCGATGGCGAAAAGCAACAACTAGCAAACCGCAGACACATATTAGTCAGCTGAGTTTCATTTCGTTTCGTTTCGTTTCGTTTATTTATTTAATACATTTGCACTTTGCTCGGCCTCTTCTCAGTCTCTTCTCTATGTCTCTCCGGCTTCTCTATCTTTCTCTCTCTCTCGACTATCGCCCGACACTTGTTTTATGCGACTGCATTGTTTTTGCCGCTCGCCTTGCACTCATTGAACAAATAAAAAAGCGGGGGCCATAAACTGTGTCTTGCTTCGTGAATAATTGAAGCGGCTTAGACCACACGGGCCACAGACTCAGCGCACGTTCGAGTTGGAGTTTACGTCTCAGGACCTGCGGCTCAAGTATCCCTATATCCTTGCGGCATATCCTTGCGCGCCGCTTGAACTCTTGACAACAACTGGCAGCAGGCGGCCTGCTGCTCGCGTGCTGCCGCCCAAGGCACAAGTATAAGCTCAAGGTAGTCTCGTCGGCTGGCTTAGGGTTCGGGTTTTAGTCCCTTATCGAGAAGGTAAGCCTTGAAAGGAATTTACTGCTTAAAGTGTACAAAATAAGAAAGACTACAACTTGGGAACAAAGAACAAAAATATGCTGAATGAAAAGGTTAAATTTATTCCAATTATTTTTATTTTTATAGCCCACTTTAAACTCCTAAATTTAATCTAGACATTCTTTTGTTGTTTCACTTGTACTTGTTAATAAGATAAAGGATTATGTCACATGTCCTAAATTTATTAAAATAACTGATACTAGAATAAAGCCAAAATAAAAAATAACTTTCAAAAGCTATGTTTATATCTTATTTATTCAACAAAAATTTCGCTTTAGCCAGTCTAGACTGTGTGTGAACGAGCCAATTGGAATTTGCATGGGATTAGTACCAATAAGACTCTAAGCACAATGGGACTTGGTTGGATATTTAAAAATGTACGGATTTCGGTGGGAAAGAAGCGATCAAAAGTTGGCACCTCCAAGAGAGGCTATACAGCGTTGGCTATATATAACATATTTAATTTGTTTGTTGCTGCTGCTGCCGCTTCTTCTGGTTGGCATGTGAAAAGCAGAAAAAAAAGTGCCAGCGCTGCAGAACAGGTGATTGACACAGAAAATGTGGATATGTGGAAATCTAGATGTGCAGCGGAAATGGAAAATGCCAGAGCTCCCAAGAGAGAGTGCAAATACCGAAAAAGTAAAACAGCTTCTCCATTAAAATTACCTAAACAGAACTTGCCACTTCATTATAGAATCCAACTAGGAAAGTTGGGGAAGGAAAGCCAATAAGAACTTTTTAGCAGGTGTCTGTGTTGGTGTGTTGTTCTATTGATAAGCTGAAAACCGTTGACAACAAATATGTATTGGGAACAGCAGTAACGAAAACAATAACAAAAACAACAACACATTCCAAAGCACTTCTTTGTGTTAGTGTCTCACAGGTAGCATTCATGTGTGTGCGTGTATGTTCGCCGTGTGTCTTTGTATGGGTGGCAAAACAAGAAACTTCAGACATACCGATAAAAAAACTCTTATTAGCCGAAAGAGATGGCAATACTCAGCGTGAGGGACAAGTGCAAGATGTGATGAGTAGAGGTAAAAGCAATAAAAACTATGAAAATAATGAAAACAATAAAACGTAGCCCAGCAAACGAAGAAAATAATAATAATATCTGCAGAGAAAACGCGCAAAAAATGTAGGGAAAGAAGAAAGAAAGAAAGAAAGAAGCTCTCAAAATATGCAAAGCGACACACACAGGGAGAGAAAGAGAGGGAGAGAGAGAAATGGCGAAAAAAGAGCAGTTATAATTACCTGGCAGTTAATCCCTTGTTTTCCTTTCCCTCGCTGTTTGCTTAAGTGCACTTGTAATCTATATTTAATCTTTATTTATTTAAAAAACTGACACACACGCGATACAGATCCTCGCGTTGGGGATATTTCAGCCGCAGCAACTTCTGATCAGATCGAGGATCTTTGACTCTATCTGTGACTGGCTTTCCCGCTCTCGTTCACTCGCGTAATTCAATTAGACATCAATTAATTCGCTCGCTTAACATTTTTTCGGCGCAATTAACCCAATACACTCGCAGAAAACTGCGACGAAAGCAGTTAGCTATTTCTTATTCGTGTTGTTGTTGTCACACACACACTCGCTCGCGCGCGCTGGTCAGGTAGGTTACGTGTAGGTGTGTGGGTTTGTAAGGCACTTTGAAGGCTTGTAAAAATTGTAAAAACCACTTGTTGCACGGCTCTGAAAAGGCACTTCTCGAAACCCGAGCCCCGATGTCAATGGAATTCCGCCAACTCCGGCTGACGTCGCACGAAACGGTCACAACTGGCACGGTTTTAATTTTTCGTTCGAGGGATTCGATGATGACAACGCGAACACAAACACAAACGTGGGAATTTGAAAGGCGGACGATGAGCGGGGGCGGTGGCGGGGGCGCAATAGAGTGCCCATCAGATTTTGCGTTTCTTATGATGAAATTCCTCAAAGAAAGGAGTGGATTTTCTAGTTCTAGGTAGCTGGTCACATTGTTTTACACCTGATACTCAACCCACATCTGATAATCGAACCACATCTGATACTACAACCCACATCATGTCACTGACATGTAAAAAACCCGTACACAGTGCTGCCAGACAGGTGCCGTTCATGAGCGACCAACATTGCCGGACTTTGCGTTCAAGAGCTGGTCACACCCGACTTATCGATAGTTTTTGAATAAATCGAATTCAAATTTAAATTTGTTCCCAAAAATAACGACTAAAATGTGTTGCCATAGAAATTGTGTTGTTTTCTTTTTTCTGTTGAGCTTATAAACCGGTAAACAAAGTTTATATACCTTTGCTAGCTTAGTTTTAAGTTTCCCCAGCTCTCAGACATGGATGTTACGGAATTTCTGAGCCGCACAGACCGCCGCAACCTCAAGTCCCAAATAGACTTTCAGGTGGCCCGAAAGATGAGGGAGTGGTACCAGGATGTGGACAATCGCCGCATGAACTTGAGCCTGCTCCTGCAAACAGAAGCCCTGCAGGCGGATGAGGAGATAGCCGAAATGCTCCAGGAGCAGGCCGATGAGGCGGAAAGAAAGCGACACGAATGGATTGAAATGGAGCGTCTCAAAAGGGAAGAAGCTGAAAAGGAGCTGGTTAAAGTTAAGAAGCAGCAGAGGGAAATGTAGGGAGAGCCTTAAAATTATATTTTCATTTTAAATTAACCTAACGTTTCTCTATTAATAGTGAAAACTCAGAAGCCCATCGTCACATGCAAACTAAGGAGATTCTCTTGGAAACCAAACAAGCTCAGCTCCATCAAATCGAGGAGAAAAAGGCTCTCAAGCGGAGGCAGGCCTGTGTAGAGGTCCTTTGGCAGCGGGTATGGCAAAGACTAGACGAAAGTCGAGCTCAGCAAGAGGAATATGAGCTTAAGCTCAGGAACTTGATCGAAGGTAGATGCCAGGCCCAGAATATGGACAGAGATCGAGAGCTAAAGGGCCAGATGGCCCAGGAAGTGCTAGCCGATCAAAGGGAATGTTCTCAGAAGTGAGTTGAAGTTTAACCAAGAAAATATTTAAGAAACAATTAAGCATTTTATATATTTTTTTAGCCTGGAATTTGCCAATGAAATGGATATCTTAAAAAAGCAACAGGATCTTAAAAAGGATAAAGACAAACGCCGAAAACAACTCACTGACTTGCAGGATCAAATCAAGCTAAACCTTAAGATCCAAGCCAATCGCGCAGAGGCCAATCTTCGCGAGGACACCTTTTACAACATACTCGAAGATCGACAGATTTACGAGGAGCTTATGGAGAAGCACTGTGCCAGGGTGAGTATGAAATCACCTGTTCTTATGACGTGTTCTCGAAGCTTTACAGCCTTAACCTTTTCTCCTTTGTTTCTGCAGGCCCAGAATCGTGATTGGCACCAGCGTTATATGACACATACGGCCGAGGAGCGCTCTGCTCGTCAGGAGCAAGATCGGAGGCGGGAACGGGATTATCTGGGCACTGGGTGTGTGCTCAGCCAGCAGCAGAAGCAGCCATATGGCCGGGCAGTGCGGTAAAGCCACTCACATTCACACTCATCGATCGATAGCCTCACTCTTGTCACGCCTCATATTTGGATACGATATTGCAATTATATTTATGACTGATATAAATCAGGCAATGGCTGCGATGGTGAGCGATAAGGAAAAGCGTATCACGCACTGGCGGCATAAAGCCATGATAATGCCCACCATCAACGTCACCCCGTGGAGGCTGTTGTAGCTCGCTTGGCCAGCGGCCAAATATGCAAATATGCGACAAAGCTGGGACAGTGTTACATCTATAAATGAAACAGGCTCTTGATTAATTTCAGAAAATATTTCTAGAATGTAGAAAATTAATAATAAAATTGATAACCTCACATGTTCATACTCAAACACCTTGACTATACAGCCTTTTTGTCTTCCTTACTACTAGTTTGAAGTCAGAACCAGTTGAGAATTATAAATTACAAGTAGACAACAGAAGGCACTTTACCTTTATTTAATTTTTCGTTTTATTTGGATTTTTTTCATTTTTTTAATATAATAAAAGTATATTTCCAAGTTGGATTTATAGAATTTCACCTGTTGGAACGATTAACAAGCAAAGTGTGGCTGTATCAGCGACTTTGACAATATTTCTGACACTTGGACAGGACTTGGAACTTGGACCCTGGCCCGTGTAGCATTTATAATTGACCGCTTCCGCCGTTTGCTGCTGCTGCTGCCGCTGCTGCGCTCGTTGTCTCCTCAACTGGTTGGCCGCTAATTAGAGTTGATCGGTGACCATGTCTCCGCCGGCAGCAGCTGCAACTGTTGCACGTCGCATGCAGCACTCACTGCTGATGCACTCAAAATGTAAACACACTAACCGCTGTGTTTATTCAATTAAAAGGAGTGCGGGTAGCAGAGATTGCAGCTAGCAAATTGCCAGAGTAATTTCCATTGCAATGTACTTAGCAATATTGGCCAACAACGGGTCATTTGGCAGAGGATCCTTGTAGAGCTGATAAGCAATTTCAGCGGGATTAGGTACCATCAAGGTAATCTGTGCTCATCCATTCCGCGGAACAGTGTTTATTTATAATATTCCAGGCTCATGTTTACTGTCCAAACAAGCGAGTGAAGTACTTTGTGTGTGTTAAGGCCATCATGCACTCAGGAAATTGGGTTGTAAATAAGTTAAATAAGGAAATATTTGCTGGGTTTTGATTTGATCTTTTAAAGAACAAAATTTGATCTAGAATGAGAAACTTATGGGATTTTTTTTGGTTTGGATTAAGCACTTCAAATAAGGAAGTATAAGGATTAACTGAAAAATTAAAGTCTGACCTACAATTTATGTACATATTAGACATTTTTCTTAGATGGAATCAGCTCAAATAGGGAAATATTACTAGTTTTTTGACCTAATCCTTTAACAAGGGAAGTATTATATGGAAAGAAAATTCAAAAAAAGGGTTTCCTAAGATGATATTATCATTGAAGTATCTTACTACATAAAATGTACACAATAAACAAACATAAAATAATAATATATATATAACGAATTATAATTTTAAATTTTACAAATATTTTTCTATTGAAATCCCAATCATATTTTTTGCTTGTTTGTTCGCTTCTTTTTTTAAATCAAGTCCCTGGAATAAATTAATTGGATTTTGTTTTTCAAAACAATAACAATATTCAACGTTAAATTAAGTTCAATTAATCATCAAATGTCAGTCTAGACCTCAGATGATTTCATCTACCCTGAAAGTTGTTCAATTTAAAAAGAAAGACAAGAATGTTGTGATGTTTTTTGATTTGGGAATTCTTCAAGTTACATTGTTGTTGATTTCTGAAACCTGTTCTCTCACTGCACAGCTCAATGCATAGCTAAATAGCCATGCATATACTCCAGGTTTCAGCCTGTCCAGTTGCATAACACGATCCCATGCATCACGCAGTTGCAACGTCTCCAGCCGAGCCTGAGAACCAAGTGAAGCGAAGCATAGAAAACAAGGCAACCATTGGCGGCGAGTCCTCAAAGAGAGGTGTCAAAGTCGGCTCAGGATTTCCTCCTCCTGCTGCTGCTGGGACTCCTCCAGGCGTGTCATTAGCCCCGAAAAGGGGTGGCCAGCATTATTTATGTGACACTTACCAGCGTCGTGACAACATTTGCCAAATGTGCAGATGGCAAAAAGGAAAAAATGCATTCAAATGGAAATGTATCTCAAAAACAATGCCCCGGCAACAAGGGACTAGAAAAAGAGGTAATGGCAAGGCGGTGCCCAGGTAACGAGTATTTTCTAATATCCACATAAATCTGATTCCTATACGGCAACGCCTTCCAGCACAAGTTATCCAGGGATCTGCAAGATTTATAGATTTACCTCTGGGCAACCGAAGCTCGACTTGAGCCCATTAATAAGCGTTTAAAGCCAAGAGCTAATTGCCAACGCCTACTGGCCCAGGCAAGGAGAGAAAATGCATAAAAGGAGGTGGGAAATATCCAAGACAAGTCACAGGGAAACTATTGTTTATGTGGGCGTCCAGGACATGTCGGGTGGCTCGGTCCAGTGCCCTCCTATGGCGAGGTTTTTACACGTATGTGTGCTCTCTGGAAAATCGGGACAAAAGGCTGCGGTCACTATGCTGATTGAAATGCCCACGCCGGCCCACGTCCTGCAATTGCCGGGACCTCCTGCCAAACGCCCCTCTAGATTCCTTTTTTTTTCTGTAATGTTTTGTACCAATCGTGCTGTACGTGCCGGACAAATTTAACGCCTAGGTTTCCAGGTATAAATTGTGGCCCTGCCCGCCGGCGAAGAAGCATAAAAAAATGTTGCACCAAGGCGGCAGCAGCGGCGTAGAGCATTCTGCACAAGTGGAGTGGGGTATGGCAGAGAATCGATGCTATTGTTACCCTGTACAGGGAAAATAATGGTTTGATAAAATAAATAGACCTTTGATAGACTCTGAGAAAATGGTGGGGGAAAATAGTTCTATAAAGTAAGCTAAGAGAATAACCGAAAATCTTATAAACTGAAAAATGAGAAACATTAAAAACTTAGAACTTGGAAATGAACTTACATCATAGCTTCAAATAAATTCTAGAAAATGCGGAAAACCCCTCTTAAACTTATAGAATATAAACAAATAAATGATAATTAAACAGGAAATGCCATAGAATATGATAGTAGTTTCAATATTTATGTTATGTTCTAAGATAGTAACTTATAGTACTACTCATAGTCATAGTATCTTGTATATTATAAGTTATTTATCAAGAACTTAACAATCAAAACCTAAACAAACTAAAACAAAACCTAGTCATAGTTATGACATTGTAAACAATATATTTTCTTTATCAAACCCTTAAGTCTGGGTTTCCCGAATTTCTTTATCGAATGAATCACCAAGATATTGACCAATATCTACACATATAAAATATTTATTAGTCAGTTTTTTGGCAGAAGTGTGACCTGGTTGTAAATTCAGTAGATATCAGGGGTAACAAAAAATGATAACAAAAATCAATATAGATTTTATGGAGGCTCGTAATAATGGCAAACCATTCAGAATTCGGGTATATCCCTTCTTCCCATAATTTAAGGGTATCATGACATTATGCTTTAACCAAATCTCACCCCTCTTTTCCCCCCCAGTTTTACCTTTTTGTTCTACGGTTTGTTCTGCCAATTTTCATGGCTGAAAATGAATTTCGCGCCTGAAAATTTTGCTGGGCAATTTTTATTATCGTCGAAAATTGCCAACCCGCTGGCAAATGTCATAGATTGTGAGACTCCCTTCTGCACTCTCCCAGTTCAATTTTCTGAGCATCTGCTTTGGAAAACTTTCTTTCTTCTATTTTTTCTCTATAGGAGGTTTCGACATGCCATAAACTTGAAGCCATTGACAGACACGCGTAGAACCAGAATCTCTCCCCACTTTTCAAATAAACCAAATTGACAGCAGATGCGGGCAATTGAGAATTTGGGGGGGAAAATATTGGGGATTGGGGGTTGGGGGGATATTGACTTTTGGGGAGAAATGCAATTATGCGATAAAAGCGCAATAAAAAATTGTGTTAATTGCTGAAGAAACACAAAAACAAACTTGCATTGAAATTCGGCACAATATCCACTCCACCGAATGACAACGACGATGTCTTGTTTGCCTTTTCATATTTTACGGCCGCATCAATCTCTCGTCGTGGCCTGAGTGCTGATAGCCGGAATGGTCTTCACTGTACAGTAATAACTTCTCCTGGAATACTCTGACAAAGTGAGTGAGTGGCACTCTTGGCTGTCTCCCCGGTCTGATTGAGTGATGCATCATCATCGTCATCCGTTGGCTCCTGTTAGGGATGACAGGAAATGTCGATATATTGACCCGAAAGTCGATATATAAATTGATAATTTAACATTGCAAAGAATCGATTTTCTACTTTAAATTTATCGTAAAAACATTGCTGAAATTTCGATATATAGATAGATACTTTATCGACATTTCAAACAAAAGTCGATAGGTAAATCGGTATTTTAACGTTGCAAGATATATGTACGATTTTTTCGATATTTAAAATTGAAAATATTAAAGTTTAATCGATACATCTTCTCTTCTCAATATCTGCACCATCCCCAGCTCCTGTTGATGCCACAAATATGATTCCTGTTCATATCTCGCTGAGTGGCCAGGGCAATAAATTCGTTTAATATGCAAATCAAATGCAAATTGATCCGGGATTCAAGAGCGAAGAGAAAGAGGAGGTGCCACAGACTAATTAAAAATCACAAATTGGTCTGGTCTTCGACTTCTGCGCCAATTGCTAATTAGCCATAGATCAGAGATCTCTCACTAGACTGGTTTGTGGCCAAGTTTTCCCCCCAACCGCGGAATACTACCCCCCAACTACCAAATCTGGTTGCGGAGAGACCAAACCCATTTGGCAATACTTTTGCTGGGGTTATTAATCTCCGCTGTCAAGGACATTTCCTTGTGTAATTTGATTTAAATGGCTTGTCTTGTGCACACATAATTTCGTCATTTTTTACCCAACGATCATATCAATAGATTTGTATGGGTACGATCGGTTAAAGCAAACCATTAATCGCACGACCTGACGGTATTTCAACATATAGAAAAACTTGATTCAAGAGGGGAGTGTCCTAGGCAGGTTATCTGTGTGTTGGAATGCCAGAGATTGTCATGAAAACTTAAGTTAAAACACATTAAACTGAAAATTTATTAAGTAAAATCTTTTACACATAAGATAAATAGTTACTTATTTGCAGACATGGTCAAAGTTACAAACTAGAATAAAACTGAAATTCAAGCAGACAAGTTAAGACATCTTAAAGCAGGAGTGCAGTAGCAGTAGCGGTGGGGGTATTCAAGGGGTTTGCAACCCCCATGGAAATTAAGGTTTCTACCACATTGAACAGGTCTGTAAGAAAATATATCTCATTAAAAAGCAATCTAATTAGTAAAAGGTATGTAACTGAACTTACTACAACTACAGCATAGGTAAGACCTATTCCAGATCCTGCCAGGACATCGGACCAATGATGCTTGTAGTCCGAGACTCGACTGAGTGCCGTATACCAGGCGAACATTAGCAGCAAAAACTGCAGCAGGTGACGCAGCATACGGAGGCGATTCCAATGCATTCTGCGTTGCAAGTAAATCTAGAAAAAATATATAAACATTAAGAGGGTTGTGTAATGTTTTTATATTTTTTAAATATATTTTTATACATTTTTTCTATCAACTTACCGCCATGTAGAGCATGGAGTAGCAGGCAAAGCTGGCATGTCCACTGGGAAATGACAGGCGCATATCCTTTAGTCGCTTTGAAGTTATATCCATTGCCGCACAGGTAAAGTCCTCGATATAACGTCCAGCGTTTATGGGATCGTTACAGGTAGTGCCATCCAGCATAACAGGTTGACAGAGCTATTGAAAAGAAATTTAAAAATTATAATAAAAATATATACAAGATAATCTTTCAAAAAATCAATGTTTGATCTATTTAAAATTCTATTAATCTTTGAAAAAATACATTTTTAGCCTATATAAAATTCTTCTTTGTTTCTTTTTTAATTAAAACTTATTCTATTTTGCCTTAAAATCTAGTTTTCCCAACTCACCGTATAAAAATGCGGCCTTAGTCTTCCTATAGCATACTTGGCTATATTTGTGGTGAGCTGTTCAACGCCCAAACCAAAAACAAAAATGCCTATCTTGCGATAGCATTCCAGCAGCCAAAAGGGTAACTCCAAGTGGCAAAGATGATAGCCGCTGCCCAGCCTGTGCTTTTGAAAAGGACCATGCAAGCGGCTATCCTGGGCTCTAAAAAACTCAACCAACAGCATCTAAAAATAAGAAATTAATTGAATATATTCTAAAATAATTTTTAAAAAATAAAAAAGCACTCCAAACTCACCATAGAAGCTGGCAAGGCTCCGCAAATCAAGTAAAGCATCCAGCTGCGCATGGTAGAGTCCTTGTAAGGATGCCTCAACGAAGAATCATTGCAAAAGAAACCCAATTTAACGGGTTCGCCATAGAGTGAAAACCCTAGCATAGGTAGACCCACTGCAAAGGGAAAATAAAAGGAAAATAAATAGAGTTTTGCATCTTTCAAGTGTCCCAGTTGTGGGCTCTTTGGGTGGCCCAGAAGCCAGAATGGTGTCCAATTCTTTATATATATCAACTATATAGGCAAGGTCTGCTGATCCAGCCTTAATTGGACTTGTATAAACACCACGATAGCCATCACCATGATGGTGTGGAAATGAGTCCACACATAATCAAATGAAAAACGCGCTCCCCCTCGCAAAACAGAAAGCCACACAAATTGAATAAAATAAATCAGAGCCAACTCGATGCGCGAATAAATAAATATATATGTATACTATATATCTTTTTGGGGCCCACAAAGGAACCCAAGTAAATAAACACTGCTGGAAACATTTTAGTGGAATTTTGGATATGTTTTTTATTTGAAAACAAGGCGCTACACCTACAGTTCAACAAGGGAATATATTGTATATGGTATAGTAAGTGGAACCCCCACCAGAGCACACTCTGGTCTCTGCTACCAGAGTTCAATTGCTGGCCACATGATAACAGATCGTAAAACGTGTGAAAGGTCGAGGGGGAACATTTTTTGATAATACTTCTAAAAAGAAATACTTCTAAAGCTTAGAGTCCGACTCAAAGAACTGCGCTTCCATTAACTAAGATTTATTTTGGGTTTGATTAGAAGCACAAATCTTCATGGTTGAGTGCTGGGGAAATGGGAACATTTTTGTAAATAGTTTTTCTTTTCAAATTATTAAACTTTGGACTTTTTAAAGTAGAACAAATAGTTTACACTTCTTTGATTTGAAATATAAAAAAGATTTGATTGTTTATTTGGTCGCTGTTAATTGTTTATAGAATATTATATTATATTTATTATTATTATTAATTTGTAAAATTTGTTTACAAACCAATTAAATGTTATACATTTTTGGCTTAGTTATCATCGATTTAATATTAATTAATTTAAAGTTTTAATTAAAAACTCCAAGGGTATACAAGTTACGGCTTCCCAAAAGTTAGTTTTATTTCCTTTTTTTGTTAACTATTTATTATAGCTCACTTCCTTTGCTTGGTTTATTTATAAATAAACGTCATCAAGGGTTTCCAGGTAAACTTCCGTTGGCATATTTGCCTTTTGCCCCCTAAAGTCAATATATTTTGTTTGTTTTCTGTTTTTTTTTTGCTAACAACTCAAAGAGTTTCCTTGACCACAAAATGTGTGCTTGGGATTTCACCCCACAAAATTGCCAACTATAATAAAAAAAACCAAGCTTGAGTGTCTGTAAAATCCAAACTTTAACCGCAAAAATAACCTAGGCAACAGTTTTGGCTTTTCTATTTTTTTTATTATTTTTATTTCAAAGTTTAAGGTAAACTTTACGTTTTAGTTAAATAAAAAATATATGTCTTTATTTTGCACTTTAAAGAAAATTTTCATAAAAAATTTTTCAGCTATTTTTCGGTAAGAACTTCTCACTTTTAGTAGCCTTAAAACCAAACCTACACATCCTCAAATGGTTTTCGATTTAGGAAAGGTAGATATAAAAAATTCTTCTAAATTTTTATACAAAAAAAAATGAAATCTTCCCTAATCTATAAATTATCCCATTAAACCCCTAACAACTCACCGCAGCTGAGCAGGCAAAGATCCATGAGAATTCTCCCAAAGATTTGACGTGGCCCTCTTAGCGGCAGCTTGCTATTGGCGGCGCCCATAGATCCTCCTCCATGGTTACCCAGAGAGCTTCCGACAAAAGTCGGCAGCTGCAAGTCCAGTTTGACATTATTGTTGTTGTGATTGGCAGTAGTAACTGAGGCGGCTGAGGCAGCGGCTATAATGCTGGCAGCCGTCGGCGAAGAAGGCTCCTCGCTGCTGCTGCTCTGACTTTCAAATCTCTGGAGAGGAGTGGTGTCGCTAACACTACCAGGTCGAAGGCTGCTCATGGTGGAACTGAAGGTTCCTAATCCTGGTTCTGCTTTTTCTTTCGTTTTTGTTATCGGATCAAGCCCAAGAGGCGGCCTCAAATGGTGGCTCTTCTATTGCACATTGCACCTGGTGACCACCCGGGTGGTCATCTTCTTATCGCACACACACAAATATTTGAATAATCCTCGCGGGGAGTGTTTTATTTTATTTTCATTCCTTTTCCTTATTTCGAGGGAATGTGCTAATGGACGCTCCCTTCTTGAAGGCACTGTGATAAGGCTACACTCTCTCGATAATGTTGCTGTAAATTACACGGCGTCGGCGTTTTGTGGGCGGTACGGCGGGAAAATTGGGCAAGGTAAGCCCAGGTAAACAGGCCGCTAAACGCTATTGCGCAAGCGATAAGCAATGAGCGATCGCGATCGGTTGAAAATTTGGTCAAAGAAAAATACTGCTGGCAACGCACAAAGGTAAATAAGAGGTTAAAATCTCTGCAATTATTTGGCCTGCACTTAATATTTGTTTGTTTTCTTTTTAGTCACAACGAAGGTGCTGCTTGTGAGCTATCGCTCTTGCTCCACTTCTTTTCGCACTCTTTTTCCGCTTTTCTATTTGTTTCGCATGCGCAGCAGCGACTCTGCGAAGACGGTAGCTGGCGAGGCCCGAGGAACGCGGAACGAAAGCCCACCACCCGAAAAGATAACGATAACACCGATCCGTACCGTTCGACGCCGCCCGAAGAATTGAGCGGCCGAGTCCAAAATATATCCAGCAGGCAGCAAACAACGAAAACGAAACGTAAACAGCTGCTCGAAGAGAAGAGAGAGAGCAAAAAAGAGGGATACCCATTACAGGTGGATTACGTGGGGTATACTGCGTTTCCCTAAAGTACTATTCATCAGTAGTTTATCATATATTGATCAGAAATTTGTTAGTAATTCATCAACAAACACCTAATTGTGGATTGTTGATGAAGAAATAACCAAGTTAAGGCAATTATGAACTTCCAAAATTGATTTAAATTGAATAAAATTCATCTTAAACTCAGAAGTAAGTTTCAAAATTGAATCTAACCCCAGAATTAATTTAAAAAAAAGTTAAGTTACATAAGTTACATATGTGTGACAGAAAAAAGATACCAAAATATTTTAAATTTATAAAAGTATATACAATTAAAACTCATGTAAATTGATTACACGGTATCCCTTTGTCGAACCTTGTAACTAATGCTTTCTTTTTTGTTTTCTTTTTCTCACACTCTCTCTTTTTCTCAGCCTAGAAGGAAACGCGTGGAATGAAACGAGCTTTGATCAACTTGTAATAAGTTATAGTATTTATTTAAGACATGTTTTGTTTTTATAAACATTAAATAAAAATACAGAAATATGGGGAAATTACAAAAAAATAGTTAAAATATATGAAACTTTTTAAAAAAGCTTTTGAACTTAAGAAATTAAGAAGGTAATAGAAAGAAATATGTTAATCAAGTTTCCATTTTATTGTTTAGTATTTTATAAGTAAATTTAAAACATATTTAATATTATAAAAACTATATCTGAAATTAAATTCGTAGATAACTAGAGTTTTGTCCGTTTGTTTTTTAAAAATTCTTAAAGCTCAACTAATAGTACTTCTTTATAACTTCAACGAAAATAAACCATTTTCTATTTAATAAATTGTTCAATAAACTCGTACCCCCCATCAAAAACTTACCCCATTACCCTAATTCTAGTAAAAACTGAACCTAAATAACCCCAACTGTGTTCCCACATCCCTACCTACATTACCCACTGAGCTTTTCTATTACTCCTTTAGCCTTGACCGGTCCTTGCTGTGTGTTCCATTCCCACAATATACCCTACGCGTTTATAGATAACAGAGAGAGCGTAAATTCTTCCCTCAAATCGTTCCCAGCCGAGTCAGTCACAGCTATTGTATCTGTATCTCTCAGTTATTTTCGTTCAACGGTCGCGTTCGGGTCGATTCCACGTCGCTCGTCCGTTTATTCGAATCAAAGTGCGGATCTCTTAATCGACGTATATTATAGCGCTACCTCTATCTGAATCTGAGGAAGGAGCCAGCACTTTGTGGGTGAAATAAAAACAAAGCTAACGATGACGGAGCAAACAAGGGCTGCTGCCTAAACAGAAAAAGAGACTTTCGCAAGAGGCCAAGTGGCAAAAGGTAAATGAATTAAATTAAACAAAGAAAGTGTGTTTATTTGTGCTGGATATATCTTGGGCGATTTTATTGATTTGCTTGGCCGGCAAACACAAAAGTGGCTCTTGATGGTCACATAAACAAAAGTGCGAAAATAGAGGCGAAAAACTGTGCAAATTGTAGCTCGCGGGAAAAATTCATAAATTATTCAGGTGGGAAAGGGAGAATTACGTGGGCGTGTATTTTGTTTGGTTTAAAATCGATTTCGCTGGTACTCTTCCATGGTCAAGGTTGTTGTTTTTGTTGCGTAAATTAATTGCTATCAATTTTGTCCGTTAAATCAGGCCATTGTGTTCTGTGGAAACCTCTCATCAATCGATACCCAACCCGTCAGCTTATCAATTATTGAAACGCAAAAGGCCAGAGGAATATCTGAAACGCAACATTTGGCATTTCATGGTGCTCAAGCTTTATTATTACTATATATGCCCCGCCCCGATATATTGGCTTTATCGGTGAGAGTTTTCCGCCACTTGGATCTGGGATTTGCCTGAAACAATTCTGGCATTTGGCCAAGTTACAAGCCAAATTACGGGGCAGGTCATAAACATTTTCCATATTAAATACTTGACGTTGCTTCCTGCCACATTTAGGTCCATCAATCAAGATCGAAACTATTATTCTAAGATTTTTGGTTGAATTTTTGAAGACTTTGGATATATTTTGTAAATATTTATGGCTGCACTGTGATTCTGGGATCCTTTAAAAAAATGTAGCTAAAAGTTTTGATAAGAAAAATTGGTAGTAAAAATAGTGTCAGTTATGGTTAAATAATTGCAGTGAAAAATTATTAAATTATTTATTATTATTTACTTTTTTTTGTATTTATTACTATACTTTCTATATATTTATATTTTTACATATATATTTTCTGCATTTACCAACATTTATACCTCACATTTTTATGATTTCTTTAAGTGATTTTTTAGCATTAACTCAAGAAATTCTATCACTTGAATACTTTTGAGATATATTTTTATAACTTGTCTTTCTTATTGAAATTCTATAAGCCTTTGCTTCACACCCCAAAAACTCCCAATGCCTTACTTTTCGATTTTCCAACAAATTTTCCTCACAATTCATATTGAATTTCGTTGTCAAGCTTGTGTAAATTGTTGGCCAACTTCTGCTGACTTCTGCTGACTTCACTTCAGTATGAGAATTTGCCACCAATAATAATCGTTAACAAAGCAAATAAACAAGCGTTTTACATACACCTCCTCGCGACGCGATGGGTTGGTTGAACTTGAGACCACGAGCTCCAACTTTTCAAGTGTCAATTTACCTTCCTTTTCGCCGACAAGTTGTCTGCAAGTTGGTTATAAAAACCCTTTAAGAATATGTGATTTGCGTGTCTGGTTCAGGAGGGAAACTTGAAATTTCCATATGCCCAAAAAAATTCTCGGCATGCACTTGTTGGATTTTTAATGATGCGACCCGGCGCCGGGTTGTTTATGTAAATTGTGAACCATTTCATTAACCGATATGTATGCATATATTTTTGTATATTGTTCGGTTTTTAATTATTTTTCCATCTCGAATGACCTTAATTCGCCGCATGCGTCTGGGGAGATGACACTCGATGGGAGGGGAGGCTGCTCAGCTTGTGGTCGTTGCCCGACGAAAGTTAATCGTTTCAGTCTTAAATTAAAATGATGAGGAGGCGGATTTTGGATGGGGTAGGCCTTCAGCTGTATCTGAAAATCAAAAGTTTTTTATAAGCACTTGTAATGCCGGGCTTAAATGACACATCCTTTGACACCATAAACATGTTGAATTAATGGTTTTTGTGATGTAGAACTAAACGATGCTTTAAAGATTGAGATAAATTATTATAAAATTTATTTTCAAGTACAGAATAAAAGGGGGAAGTGTTAAAAAATAAACCCATCTGTGTATAATTTCTTAAAAACTGCTCAATCATGCTCTTACCAAAAACTGTATACGTTGAAATATTCCAAAATTTTGCAAACTATCATAAATTATTTTGAAGTGAACCAAAAATATACAAAAGGAAATGTTGTTTAAACTTTTAGATGTTCTCGATTTTGTTGCCAAGGGCTACAAGCCAAAATAGATTGTTCTAGTTTTGTAGAATTTAATTAAACAAAAGCGTAAACATCCAAGACAATTTATGAAATCATTCATTTTATTAAATCACACCTTAGCTAGACATTTCGAAACTTATTTTATGACTAAAGCATTTCTCAAACACAAGAAATTAGTCAATGTTATGGTATCTTTTTTATTGTAAAGTCACTCCCCTACCCCACTTAGATATTTTATCTTGCATTGCGATAGGATAATGCTAATATTTGCAGATATGTAGTGGAAGCAAGATTAATCGTTTATTAATGGGTCAACATGCCCCCTGCCACATGGCTGGCTATTTTTAGCCTGATTAAAACTCTTTTTATTTCCGGGGGAGCTGACAATTAAAAAATAATCTCAAGCCAAACAATCTCAAGTGCGTGGAAGCACGCTCTCTTCACTCACTCAATCCGATAATATCTTGTATTCCATTCTTTAATTAAGACTGCCTGCTGCTTCGGTTGTCATTCGTTAAAAAATGGAGAAGCCAAGAACATTCATCAGGAGAATCTCTGGAGACTAGCATAAAATAGCAATCAGGGGAGTCCGAGGATCGTCTGCTATCTATAAATAGACGGTTGCCTGATCGAATGCATTGGCCCGGTTGCCTTGGCCTGGCCATAATCGTGAGTGAGGCTCCTTTTCAGTGGCTTTTCTCGGTTCTGGGGAGTTCTTTGCTCCTTGGTAGAAATGCCAACTTAAATTCCGACTGACGTTTGCCACTTGGTCAGTTGTGGTTTTGTCAAATTAAGGCCTTGTTCGAGTCGAAGCAGTCTCAAGGAGGCCAAGGCCTGGGCCTCTACTTGGTCATTATAACGCCCCGTTGATGGCCAAGTTGATTGCACTAAATTATAGAAATTCGACAGGAACTAGCAAGGAGGGGGTAGTTATTCTGGCTAAGAAAGAATGTTAAACTTGGCTTATTCTGACTTTTAAAGGTCGAAGATTTTTAAATGAAATTAAATTTTGTTGTAAGTTATACAGAAAATATTCTGTAGATCAAATAGATCTATATTTTAGGGAATCTAGAGCGATCAAAATATATATATATTTTTTTTAATACAAGGGGTTATTTGTGGATCCAAAATATAACAAAACTCGTTGGTTTTTTTTTATATTTTTTAATAACAGGAAATTATGTGTACAAATGTACATACATATGTACATATGTATATAGCTTTTTTTTATTGCAATAGTGCCATAAATATTTATATAGAACTGATAAATAGCTAAAATAAACAATGAATTTTTAAATCTTCCAACAATTATTGCGGAATTTCAGTTCCAGATTGAGAATTTTATGGCATCACCTTGTGTTTGCGCTGAAAAAAAAACATAAGAAACTTTATTTACTTAAAAAAATTATAACACTTAAAGACAAGTTTATCTGGTCTTTACTTTTCGGGTCTTAAAAAGCGAGACCAGAAACCGGCTCTAAAAGATCTAAAACGTTTTATATGAAACAGCTTTAATCTACACAACTTTCATTGAAGAATTTTAATTAAAAAATACCAAGAACAAATAAAAAATCAAGTAAAAATAAAAAAATCTGGGAAATTTATTGCTCATTGAAAGCGGCACCACTTAACCATCGTATCAATTGTATTTGAAAGCCAATAAATCATTCCTCTTCAATCTCAGCCATTTACGCACAACTACGTGAATAAAGAAATGGGAAAAAAGAGAATTCATCACACAGCTGGTCTTATCACGAGGGAATCCTCAACTTATTACTCATACGGCGAATCATTCAACAAATTAGCTTTTATTCATTTATCTCCTTCTTTCATTCGGCAGCAAAAAAAATAAAAAATAAAAAATTAAAAGACGAAACGTAAGCTCACACTTAAGCTCAAGTTCACTGCCAAGCTCCACCAGAGAGAGCGGACAGCAAGCCAAAAGCTTGCAGCGAAAAGCTTTGGCACCCAAAACCGAGGGTATCCAAGTGGAATAAAATGAGTAACGAATCTTCATCAGCAAGTGAAACAACACCGCTGCGGCGGCCCGAGACTCAAGCGACCGACAACGTGGCCCACAGACAGACAACGGTGACGGTTATTAACAATACCAATAATAACAATAACTACGGAGATAGTACAGTGGCGGTGCGTTTGCAAGGCGGAGACGGCTTAGTAGTACAGCAGCAACAAGAGCAGGAGCAGCTGCCACAACCACCTACAGACATGGACACCAACAAGCGAATTCTCTGCCGCGTTGGCCTGGATATATTAATATTACTGTGCGGTGAGTAAAGGCTGCCATTTTACACCTGTTCACCTCGAAGTTCAATGCGAAATTTCCATCGCATTCAAGTTATTTACACCTGAACGCCGCGTGTTTATTGTCTGTCGCAATTGTTTATTATTTTTTTTTTGTGTGTGCATGTATGTTTTTATGTAATTTCCACAAAGCTCTGCAAAGCTCTCTCTGTGTTGCTCTCCTATTTCGCTCTTGTAGACTCTCTTGGAAGAATCTTTTTTGTTTGGGATTTGCATAATTTTCAAGATTAATGGCCAAACGCAGTATTTATCCTATATCCATTTGCTGACTCAAGTTGAATGTGAATTTTTCTAGTTACAGCCTGAGTAATAAATATACTACAATTATAACAGGAAAATTTCTCATAAATAAAGATTAAAACAATAAAGTTGTAATAGCTGCAAGGAGGAAAATTACTCACAAACTGAATTTTCTAGTAAAAAAACAGAGAAAAGGGGTTTTCAAATTTAATCGTGAAATAAAATGTTAATAAAATATTCACAAATAATATTTGTTAATAAAAATTCTAATAAAATGAGGATATTGCTACCCTAAAATATGCTTTCCTATCAAATTAAAAGGAAACCACACAATTCCACAGCATTCTGTATATTTCCTTATATCAATTTCCATTTTGCAATACAATCTACACAAATATTTCCCCAGTGTATAGGTGTTTTTTGTGACTTTGCCTTGCCTTTATTTTTATTTGCTTAGCAAACAGTAAAAAATAAAAGCGGTGACAGTTAAATTGTGTCAGGTAAAGGTGGACAACCTGCCCGTGCTGACTGACGGTGTTGCATTTGGTTCGTGGGAGTTACACAATTCCCAATCAGCAGTTTCTTGGGTTCCTCTTTAAACTTTATCAGCATTTTGCTAAGGAAACCAGACAAAGCAAAAGTTGAGAAAGCAATGACAAAATTTTCAAGTGTACCTGTACTTCTTTTCCATGGAAAAACCCCTATCTTAAAGGGGAATAACATTCTAAAGTCGAGATAAATTTGTTCTTAAAATAGGTACTTATCATAAACCATACTAAATATCAAATTATTTCCTATGATTATATAAGTATTCTATATTTAGGGAGTTTTTAATAGATATAATAGATCCTTAAAAATAAATCTTCAAAGTCACCACTTTCAAGTCTCTCTTGAATACCAAGACCTATAGAGTTACTATCCCAGTTTTCGATAAGATATTTCTGATTTTATAACCTTTTATCTAGATTTTCCGAGCCCCTATACATGATCAATGGCTTGCTTTGTTCCCTTAACCGGTTTTATGGGAGAATTTCTCGTACAAATTCAAATCATTATTAAACTTTGCTGATTAGCTACCTCACCTACCTGGCGGCGGTTGAGTCATACCCCACCCTGGTATTTTTGTGGATTTTTGCAATTGGCACTACAACTGAAAAAGCAAACTTGAAACGCTCGCCATATTTGTCCAACTGATAGAAGCTGCTACCTTAAGTAGTTGGGTCGCCTGCCTTGTACTGAATTTACGGCTTTATTGTTTGGCTGTAGATCACAGACAGTTTACCCAACGGGATATACATAGGTACATATATATATTTAGCACAGATACTTCCTTGCAGCATAAAAGCATGACACATGATTTAACCCCAGGTAGAGCCACAAGATTCGCAATTTTGTTGACTCATCAGGGGACTGACTTTAAGATCCAGACAGTAAAGCCAAAGCCCCAAATGAATCATACGGGAGAGAGTCTTATTTATAAGTATAATAATATAAAATTATGATAAGCTATGTAGTAAAGCAAAAGCTTTTGGGTTAATAAATATTTCAGCCAAAAAATCACCACTATCTTATATGAAGAGTTTGTTTAATCAATATTTAGATTAAAGCCCAAAAAATATATAAAGATATGAGGGTAATAAGCCTACCTACGAAAAGTATCCTAATCTAAAACTCGTGCCGTGTGCACATGGCTAGTTCCCAAGATTATAAATGGGATTTTTTTTTCTATCGATTTGTCAACAACCTAAAAATGAAAAACCCCAAAAGTTCTTTTGAATAAATTAAAATGCAAGACAAAATATCGTTTTTTGTTTTACGAATAAATTCCAATTAGTTAAATCTGTTACCACATCAAAGAATGCATTTGAAATTCTTGTTTTTAGTGGGTCGAGATTAGTTTCTGTTAAATCTATCGGTGGATGCATCTGATGGTCTCCGCGTCTGTCGTCAACTAATTTTGGGTGTAAATTACTCTTGACGCTAGACAAACGCTGATAAAGTGATTTTTTTGGGGGGAAAAGAGACCCAAGACGCGACGATACCGTGACGAGTGTGTCGGAGGCACTTAACCAAACAAATTCTTGGCCGACTCAGACCAAGACCTGAACCGCAGTTTGACGTTAATTGAATGCGAACGAGCTGCGGCACAAACGCTTGCTTGTGCCTCTTTCACCTTTCTCCTTGAAGTTTGGGGGCAGAAGGTGGAGTCATTAAACCCATAAAAGATATACTGAAATGCATATCGGAGGTCGTCGTTTTTGGGGAACTACTTCTCCTACCCATTCCCTTCAGCTACTTCAATAATTTATCGAGCGTGATTGCGGGGATGCGTGTTTGCTTTTTTGGGGGCAGGAGGAATTCTTCTTTTCAATTTGACCAAAAACTAAGTAGAAAGAATAATATTTATGCAGTGCATTTCGGGCATGAGGCAATTGTTGTTGTTGTTTACCTTCCAGCCAACAATGAACAGGCCCAGAAAATAGATACAGATACAGATACAAATGCAGATACAGATGGAAAGATACAAAGATACGTGAAGAAACTGCCCCTGCCTGTGGTGATAAATGTTGTTGATTTTTCCATGTGATTTTTTTTTTTTTGGCAGGGACAATAAGTAATGAACATTTAATTGCCAGCAGCAGAGCTCATGACTCATATGACCTGTCAGAGAGCTCTGAGAGAGAGAAAGGTTCAAATCAAAGTCCCTCTACCTGTGTGTGACTTCTCTGAGATGCGGGCGAGCTGGGAAAATTCCTGGTAACCAATACACGTGGTAATTTACGTGTCAGCCATGAAAATTGCCAAAAAACCCACATCAATAACTCTGATTTTTAACGGTCACTGTCCTTCTCCCCTGATCTCATCAATTGAATCGGTTCAAAGTTTGCCTTGGTTCAGTCTCATCCTTAATCTGTCTGATTGCTGGAGTTGTCTTTTAGAACTACTATATCTCTGGGCATTAATTGCCTTTAATTTGACTTCCGTCATGTCTAATTAATGCCGCAAGTACAAGTCAGACGCTTTTAATTAGAAGCCGGCCCCGTCTTTGGGGTCAGATTTGAGTAGAGAATTGTCTACTGCAAATATGTGTCTTCGTTTAACAAGAACAAGATAACTTGTAAAGAGCAAACATTTGGTAAGTTGAAAAGAAAGCGGCAAGTCTTGTCGGCACTTCTAGCAGCATCTCAAAGAGATAAAAAGATGTAAAGATACAAAGATACTTATGTATCTTCAGCGTAAAACGGTGGTGATCTTTTTGGTGGAAATCTGATTGTGTAGAGTGGGCCTGAAGTGGGTGCGTTTACCTCTTTGTTTAGCAAACAATTTGTTTATGTTGCGGCTCATTCAGAGCCAGCGGCGGCGTCTTTATTATTGAAACGAACTTGACACCAAATGGACAGCGTTGTTGTTTTTAGATTGCGGCCTAGGTGCGTTAGATACAATTCGGTTGAATGCAGTCCCCCTTTCTGAAATATTAAATTAAACATTTCCGCCGCAGCTCCCGTATAATAATAATTTTTAAACGGCGTATGTCACCCCCATAAAAAAAGAAAAACGAAACACGCACAAAACTATCAACAGAATGGTTATGGTTTTTTATGACATTTAACACAGTTTTTTCTGAGTTTTCCCTGAAGTTCGATCTAGTTAATCTCTGGCTTATGTAGCCCAGAATCTTTATATATGCATATATCTTTCTATAGATCACCCGACACTTTCATTTTCTCTGCCCCGCAAAGTCATAAAAACATTTTTGAGAGAGCTACCGACAGGATTAGGGTTTTGTATAGGAAAAAAAGACCACTTGCTGTTTGTAATATGACGCTAATCTCGGCCAGGAATTCCCTCTCAATAACTTTCCCAGACGTCGTCGGCGATCGTTAAACATCCCGAGACAATGCCACTGATCTAGATTTAGGGACCTGACTGAGGCAGCTGCTTCCCAAAAAGAAAGCAGAAAGAAATAGGGAAGGGAGATGGCATTGTGTCACCCACCTTAAGGGACCTCATTCTGTGGCAAAAAAAAAAAGTAATTTAACGCAGAGACAAGTCGCCATCGAGTGCTGGCCCTGCACTTTTAGTTTTCCTAGCCTAATGAGCACTCCAGATCGTTGGGCCAGAACTCCATACTCTCCCTCGCCTGGCTGACTATAGGGGTTCATCGACATTCAGAGAGTTCTGCCTCTAGCAGGTAGTATGCCTCATTGCAGAAAGGCAATTAGAGGCTAAATGGAGCGCTTGGAGCCCTGGGCTAATGCAATTTTAATTATCCACTAGATAGATGTGTTCTTGCTGCTGCTGCTGCTTAAAACAAATAAAGAAGCCAGGAGAAGGCAGGCCATCCATCAATCAACACGCTTTACAATTTGTCTAAAATATTATTAATGCCAGGGAATTTTTAATTAGACAGACAAAAGGGGAGATATGAAACCCCTTAAAACCCCGCACACGTTCGCCTGTCACGGGAAATCTTATCACCCGGCTTAGACATATCATAAGTCAATAGAGGGTTCTCTGCTCTTCCCTCTCTAAGCCCCTATGACCTACTAAAGATGAAGGGGGGTTTTACCAAAATATATATATATTGATAAATGTGACATTTTCTATTATTTTCTATAATTTCTATTTTCTATTTTACTTGCAGTTGGTTTCCCCATACTAATATTCTTTTTGCTGGGCGATCCCTACAAAAGGGGCTTCTTCTGCGATGACGAGTCACTGAAGCATCCATTCCATGACTCCACCGTACGGAATTGGATGCTATACTTCATTGGAGTGGTGATACCAGTTGGCGTGGTAAGTGTGTGGGCTGATGGACAGCTAGAAATTGTGTCAAGCAGCTGTCGGATCCGTATACTTGAGCAAAGATTGCGCAATCGCCTCAAGTTCAGTTGTCAGCACGTTACACCAGAGAGGGAGGGAGAGAGCAAGATCTGTTGCAAGATACACACATTCCGGGTGGATGTTTAATGTCCACATGTCGGCAATTAAAGCTAGAGCAACACAACATGTGTTTGGCTCTAGAAAACGAAAATTCGACCCATTTTCGAGGCCCTGTCATAAATATTTGCATGCTCGCGCGCCCTAATGACTTTCAGAAAAAGGGTTTTACGAGCTGCTAACTCTTTGGAACTTGAACTCATTTATGTTTCCTTTTTTTTCCTTTTAACCCTACAGATAGTCATCGTGGAGGTCATAATTGCCCAGAGCAAGGCCAGGCGTAATAATGGCAACTCCAGCGGGCGTAGGTATGTCTTTATGAACTACGATCTACCCGAGTGGCTCATCGAATGCTACAAGAAGGTGGGAATCTATGCCTTTGGAGCTGTGGTCAGTCAACTGACTACGGATATAGCCAAGTATTCCATTGGCCGGCTGCGTCCTCATTTTATGGCGGTAAGTGCATTATATCTGGACGATAATTTCACAGCAAATATCTTCGTTGCATTCTGACATTGCCAATTAATTTTAATCTGCAACATGTGCAGCAAAGACAAGGCGACACTGACTGTGACACTGACAGCGACAACGAAGACAAATCCCATGTCGAAGTAGGAGAAAAGCCATTGGACATATCCCCAGGGGGACTTTGGGGACAATGTCAAAACGCACACGAAGCGAGGAAGGGGTTATAAATAGTTTGGGGTCTAAAAGGGGAACATCAAGGCAGTCTCTGGGGTTTGATATAATAATTAATGTTTAAGGAAAATTTTAAAAATTAATATGGAGCTATATTGAGTAGATTAGTGAGTTTAAAATATGATATACAAAGATATAGGGCCTTAAAAACAGATTAGTTTTAAATTTAAAGCTTTTTGAAGTCGTTAAAGCTAGCTTGATTTTTTATACAATACAAAAAGATTTAAAATAAATAAACAAAATTTAAATTGAAATCCTTATAAACACATCTTTGGATCACTGAACTTGATCAGAAATTCCCTCAATTTAAGGTCATAATAAGAAGTAAACCATTTGTTGTTGTTCAGACAATCTTCAGAGTATTTATAAATTGGTGCAACCCCAAAAATAAAGTTCCCAGACCCGGAGTTGCTTTTTGTTTATTTATGATATTTTGACTGGATGTCAGACAAATTCATAAATATTCGCGGCAAGTGGCTTGTTAGCCTGCTATCTTGCGGATCGTTTCAAGAGATCTCATAGGGATGGCCACAGGGATATAATCTATATAAAAGGGGAGCCCAGAGCTATACAGAGCCGCCCTATTGTTTAGTGAAAAGCGGCAACCGGGTAAGATGCAAGTGCAGCTGTTGCCGCGACTCTAATTTGCGGCACATGTTGGAGTCTCAGACGAGGAGGAGCTCTTCTTAACAAAAGATTGCAGCTTAAGTTCAAGTCATCGTTTTTGTATTGCTTTTCTTAAACATTTCCTTTTTCCTCTCATTCATCCGCCCACAGGTGTGCCAGCCCGTGATGCCCGATGGCTCCACCTGCGACGATCCCGTGAATGCGGGCAAATACATTCAGGAGTTTACGTGCAAGGGTGTCGGCTCCTCGGCTCGCATGCTCAGAGAGATGCGACTCTCCTTCCCCAGCGGCCACTCTAGCTTTACCTTCTTTGCCATGGTCTATATGGCGGTAAGTCTTTTGTTATAATTACACGATCTCCAGGTGCCTCAATTGTTCTCTCTTTGTGGCTTACAGTTGTACCTGCAGGCACGCATGACGTGGAAGGGCTCCAAGCTGCTGCGTCACTTCCTACAGTTCCTCTTCATCATGGTGGCCTGGTATACGGCTTTGAGTCGAGTCTCAGACTACAAGCATCATTGGTCCGATGTGCTGGCGGGATCACTGATTGGCTCCACGTGCGCCTTGGTTGTGGTGAGTTGGATTTTGTTTTATGTTCATTAAAAACCTTAGGAACCTAACCCTAGCTTGGCTTTATTATATGTTTTCTATGCATGTTTCTTGTACCAGTTTAGCTTTTTAGCTTTATTTTATTTTGGTTTTTTTAAGAGATTCACACTTCCATCGTATTTTTTTTAGAGCTACTGTCTGCCCCAGAGTTGGTTCAATTTTCAGACAGTTTGGCCCGCCGCCAAAGGCAAGGCGGAGTGAGCGAGGATCATACAGAGAAAGAGAGAGTATCATATATAGCTTAGTATCAGCTTATGACATTGTAAAGAAGATTAGCAATTAAAGCCTCACAAATTCTGCATATCTATATAAACCCCACCGACTACTATTCATTATTAACCTGGTGGCGGCGACCATTAGCCTTAATTGAACTGCGGGAAGCAGTCAACTTCTTCTCCGAATTGGCAGAACTCAACACCTAGCCATGGGGCACTTGCGTGTGGTGCCAATCAATGCCACAAATGCCATCTAAACGAAGCACAAGAGCTGGACAGCTGGTCACCTGGAGGAAAGTCAATGCAGGTGCCACGATTGTAATTTCACGCTTCACTGGCTAGAGAGAGGGGAGGTTTCCAGGGGGAGGAATACGAGGGGCAGTCATATTTCTGGGCGATTCAATTAGAGAGATATGAAACGAGTTAGGAGAAGGTCATTGCCGAAACATACTTTTAGGAGCAGAGGTTTTAAGATGAGGAACAGGAAGTGAGGTGGATTGCAGGCGTAAATTTATAGGTTTTATTTTAAAAATATCTTATTTTTTACCTTTTTTGTATCATAAAAATATAACATTTCAAGTATAAACTATATTATTTGTCAAAATTATAATTAATCTTATATTAAATCTCCCTTTTCAGGTCAACTTTGTCTCCGACTTGTTTCAAAAACCCAGCACGAAATCCTATTTGCCGCGTACAGCGCAAGACATGAATGCAACCCAAGGGCCAACGCCGCCGAATCAGGGTATCCGTGTTACCACAAACTAACCCGTTAAAGGAGCAGTGCCTCACAACTATTACAAATTCCATGAGTTGTAGCCGAAGCTGCTCTCGATTTCTGTCCGGATTTCTTTATCGGCCAAGCCAAGCTTTGCTAAAAAACCGATTAATATATTTATGAATGAATTTGCATTTTGTGTGCGTGAGTGTGTGATCTGCAAGTGCACTTAGGTATGTCCTTAAGTGTCCTTAAACGTAAGCTAGCGCAATTGAGAGAGATATAATATCCAACTGTGTGGGACGATATTTATTTTACTATTTAATTAAGCAATTTTAAACTGACGCAACAATTTCCACAAAAACAAGTGACCTTCGAGAAAAAGAGCTGCACAAATATGTAATAAAAAGAAGCGAAGGAAACAACAAGTATTATTTGTAAACTGAGAATTAAGCCTTTGGATACGAAAATATATTTTAATTAGTTCTAAGATGATCTTAAAATAAATAAGTTTAAATTATGACTTTAATTGATGGTTTTTATTCGAGTTTCTATGGGAAAATATATACATTTAATTTTTTATCGCATTTAAATATTGGTTTTATTTTCAACGCGAAAAGTCAAATTAACGCGCTACATTTGTGAGTTTTTGCAGTATTTTCCTTGTTTGCTGGTATATTTTCATAGGTAATCGATATATCGATATTTTATGGTATATTTCCAAGCTAGGGCCACTCTAGAATATTTGTACACAACATAAACCGGCTCGTTGCTCGATTTTTCGCCGAAAAAAGGTTAATTACTTGAATTAAACTAAACACAAACTAAATTCTTAACTCGGATAACCCAAGGCAGATGTTGCACCTTTCCTTGCAACTAGTATAGAACTTAGATTACCAGAAATCAGCGATTTCCGCACCGCACCCATGACGTGTCACTCTCGCCCACCAAAGCGTTCTAATCAATTAATTGTGTTTTTCAGAGATTTAAGCCCTAGAAATGATTACCGACGTGCAATTGGCCATTTTCTCCAACGTCCTGGGCGTGTTCCTGTTCCTGCTGGTGGTTGCCTACCACTACATTAATGCCAATACGGGAAAGTGAGTAGAATCTATAGACAACACCCGGGCGACATCAACAATAATCAATCAATTTTTATTATTTTCAGGCCAATCTCCAAGGCAAAATGATCTTCGATGTTTCCGCTAACAAGTTAATGTATAATGATAACGATAATGCTGCTTCATTCGCAAAATAAATAGTTGTGTAAATCTAGTCGAGGATATCGTTAATGGCATCCTTCATGGACTGAACATCCTCGAGGGTTTCCCCGCATCTCTGCTCCTTGGCTTTTGTGTAGAAGGTTCGGTGTGTTTGGTGGCCAAAGCTGAAGGCCTTGATAAAGGGAAAAGCTTTGTTTGCAGCGGCGGGCACCACCACCTCGTCCACCTCCATGGAATTGGTCTGGCTCTTGGATGGCCGCTTCTCTTTGGCCTTGTCCTTGCCCTGATCGAATCGGTAGTTGGCCGGAAACTTGTGCACTGTGATGCAGTGATCCTTGCGCTGTCGGGCAGTATGGAACTTGGTGGAGCATTCCTCCAGGAAGCAAGAGTACATGGGCTTGTCCCCGCGATCCACGCTGGCGGCAAAGTAGAAATCGTGGGTTTCGGTGATGTGCAAATCCAGTAAGTGGGCAGTGGGCAACATCCGCCGGCACTGAGCGCAGCTGTAGGTCTGCTCTTTAGTCCTGTTCCCGCTGCCCTTTGCCGGGGCATCTTTGGCATCCAAAATATCATCCAATTCCACCAGAACGCCGAGTTTCTTGAAGGGCGGAATTGTGAGCGGTGGGGGATCCGTGGGCTTTATGAATCCCGGCGGCGTTTCACTTAGTATTTGGATGAGCTGCTCCTTTGAGAGGAGAATAGGAGAGGTCGCAGCCACAGGGTCCATTTTGTCTATGCTCCAAACTTGTTTTGTTTTGGTTTCTCTTATTTGCGCTGGTCACACGTTTATTTCAAAGCTTGCTTCATATTCTTCAAATTTCTGTTAAAAATAAATGGGAAATTCAGCTCCTAAAAAAATAATTATATGTAAAATGTAAAATAGCTTTAAAATTGTATTAATTAAGATTTTAATTTATTTTTATAATGTAGTATTTTTCAGTATTTAAAATGCAAGGCCAGTATATTTTCTTCCTCCGAGCTGCCAACTTAATGCAATTTTTCCTCCAAGTTGGCAGCTCCTGGGAGCACATGTGAAAATCGGTTCTTTTGAAAAACGAAGCTAACACCGCGTGGTGTTTTTGCTGTCGATTTTTCCTTTATTTTCCTTTCATCGCGTGGAAAATAAACAAATCCTGCCAGGATGAGTCTGTACAATTTCAAGAAGATCATGGTGGTCCCACCGGCCAAGGTAGGTGTCCCCCGGAGACCCGTGTCCAGCGGAGCACCCCTCGAGATGCTGACCTAACCTCACTGCAGAGGTGTTTACCTGGTGCGCAGTTTGTAAATAATGCGGGTTTTATCTCTCCTTGCAGGACTTTATCGACATTATGCTGTCGAAGACACAGCGTAAGACCCCGACAGTCGTCCACAAGGGCTACAAGATATCCCGGATCCGGGCCTTCTACACCAGGAAGGTCAAGTACACGCAGCAGAACTTCCACGACCGCTTGTCGCAGATCATTCAGGATTTTCCCAAGCTGGACGATGTGCATCCCTTCTACGCGGATCTGATGAACGTGCTGTACGACAAGGATCATTACAAGCTGGCGCTGGGTCAGCTGAATACAGCCAGGCATTTGGTGGACAAGTGAGTAGTACCTGCAACTTGTAATCCGGTGAAATCCAGCTAACAGTTATCTTCTTTCAGTGTTGCCAAGGACTATGTACGCCTCTTGAAGTACGGCGACTCGCTGTACCGCTGCAAGCAGCTGAAAAAGGCTGCTCTGGGTCGCATGGCTACTATTTTAAAGCGCCAGGCTTCCAACCTCACATATTTGGAGCAGGTGCGCCAGCATTTGTCGCGTCTGCCCACCATTGATCCCTACTCGCGCACCATCATCATCTGCGGCTTCCCAAATGTGGGCAAGTCATCGTTCATCAACAAGATCACCCGTGCCGATGTGGAAGTGCAGCCCTATGCCTTCACCACCAAATCCCTGTATGTGGGCCACACAGATTACAAATACCTACGCTGGCAGGTGATCGACACACCTGGCATCCTGGATCATCCGCTGGAGGAGCGTAATGTGATCGAGATGCAGGCCATTACGGCCTTGGCACATCTGCGCGCCTGTGTCCTGTACTTCATGGACATCTCCGAGCAGTGCGGTCACTCGCTGGAAGAGCAGGTGAAGCTGTTCGAGAGCATCAAGCCCCTGTTTACCAACAAGCCCCTGATTCTGGCCATCAACAAGATTGATATCCTCACACCCGATGATTTGCCAGCGGAGCGAAGGGAGATAATCACCAAGCTGCAAGAGGACAAGAATGTGCCCGTGATGCTCATGTCCACAGTGCAGGAGACTGGTGTGATGGAGGTGAAGACAGAAGCCTGCGAGAGGCTGCTTTCCTACCGCGTTGACCAGAAGATGCGCACCAAGAAGGTGGACAACATTTTGAACCGCCTGCACGTGGCCATGCCAGCGCCACGCGACGAGAAAGTCCGTGCTCCCTGCATCCCAGAGCAGGCCTTGGAACGCATCCAGCAGAAGGCCGACAAGGCGGAGCGCAAGCGCAAACTGGAGAAGGAGATCGAGGAGGAGATGGGCGACGACTACACGCTGGACCTCAAGAAGAACTACAGCGAGATACCCGAGGAGGAGCGCTACGATGTCATTCCCGAGTTCTGGGAGGGTCACAACATTGCGGACTACATCGATGCCGACATTTTCGAGAAGCTGGAGGAGCTGGAGCGTGAGGAGGGTCTGCGGGTGGAGAGTGGCGCCTACACCGTGCCGGATATGACCATGGACCAGACGCTCAAGGAGATTCGCGAGATGGCCAAGCAGATACGAGGCAAGCGCTTCGAGCTGCGCGACGAGAAGCGTCTGTCATCCAGGAAGAACAAGCCCGTCATTCCGCGTCACAAGCAGCCCAAGGTGCGCGATCGTTCCGTCAACAAGCTGGTCCAGACGATGGAGGGCCTGGGTGTGGACATGTCTGGCAGCGAGACGGCCAACTTCACCAAGTCTGTGGTCGATCTGCGTCGTGCCCAGGTGGCCGTCGGCTCCAAAAAGGTGCCCAAGGTGGCGCTACTCGACAAGGAGTCCTCTGCGGTGGTAAAGAAGACTGGCCTGCCCCTCAAGCGGGCCCCATCGCGCGACACGCTGGGCATCAAGAACCTGGCCATCCGCAAGAAGGCGCAGATTATGGCCAAGCGGGACATTGCCAAGAAGGTTACCAGGAATACGCTCAAGGGAGAGGCGGATCGCTTCATTGGCACCAAGATGCCGAAGCATCTGTTTTCGGGCAAGCGTGGAACGGGCAAGACGGATCGCCGTTAAGCTCTGTTGCCGCCCTGGCTGGTTAAGTGATTCTACCTGGTATAAATTAAGCGATGTATCTTTATTCTTCATAAATAGCCTTCTTCAAATACAAGATTTGTATTTTTACAAAACAAACGAAACATTGGGTGTCTACTTTTTGGGGTTAAGGTGGGAGAATTGAAGGAGTTGTGTTAAATTGGATAAATTTTTTCCTATATCAACAAGCATCTTAAGCCAGCTTTTCTGCAATTCCTAAGAATATCCTTATTTATCATAGAATTTTCCAGAAAACAAAGTTTCCCCCGCCTTCATTGTGCATTTTGCTGCTACCCCCCCGACATTGCTTCACCTTGGCAACCAAGAAGTTTGTTTGGTTTTGCACAAAATTTTCTTGCCCATTTGAGAAGGTGAAAAGTTTTCCCAAAAACCCCGCCTGCATCATGTCCAAAGCCACCACAATTAAGGATGCACTAAAGCGTTGGGAGGAGCGGGAGCAGCAGAACTCCCTGACTGCCAAGAACATTGATCTGCAGTTTCAGTGGCCGCCCATCGAGAAAATGGATAGCACTTTGGGCACTCTGGTGCAATGCGAGTAAGAACTTTGGAGAACTTTTGTGGCCAATTAAACCATTTACCTTTGACCTAGGAGAATCAGTATGTCCACGAATATGATTGAGAAGATATTCGGTTTGTCGGGCATGAAATGCCTCAAGGTGTTGTCTTTATCACGAAACTATATCAAGCAGATTTCTGGATTGGTAAGCAATACTACCTTTTAACAAGAAAGAAAGCTAACTTTGGCCAGCCAAAGTTTGTATACCCTTGCAGGTAACGATTAAAATATATCATAACTAAGCCAAAAATGCATTAATTTCAATTCGGAAAGCAGTTTTGTGTTAGTTTTTATTAATTTAAAAAAACTGCATACCAAATTTAAAATTTTAAGAAATTAAAATTTTTTGCCATTTTTGCTTATTTTAATGATGTAGCCCCTTATCAAATTTCGCAAAAATGGCCAAAAAATCGATTTCTTCCGGACATGTCTAGAAAGATTCCCCTGTTGATGCTGATCAAGAATATATATGGTTTATGGGGTCGGAAATGATTCCTTGACTTAGAAAATTATTATTTTGTATTATAAAATCTGAATTTTTATATTAAAAAACTTCTTCATTTTTTTTAAATTTAAAATATCATAACTCGGCCAAAAGAGCATTAATTTTAAATCGGAAAACTGTTCTTTGCAAGATTTTCTACAGATAATAAATCTGCATACTTCATTTAAAAATTTTGAAAATTCAATTTTTTTTATCAAAATCAAAAATTTTAATGATGTAACCCCTTATAAAATTTTGCAAAAATGGCAAAAAAATCGATTTCTTCCTGACATATCTAGAAAGATTCCCCTGTTGATGCTGATCAAGAATATATATACTTTATAGGGTCGGAAACGTCTCCTTCACTGCGTTGCAAACTTCTGACTGAAATTATAATTCCCTGCAAGGGTATAAAAATTAATAATAATTTGGATGATATTTCAGGAAGCTGTGGCCGAAACCCTGGAGGAACTGTGGCTCAGCTACAATCTCATTGAAAAAATCAAAGGTCTTACGGGTCTCAAGTGCCTGAAAGTCTTGTATATCAGCAATAATTTGATCAAGGACTGGTCGGAGTTCAATCGTTTGGCCGAGATTGAGTCCCTTGAGGATTTGGTGGTGGTGGGTAACCCTCTGTCAGAGGGTTTGGACGAACCCACCTGGCGGGCGGAGTGCATTAAGCGCTTGCCCACCATCCGGAAATTGGACGGAGAGCCGGTGGTGCTCAATGAGGAGCCGCAACTTTAAGTCTACAGCTTAGTTCTGCTTATTAAGTTTCAAAAAAAGTGAAAAAATAATCAAACAACGTATTATATTCATTTTAATAATTTTACAAATAATTTGCATTAAATTGAGGCTCTTAATATGTTAAATTTCTCTCAGTGTTTTTAGATAGACTTGTAAATATTTAACAGAGACGTTGGCCAAGTGATGCGCCAAATGCCGAGCTCTGTGCTGTGGCCACTGCAGTGTAACTGACCTATTGGCCAAGTTTTGGGGCCGTCGCTGTTGGCGCTCTGTTAAAAGGGGCTCTCAAGGCTTTTAGCCAGGCTGACTGCTGCCAGCTGCCGCAGTGCTGCTATGGCTGAAGCTGCGTTAACAGTTCGTGTGTTAAACTGTTTCTCTTACCCCCGCAAAACTTTCCCTTTCAGTCGCATTCCGAGGCTCGGCAGCAGCAGCTGTTGCGGTGAGATTGCTGGAAATCGGCTAATATTAATAACGTGTCGCTAGTCCTGGCATCGAATTAAATGGGTCTTGGGGCCCCCGAAGAAGTAATATTCCAAATTAAATGGCGCGTGTTTATGCCGAGGGAAACACGTTGTACGAATGCAATGTAAATGTAGATGTATTCCCTCGACATTATGACCATATATACATAAATATATATATATGTAAATATGTACATACGTAGTACGATTTTACGCTTTTTGGAGGCTGCGCGGGGCGGCCATTTTAGTTAGGCCTACTGCCTCTGCCTCTTGCCCTTTAGGCCCAACTTTTTCGGCAACATGTGTTCGCTTTCCTGTGCGTGTTTGTGGCTGTGCGTTAACTGTAAAATTTTGCCATAGTTCTTGCTTTAACATAAAAAAAAAAATCGCATAAAATCGGGAGAGAAGCAGGCAGAGGAAGCGGAAGAGCGCTCGCCTATAATAACACACCGAAACGCTTAGCATAAAGTAAGAGTTTTCCGCTTGGGCAGCGGAAGCAGAACCATAAAATCTGCTCTCCACAAACAAAACACACTAAGAACACTTGAAAAATTATTATTAATACCATTTTGGGTTTAATATTTATCTACGATTCTTAAATTTATTTGTTAAGCTTGTATTTTGTGTGTTTTTCTTAGTATTTAGTGAATATTAAAGGTTATTATTGTAGTTTAATGCCCATAGAAGTAATTAATTTAATAATTTTCTCTCATTAAATATTTAAATTTTGTTTATCAGTTTATCAGACCAACATTACGTATACGTAATGCTTCTTAAAAGAGTAAACATTACGTATACGCAATGTTATTTTAAAATTTTATTATTATTATTTCTTAATTATTATTATTATTTCTTTAATTATTTAAAATTTGTTTTTCTCCATGTACGCACGAAAAACTACAGACTACTTAGCAGCATGGCTCGTAAACAGATGCCCTCGTTGCCCACCGCCAAATGCCGCCCACTCAGCCACACAACCTCAGAGCCACCCACCGCCCACACACACACACACACACATTAACAAAACTACACTACTCGAGGCGCACACATGCGTAGAGCAGCAACAAAGTTGTGATAGAAAACAGATGCTTGAAATATGCAACAGCATATAAATAACAGAATAACGGCTAGCCAGATTGGATAAATGTGATGCAGGTGTCTCTGTTGTTAGCACTGACCTATTCTGTTACTCAACAGAGACGAGGCAGAGGCGTCAGCAGCGACGGCGACTGAGGCAGAGGCAGCGGCAGCGACAGAGGCAGAGAGCCCCACTGATGGGGTAATTCCGTGCTGGGCCTTTCAGTCTTTCTCTCTCACACACATCGGTCGGTTGAAAACGTTTTCCCGGAGCGATCCTACAAAAAGAAAACGAAAAGGAAAAAAATAGGAGGAAAATAACCAACGAGAAAAAAGACATCCAGTGCTTTCGTGTGTGTGTTTGTGTGAGTGTGCCAGTGTCAGTGAGTGCTTGTGTGTTAGTGAGCTCATAAAAGATTCAACAGCCTGTCGGGGCTAAAAAATAAATAAAAATAAAAAAAAAAATTAAAATAACAACGTGGTTAAAGCGAAAAAAGCTACAAAAATGATACATAATTAGCCCAGGAGGAAACAACTAAATAAAATGTTTGTGGAGCAAAGGCAACAAAAGATTTGAAACCGAACAACAACAAGGTGAGAAAAGTTACAGCTAAAACAAGAAACAAAATATTAAAAAAGAGGAAACAAAAAAAGATAAAACCAAAAAGCATTTCAGTCAAAAGAATTAAATAAAAACAATCAAATTTTCGGATGAAACGAAAATTAACAACATAAAAAATTCGCCAAGAAAACAGTAAAAGCAAGGCAGATATCACCGTCCCACTCCCAACCACCCACACTCGTCCTGTCTCTCTCAAACTCCCTTGGTGGAGTCCCCGAATGTAACGGTAATAAGCAAGCGTGTTTAACTTTTTCGAGCAGCATCACCGTGTGTGTATGTGTGTGTGCGAGGAGTTTTGCGGCTCCTTCTGCTGATGCTGCTTCTTCATCTTCTTGCTCTCCACTCTCCTCCATTTTGCTTCATCTTTTTCGTTTGTTTGCTGCGAGACATTTATTTGCTCTTTAACGTTTCAGCAGGACCCAGGCCTGTTTCGTTCCGGTATTATTTCTTTCCCTCTCTGCCCCTCTCGATTTGGTCTCCATCTCCAGACCCTCTTCCTCCCACTCGCACTCCCACTCACACTTCCATTCTCTTTGCCGCCTCAGCTCCCCCCTCGCTGTGTCTCACTCACTCTTTTGGGGCTCTGGCATGCCGCAAAACAGTTAGTCCAACACTCAAAGTCTCTCGGCCCGTGACTGCCTGCCTGTGTTGGTTCTTGTATGTAGAGTGAATGAGATGGAAAATACAGGGATTCTCCTTTAAATGGTATTTCTAAGGATCAAATCAAAATGTTTAATCTTAAAATAATTTAGTATAGTTACTTATATATTTTTTTTAAAAATAAATATTTATTTAGAACCAAATGGTTTACAAATTGACCTCATTTTTTTGGAGTCCTAACATTGCCCCGAAATTCGCTGGAGTTAGGGAAGTTCCACTGTATAATATAAATTCGCCCACACACAGGCACCGTGTACATGTACATTCAACAATTTGCTGGCTCCCTATGCCTGAAGATTTTATTTTTTCGTCCTTTTTTTCGCCCACCACTTGCGGACTGGTAGACTTCTGGGCTGGTGGACTGGCGGCCCGGCGCTCTGGCGGACTGCCGGATGATGCTGGGAGCCAACGTCAACAAGTTGAAGCTGTTGCCGCTGCTGTTGCCCAGCTAGCCTCGTTAGTACGAGAGCCAATGTGTGTGTGTGTGAGTGTCTGCGAAGGATCTGCTCTTCGGGGCTGTGTGAGTGGCGCCTCGAAGTATGCCACGAATAATGATAAATCATAAGCACCAGCAGCAACCCTGCTAAGTTCATTTTGATGTCGCACAAAATGCGGAGAATCGATGCCAAAGCCCGTGTTATTTACTAATTGAAATATTTCTGGGCCGGCCTGCTGACCCTTCTGCCTCGCAATTAGCCCCGAAAATATGGGACCTAATTAAAATGAATGCACAATTAATTGTCAGCCGACGGGCCTTAACTATAAACAAAGCCATGTGTGCGAACTGACGGAGCATTTACTATATATACACGAACCGTATATAAACAGAGTATTGTTGGCAGCATAAACAGCAGCAGCAAATTGTTGGGCTTTGAAGTGAAATGTGATTAAGGTGTTTATACAAGAGGGACGGAGAGAGAGGGAGGCACACACACAATCCGAGCCAGAGAGCGTCAGAATTTACCTTTCGGATGTGGGGGCCAAAGAATTATATTTACCCATCGATTCGCATTCGACCGAATGGCCTCGATTTTGCCCCCAATTTTTGTCCCCTTTTTTTTTTTGGTTGACGAAAGATTAAAAAAACCTGAAGCTTAAAAGGAATTAGAGGGATACAAAAAGAAAAAAACCGGGGAAAATGGGAAATTTCTTTTTTTGCGGCATTTCACGCATTTTTAATTCGCTTATTGGGCCAAGTTTGGGGCGAGATAAGAGTCTGCAGACCAACCCTTCCAAAAGTTTCAACTCCAACATATCGCTATCTGAAGCTGACACATCATTAAAACTTTTAGCAGCAGATGCTAGAGTGAAGATAACACCAAACTGTACAATATAGGATGAGCGTAGCCAAAATTCAAAACAAATCCCTGGGGCAACTTTCCTCGAAACATCAATCTCTCCAGCTAGGAAAAAGAGCTGATGTTGGGAGTGATTGGAAGCCAACATGTCGTATTGGTAATATGACAAAAAAAAAAACTTGAAACTTTTGCCAATGATGCTTAAGCTTTTTGGCTCGTTCATTATAAGCTGTTCTCCTCGCTTTTTTGGCCATTTTTTTGTGCCGTTTCCTCTGGAATTTTCCTGCCGCTGACTGAGAGTGTGTGTTTGAGTACGTGTGTGCCTGATGTGTGTATGCATGTGACATGTCTGACGTCTCATTTTCTGCCATATAAACCCGATGCTGGATTTTTGCCTTAATTTGGCATTAGGGCGTTTCAATGGAAACTCATTTGAAACTTTCTTTCGCAAATCTGTGCATAGGCGGCTTCCTGTGTGCACCAAAAAAATATAAAAAAAAGCAAAACCGAAGCAAAAAATATATGTATAAAAAATAAAGGAATATTTATATGCGCATATTCTTGTGTGTGTCTGCGCCTGACCGAGCAGCACTGTGCCTCAATATTATTTTGGCTGTGTGTGAGAATACGGCAGATGTTAGTCCAGGCTAAGGCAATATATGTATATACAGATGTTGAGCACGGAGAGGAGCATGTATTTGGCAACAGCGGGCTAAATAATACATACAAGTCTGTATATGGCTTACGCGTATTGGCCAAAACTTCTTTCACGCACGAACAAAGGCGGACGCAGGACTCCTTAATCATCGATATACACAATGTCGCGGCCAGCAAGCCTTTGGGCCAAATTAAATATGCTTTATTTATGCTTTATACCAACCTTGTTCTGACCTGCTGCTGCTGCTGCTGACCGATTTTTGAACAATAAATCGGCATTGACATTTTGATCCACATTTTGCATACACGCACACTCGCCGTGCCTAATTGATGAGCTTGCCGCTGTGGATACCTTATGCAGGATACTGGCCCATAAATCATGAGCAAATCAATGCATATTCAATGCAAATTACAGCAGCCTAATAAATCGTCTCTGACCTTCTGCATTAAATTAAAAAAAAAGAAGAGTCAAAACAAGGCAAAAAGCAAGAGTAGTCAGAAATTGTGCCGCATTAAATTAGCCAACAATTCTGCGGCTTCCATTCGGTTTTGTGGGTTGGCCTTGGCTTCCCCTTTTGCTGCTGGCTGGCTCGGCTGACTGGCCTGACTCTTGTCTTTGGACAACTATTTTCCGTAATTCCATTTGCTCCGAGCAGGTTGGCAGCAGACAAAACGCAATTAGCATTAACAAGGAAACCCTTGAAGCCAACCCCCTCCTGCTCTCTTTTGCCCTTCCTAAGCTGGCAAAAACAATTTAGCAGCCACAATTAAAGCAAACATTTGCTCGGAACAGGAACCGCAATGAGTAGAGTAGCATTGAAAAACTAACACGATTTAAGTTCCGCTTAAAACGTGCTCGATATTTGAGTAGAGAGCAGAGTATGGAAATTCCAATTAAACTAAATCAACATCAGAAATTTGCATTTGATAAAGTCAAATAGAAAATTTAATACAACGAGCTGGAAATTATTTAAAATTCAAGAGTGTTTGCTGTAAAAGGATAAAGTTGGAGTGTCAAAAAAGTCTGGTTTACTTAAACAAGGGTTTACCATTTAAGAAAACACTTTAAACTTGCCCTATTTAAATGGGAAATTGAATACTTCAACATAAAACTTTGTGTGGATGAAATAATTAATTACTAAATAATCCAACTTTAAATAAATTATTTTCTCTACAGTTCTGTTAAATATTTAATGAGTGGTTTAAGCAAATCAAAGTCAAAACTAAAACCCCATTCAAAGCAAAAAAAAAACTTTGAATAATTGTTAAAGTCAAACTTAAGAAATAATTCATTCCTTAGCTTGACAGGTATTAAATGTGTATGAATCCTATTTCTCTATTTAGCTTTTGTCAGAAAACTTTTGCGAGCATCTGCTGAATCTTAAATGAGCTCAGACTTGACCCAATTCGTGGAGGCTGGTCTTAATCAGTCGGCCGAGCTAAGTGCTAAATGAAGGCGAAACACTCAAGACAGCTTTAGGGCATTAAGGATTCACAAAGGCCGCGCCTGATTGGGGCAGGAGGAGTACCCCCAAAAGGTGTCTGACAGGTCACGGAATTTCAGGTAGCTGAGAAATGCAACTGTTGCACCGGCGAACCTCGGCAAAGTAATTGTTGGGGCCCGGGTAAGTGCCTGCAGCGTATGCATATTTGTATATGTGTGTGTGCAGCTGGCTCTGCGAGTGCCTTTACAAATGTTGCTCATACGCCGCGTGGTTCGCCAACAATATCTCATGCCAGCAAAACGAGGCGACAACAAACAACAAATTGACATAGCTGTGTGAAAGAGTAAAAGAGTGGAAGAGAAGAGGGTTAGGGGGGAAGGTGTGCAGTGAGATAAATGTTTAAAGGTGAGATATTTGACATCAAAATTAGAAAGAACTTTAGGTTAGGCAATTTATGAACAGCAAGAATGGGTCTTAAACATCTTTAATGATCCTGTTAACCACAATATGGGCGCTATTTAGGCAGCTGTCTTGTGGATAATATCCTGGCACTTTAAAGACATTTAAAGAGTCGTATTAAAGCTATTTTGCAAGCTCTCGTTACCTGAAAAATCTTTTAGTTAAATATAAACTAAATCTTAAGTTGTTTATTTTACAACTTTCAAATGATTTCTTTCTCTGTCCCCTTTTTTCGCTGCCCGGAAAGTGTGTGGGGCAGCATGACATTGACTAACGTGCAACGTGGCAGCAGGAACTCGCACTCACACAACATAACACAACACAACACACGCACATGCCCCCAAACACCCAGAACCCATGCAGGCGAACAATTTGTGGCGGTGAAATTTAACACGAACAATTTAATTTCAATAAAAACAACGCACACAGCCAGAGACCGCAGCAGAAACAGAA